AGCCAGTTATAAAAAATCAAATAATAGCGATATTTGCACAGTTTCTAAAAACGATGTGCAAAAGCTTTTAAACAAAAAGGATGCGCAAAAAACTTAAAAAGCAGCGAAGCTGGCTTTGAGCATATTTACAACATATTCAAAGCGGAAGAACTTTGTCTAAAGCAGAACTCAGACAAAGACAAAATAAAGATTTTAAAAGTGTTTCGTATTGATGTTTTACTATAAATTCAGTTAGTTAAAGTGAATAATAAAACAATTATTGAATTTGGTTTTCATATGATATCAAGAATTATTCAGACTTCGGCCAATGTTATCCAACTCAGCTTTGCTTCATAAGATAACATTGACCTTGGTCTGAAAAGTTCTTGATACCATGCTCAACCTCATCATATAATTGTTGAATATTTTGCAGAGCTAAGAGTTTGGATCACGAAAACAACTAAAGATAAATGATAAAAACATTTAATTCTTACAGCAGCTCGTCCAGTAGTTAGTCCATAGAGACCAAAATATTGTCGAATATACTCTTCACCAGCTGCTCCAGGAATGTCAATTTTATTTCCCAAAAGAAGAACAGGACAATGTGAAAGCTGTTCATCACTAAGAATACCCTGAAATAGTCAGAAAATAAGAAAATTATTCATCATTTCAAAAGCAAATGTGACGAAAGTGCTTGTTACTTACATCCAACTCGTTCTTTGATTCTGGCAATCTATTTACATCGGCTGTATCAATTATGAAGACAATGCCATTGACTGCAGGGAAATAATCCTTCCAAATCCTACGAGCTATAAAACAACCTCACTTTAGCTTGTTATGATTTACTGTTGACAATCTAGGTTTTCAGTGTGAGATAGATGTGAATGTCAAAACTGCACCACCATACAACATGCTTGTACATATATATAGGTATATAAATGTTGTATTGATTTGATTACATAAGAATTTCACATCCTCAAAGTTTCACGAAACAATGATCTGTGATAGCGAGTCATGTAACTTATACAATGTGTAATCAATGTATAAAGACACTCAGGATCATCTAGGGGTAGCTCAGTAAGAAATATTCAAATGCTTAATGCTTTAGCATTTACATATTATGGTGCTTCATTGTTTGTGAAAATTTGGATTTATAAAATTATTTGCTTCTTTAATATAACACAATAGGTGAATAACACAAAAAGAAATAGCTATAGAGACGAAATTGACTTCATGCATTTTGATTATTCAATAATTGACATTACCTTGTTTATGACCACCAAGATCAAAAGTGGTGAATCGCATTCCACCCATTGTAAGTTCCTCAGAAGCTGTGACAAAAAAAAGGGTGTTGGCACACAAGAATAAGTATATAATATATCACACATTTCAAGATATGTTTTGCACTGCAGTGCAACAAATACTGCACCCTCAAATAAAGATCCTTATTGCATGCATTATTTGAACAAAGAAATGTTCAAAGCAATGATTGCTCTTACTTGGGTGGAGGGTTGGCACATGTTGAGCCATTCGGTCATCTTTCAACATATGAAGGAGTGTAGTTTTTCCAGCATTATCCAAACCAAGGAACACTAGTTTACCAGATTTCTTATACAAGCCTAAAACAAGACAGCTTGATCTATCAATGAACTGTATACATATATACAACAGATCAATTTTAAAAAGAATAGAAGTGGACACACATTTCCTTCAAACTTATTTCTCATTCGATGTCAAATGAACCATTTCTAGTGAGTTTCCCTGACTTTATCAATACATGGATTAACACAGTATTAAGTCAAATCTTACCCAGGTAGCTTAGCATTCCTGTGAGGTAATCCCATAGCCACATTTTGCAAATTCCTTTGTTTTCTCTGTTAAGACAAAAAGACCACCTTATTGCATGTACTTGAAGCAACTACAACAGCTCCTGTGTTTTGCAATTTGATATATAGACTATAGCTCTATCCTAAGGCTCTCATGTTCACTGAAATCCCTTGTAACACAAATTATCCATGGATCAAATCAACACATCCATTTCTTACACAATTAACAACAATCTTTTTGTGGAATAAAGTCAACAATTAAATTTATGAAATGCAAGTAGTTTACAATATGCTTTCTGCACATCTGTCTTGTTTGATGGAAAAGAGTCTGATTTTCATATAATTAAGTGTAATATATAATTAAGTGTGTATGTGTCAAGTTTCATTCATTTTTTTACAGATAAAAAATACTTTTGTGGCGACAGTTTTGAAGTCTAAGGGTCATTGATAAATCCGTAATTAGGTGATTTACATCAGTTTTGTGTAACTAAGTATCAACTGTAATGAAAACTGTAATAAGACCACTGGCAAATATTCATTTGATTTGAGATTTTTAGTTTATTACAAAAGCTCTTGAAGTAAAATTTTTACATTGCTATTGTTACTTGTAATATGGTAGAAGTTCAAGAAATTTAGTAAGCCACCAGCTAAATCACAGTTCAGCGCTTCAAATATTTTTAGACAATTTCTAAGGTCAAACAATGCAACTAAAATTGAAGTAAATTGTGTTTCAATAACAAAAAACTATTTTTCATGTGTATTGTCAAGTCAAAATAAAAATACATTACTTTAACAGTACTAATACAGTTATGTTTTACATAGAATGATCATTAAATCAAGATGATTCAATTGTATGACATGCGAACTTTGAACTTTACAAAAAAAATTTAAGTTTGCAGCCAACCATACATTTATATGATAATGTCTGTACATCATCCTTCCTCTAACAACTACTTCTGGCAAATAACTTTGACTGATGAATAAAAATTTTAATTGTAGATAGAGTAATGTTTATGTAGAGTTTCTATGTAGAATGTTAAGAACAGTGAGTTTCAGAGGGAAAGATTCGGAGGGAAAGTTTCTCAAGCAATCAGAATGATTGGAAATCCAAGATACGATACTGCGAACACAAAGAAGTTGTTGCCATATAGTTATATACATAAAAACCCACCATTAAGTTATTGTCTACTATAAACTGCCTAGCTTAGTGATGATTTTTGTACATGGAAATCAAACAAAACATATCGCAGGAATTCTAAAATACATAATGAAATATAAATTATTGTATTATGCTTGGATACAACATATACTCACATAGGACTTCTAAATGATCAGTATTTACCAAATTTGATGTCGGTTTGGGGACAAAACTTCCCCAGGTCGTTTGGTACTTGGTAGTGTGACTGTGACTATTGTGAAGAAAGGACTGGAACGAGAACACGTAGCGTCTCAAACATCCCGGATGTATTATAAAACGAAATAGCTCCATTGTCCCAATCCTACAACTTCAATACTATATATTTTCTTATTTTTAAATAGCGCATACGCAAGTGGAACTGTTCAGTTAATGATAAACTGTTTCTTCATGCATATGAGTGTCATTTTTGTCTGCATAAGCTCTGTCGGACATGTGCAATAAGCATATAACTTGTAGTTACGTACTCGGTTACGGCAGGTGTCAGTAGATAGAGAAATGAAATAGTTAAGTAAAATCTTTTCAACCAACAACCATGATTTTCATTGTCTTGTGATATGAATAGCATCAACAGACCTATCACATGTCACAAGCAACATGATCCAGATCGCAAATTTATTCTTACGTAGCTACAGATCTTCAAATTTCAATTAGAATTAGCTATAGAGGCAGAATGAAAACTTTGATATGGAAAACTTCTTAAAAATAGAGCGGAAGTAAAAGATAAGTAGTATTTGCAAAAGAAAATTTTATTTGCCTATTTTTTGCAAAACTTCTATCATTGTTGATGTTGAGAGGCTTAAAGCTTTATCGCCAAGTGAAAGATTTGGGAAAAAAGCGTTAAAACGTAAATGCGACGTCGACACGTTCGTATATAAGACGCTATATTACAAATGGTTATCAATTGTGATAATGTGCGTATAATACGTATAATTTACTATTGTTAATGACAATTTAATAAAAAAAGACTTGGAGATTTAGCGATAATGTGGATTTTGACAATAAATAGATTATTATGAACAAAACTGTGTTTACAAAAACATGCATGTCTACAGTCAGAATTAGGGAAACAAACACCAAATTCAATGGAGCTGAAAAAGAGCTTATTGAATCATATGACTGATATGAGAAAATAAAAACATCTAAGATACATAAATTTATCAAGGTGAAATAATTAAATAATGGTGTTTCGACTTATGCACAGTTTTACAATCCGAAAAAAAAGGAAACACTAATATTACAACTAGAATATTCTTCCAATGTCCAACGATCTAATGGAACGTCTTGACAATCAACCCCCAATTGAGATAGCTAATAATAAAGTGCCGGCTTTACATCGTTAAATATAGAATTCCTACGATATGCAATTTACATAATTTCTACAAATCAGCGTCGTTGAAAATTTCTTCACAGATCTTCTTATAGGCCCAGGTATCGCCTTTTAAACGTTTCCGACGTACACCTGCATAAAAACCATAAAATAATGTCATTATCACGCTTAAAATGAACTTCTTGATGGCAGATTTAGTAGTAGCCACCGCAGTAATTTGAAGTAAGTTACGTATAACTATTCAATAATATACATGTTGTAAGTTTAAATGTTTGAAAGTTATGTAATGCTTCAAAATCATATAAAACAGGTCTACTTTGAAAAATACAATTCATACCTAAAATCTTACTTCACAATTTAACTAGCAATATTCGATATTATAAAGAGGATTAAAGACGTCCGTGCACTTGAAAATTCTTAACATGTCCATACAAATGCCTTTCTCAGAGACATTGCTTAGGTAGTTTTGACAAAAATATAAAGAGATATTCTATACGCAGGAAACAACCATACGTAATGAAGCAATAAAAAACTGGACGTAGGAAAAAAATTAGAAGTCGAAGTCAAAAGCGTAGTGAAAAACATACAACACTCTCCCGACAAGACACTTTTGTGCAGAATGTTCTTTGTATAGTTTACTTGATCAGTCAAACTAGATGAGCCATTTTTACACTGCTCTCAGGTTATGTCAAAATGCCCTATTGCAAACCGAGAAGACCTTCGGGAGAACTCGAGAGCTGATCAGTGCAAGCAAAAGACCGAACGTCGAGAAAGACATTGAAGTGGGCGTCACAAACTTGAGAGTTCTCACAAACGACTTCGAGATTTTCAAATGCCAGTACATACAGGAAAACATCATTTACTTCATTAATAAAATTAAAAAATGCAAACCAGAGAATTTTAAAATAAAAGTATTAATTTTTTCTCTTACACGTATCATGATTGATTTGCAAATTCTCTTTGGTTGATTTAATTGGTTGAGGTCATATCGGTTTGTACAGGCAAGTGCAAACACGGCTATTGACCCAATCAACACACGCATTTTATTGCTTTTGTTTTACAATAGAGATAAAGTACATCGTAAAATATTGCTCTTACCAATCATTTCAATTTTTTGAATCTCACAAACTTCCAACTCAAAATCTAATATAACTTTTCCACGATCGTCCATGGTTTTACAACGAATGGTAAAACTTGAATAAAATGCAAAAAAAATTATATTTTTTAATAGCACCATGCTTTTCTATCACGCAATGACTGTGACAAGCATGTAAACAGCAGAAGTGTGGTTTGATAGCAACAAAACTACAATGTGAGACAATTGAAATAAATGCAAACTTGGATATTTGGTGATTGTGCTGTTTTGATATAATCACATACCCACTAAGCTTGTACATTAAACCATTTCTTTTTTCAAGAACATTTTGCAACGCTTCTACGACTTCCTGTGCTCCTTTACTAGTGGTAGTCGACACATTATATAATGCCTAATCAAAATACATATGTGCATTCAATGAGATTTCCAGGAATGACCAGTGCGTTGATACAAAGCTTGATTTTTTAATAAATAGTCATGAAGTCATGGTCAATGAAACGCAAAGTTAAACTCGTACCTTAACCTTTCTTGGATGAGAACTCGCAGATCGACGGGGTGTGAATGCCCCAAAAAATCTATTTATTCCACCTTCGATGCTTCCAAACAAGCCTGTTGTCTATGGAAACGAGCACGTGTTTCATTCAGTCAACGGTTATTTTACGTAGTTTTCTTAAAACTGATAACACTTATAGGATTCTAAACTTGCGTTCGTAACTTTGGTCTATTGTTTTAAAGAATATTAATTGTTCGAATATTGAACAACACACAGCTCTAAAGTTGCAAAGCAATCTGAAGGAGTTTCACGCCTTAAAAATCCGAAGAAATTTCAGGAACTTTAACTTTCAAATTAGCTAAATTTTTAGACAAAAACAGAAAATAGCTAAGAGTTGAATTTTACATTCATTTATAAATGAAATAAGTAACAAAACGACAGGTATATTTAACGTCAATTATCGGTAAGCATTAATTTCAGCAAAAATCAAGCCTATACACGACAAAACATTTTAAACCGGAATGATAATAAATACGATAAATTAACGTAACAAAAAACTTGAACGAAAGCCGAACAAACCTTTTCACTAAACCTCCTGGATGAAGCAGACTTGCTTTGCTGTCGTGGTGTGCTATTTGTCCATGGACTTCGATCAAGATTATTATCTAGTGATTGTGACCATCTACGGGAAAAATTTTTTCTTGTGATGCTATGGAAATCACGGGCGTAAATCACTTGATATTACACTTACAGTTTAGTTTCTGGCGATAAAGGTTTCACGGACCCAAATTCGTAATTCGATATTGACGAAGGAACAATGTGTTCTTTAATAGAAAAAAATCTCTTGGAAAAGCATTATATATCATGAACAGAATAATATATATTGTTTTCATACAAATGAAGATGTTTTTCAAAAATCATTTGTCAACGATTATATATGTTTCCTTCCTTAAAGATAACATTTAACTACTTTGTAGTAGCAAATGCAATTCATACCAAACCTTTGCTCGGAACAGATGGTTTGAGTAAGCCATTCGACGACAAGTCGCTATTACTTGGTTCTTCATTCACTGAAATGATGAACTCAAGTGGAAGAGTACACGCCCTCGGCTTTCTAAAGTCCAACAAATCATCGGGAAAAACGTCATCTTCGTCATCAACCAGTAACGAAGGTAGATCGCTCGAAAAGCTTTCGTCTTCGTTGTTTTCTACAGTCTCACTCAATTTTTTCTAAATAACAATGACATTCACTCTCAGTGCATATGATATGCGTATCTATATGAACTTCGATCAGCTTATTTAACAGAAAAAGGACTAAGGACTAGTTAGCACGGATAGCAGTATTAAAAAGCAGCTAAACTAGAGATACGTAGGGAACATTGATGACATTTACTCCACATACATAGCAAAAGATCCATTAAGATGCACAACTGAATACGAGCTGTAAGTAGTTAAATCCTTCGTTTTTCAATGACGTACCTCCAATGCAAGCATCTCTTTCCTCTTGTTACGAAGCACTCTAATTTAGACAAAAACACGGTGTACAGAAATATATCAAGATTGGATTTACTCGGTGTGTGCAGGAGAGGGGGTCTATTTACGTACAATATATTGATACCAACCAATTCAGCATTAGAGAACACGTCCAAAAATGTACCAATCATGGTATAAAATAATTCAAAAAAGTCATCAAAATATAATCCCAATTAGAGCACACAACCCCCAAACACAAAATCTTCCGGGATCTATTTCTGACAATAACACACAAAAGGATGTAAGGAACTACCGTAGAGTCTTGAAGGTAGCCGCCCCGGCTTACTTTTGAAATTGGTGGCTTAAGGGAGCTACTTTCAAGGGGGTGCTTAGTTTCGGAGGGCGCGAGGGCGATTAATTTCGAGTTGCTATTTTCAGCTACGGTTGACTTCAATGGTTAACTCTTAATCCATGCTTCATAACGGTATTTTTCAACATGTTAAAAGTAGTATAAGGTTGCGGTACTTGACACAAACGCACAAGAACATTTTGGGTTTGTTTCATTTAGATGAAAGTACAAATGCTGTGAAGCTCTTACAAGTGCTATAAAAAGGGCGGTTACTTTCAGGGGAAGGTTACTTTCGAGACTCTACAGTATGCTAGCTATAAACCACAATTATTACAGTGAAAATAGTTAGGTCAAGAGAAATATGCTGCTCCAAAACATACTAGTAGAGCTACGTAAGACATACTTGGAAGACGTATGAAAAAGCTTCAAAGATTCTCCCCGACTCTTCTTTTTGCACAGCAAAAAATAGGCTGAAGTTAAGTCGTCAAACTTGTACTATATTTAGAAAAACATCAATGGAAGTCATATTCTATATCATAAAGCTTAAGACAACACTTTGAACAGTGCTTTAGGAACACCATGGAATTTTTTAAATCAATTTTTGAAAGGAAATGTACACGTGGATTATTTAGACGCCTTATATGAGAGTTTATAAAACGAAGCAATTATACCTCTTTGACAAGCGATGTTAGCGTCAAAGGCGAAACTCCATAGAACAAAGCCAGTTCCTTGATAACATCCACGTCTGGCTCCTCTTTCTACATGAAAACAAAAAGTTGTGATTCTCAACGATCGACAATCCCGATGATCCAGGTGGGATTTTGCTGTCAAATCTATGATATGATATAAATGAGAAACAAGATCTAATTACGAATTACGTGCCTTTGGTTTTATTGTTGACATGCGCATCACATTGTTGCCGATAGAAGTGTATATAAATGGTTGGACGTTCGACAAGTTTGTGATTATTCATATACATATTCATATACATATACATATTCATATACAAAATTAGAAATTAAACGTCGAATTTGAAAGTTCATATAAAAGGTTTAACAATTGGCATGCATGGTTTTCATTAAACAATCCACATATTTTCCTAACTTTTACAAATGTTCATGTACAAAATTAGAAATTAAAAGTCGAACTTGGAAGTTCATATAAAAGGTTTAACAATTGGCATGCATGGTTTTCATTAAACAGTTCAAATATTTTCCTTACTTTTACAGATGTTCATATACAAAATTAGAAATTAAAAGTCGAATTTGAAAGTTCATATAAAATATTTTCCTTACTTTTACTCTTGTCTTAAAATGTACTGGATTAGCATAGCCTTTGTTTAACCATGGATGAACGCAAAGCTTTTGGACTGTCAATCGCTGCTTTGGGTCGGTCTTCAAGGAAAAAAAACATCAATCACCACATCACCACTCGCTATTTTATGGTATTTCATAATCTTCGAAGTTTAAATGCTACATGGAATACCTTTAGCATCTGTCCGATCAAAGCAACACTTCCTAAATAATACGTACAAAAATTCTCATCTTAACGTCAAATTAAACAAGAGAGGAGATCAGAAATCAGAAAGCAATGCATGTGAAAGGAAAATGTAGACAGCAGATCTCGAAAATCCATGAAAAAATCATTCATGCTTAATGAAAAAGAGAAATGAACGGCGAGCGATTTTACCTTTCGACAAAAAGTTTGGTGTATCATACTGGCCTTTCTAAAAAAATGACGAAATCAAAAACTGGAAATGGAAAAATTGCCGTATGAAACTTGAAACTGACGTAAATTGCTCATTCCAAAGCAGTAGATACGCCATATTTGAAATGATTTTGCTTAAATTAATTAGCTACCACAGACGATGGAGTCATTCAATGCATTTCTTGCACAGTGTTTTTAAATGACCGTTATAAGAGATAAGGGTTTTTAAATAACGTTTTTCTCACCTGAATAGATTTGTACAAATTGTAGGTGTCGTCATCATCAAAAGGTAAATAACCACACAAAAGAGCGTAAAGAAGCACGCCTAAACTCCATAGATCAGCCTGCGTACAAGAAATTATGTTAAAGTCAACTGCAAAACCATATTCAAAATATGAAAACGAATTATACGTTTGGAATTTTGGTAAACTGAAATTTTAATTGTGTGATTTTAAATCGCATGCATGTCTACGCCTCAATCTTGAAGTTTTTCAGCCATGCATGTCAATGAAAATAAAACAAATGGTTGAAATGACACGTCGTCGGGCAACTTCTAAAGGATGTAACATTTAGCACTCCTTCGAAATATATTTCAGAAATTCGTAGAGAAAACACCTCATTTCGCGGTTAAAAAACCTAATTGTGCAGATGTTATTTTCATTCGAGTCCAAGTAAATCAAGCAAACAAATGTGATAAAATCCAAAACCTGAGCAACACTTTATAAAATTAAGACTGATGTAACTAGAATTTTCACATATTTACCTCATTACCAAAATACGGGACACCAGATATTAACTCTAAAACGTTTGAAAGAAAAATATTCATGGACACAGAAACATTTTATTGACTATTAAATTATAAACTAAACAGCGCACACACAATCACTAGCTACACAATAGTGAGTAAAATGCATTTAAAGCAAAACTGCACCTGGCGCTGCATACGCTGGTGAGCCACAGCACGTTTCGAGTTTCTCAGACATTCCTCCTTCGGGTTTTCCAACTAACCCGAAATCAATGAGTTTTATATCCTAGAATTAAAATTAGGAAACAAATGTGATAACTATACACCAACTGTCAAAGTTCTTTAATCCTAATGTTTCATTGGTGGGGATGTGTCACGTGATAGTGAAGAAATAGAGTAGTTTTCATGGAATTTTTTATTGCATGACTTAAAACATATTGAGATGTTTCGACAAGGAATGTGATGTATTTATCATCATCAAACGCCGGGTTTTGTTTGCCAAATTTTAGTTCAAAAACTCGTCCTTGTGTGGAAACGTTTTAACTTCCGTGTTTTCTCATCTGACGTCATAACAAGTAGCTACGAACGTCGCCAAGCAATTGCTATTGCCATCTTGCCAATGTGTACTTGATCATTACGACTTCAATTTAGCCAGCATGAAAGCAAAAAATGTTTGCACAGGAAGAGCCAAAAATCTCCACTATACTAACGGCTATAAATTCTGTCAGTAAAAAACAATTTCAATTCTACGGGCAAAAATGATTTGAGAGCAAGTAATTTCGATTAAGCAAATAAAAACGTACAAAAATACTAAACTTCATTTGCACTTTAATGCTAATTGTTAACAAAGAATTTCAGCCTTCACCGTGACGGCACAAAACTTTATATAACCTACACCGCTTTTCTGTAATTATATTTTCATTCAAAACACGTGCTTGAGATTACACATGTTACAATAATATCTTGCAAATTCATTCTTACTTGATTCTCGTCCAACAAAAGATTTTCCTAAAAATTGAAAAAAAACAGCACTCTGTGATAAGAATCCTTTCCACTGAATCCATTTACCTTGTATTTACATGTAAAGTAAAACATGATAGAAATGATGTATAAGACTTTCTATCTACTAGAAAGTATTGGTCCAAAAAACACCACATAGAGAGAGGTGCATGCTATCCAAGGGGGAAAAAATTCGTCAGCAAAAGCCTTCTTCGGATAAATAGCTAATTCCAGGCGTTACAAATCAAAAACGCAAACAATTCACTTTATGAAAGAACTTACAGGTTTTAAATCTCTATGTGCATAGCCTTTTTCGTGCATGTATCCCAAAGCAGCAACAATTTGACGAAGAAAATGCCTAGCTTCTTGTTCCTAAACAACGATGAAAAATATCGAAATTACGACATGCTAGATGGAACACTCGGCCTAATCCTGTTAAGTGGGATTTTCAAGGTTGTTAAAATCTGTCCTCACGATATTTATAACAGAGATTTGTATCATACACTTCGACAAGAACATGACCATTAAATGTCTGGACCTCTTCACACGAAACGTTATGTGTCGTATTCAAAAAACCAAGTAAGAAAAAGAAAGGAAGCTTATTTTCTTTAATGTAGTGAACTTATTTTTATCAACACCTCTTGCAACTAAATAATTAGGTTTGTATTTTGTCAACAAACGTGACGCGCCTTGTCTTCTATCGTAATTGATTTGCATTGTCTCAATCTGATTGCAGTAATTAATCTAATTAAAGGATTTGGTTAAATATGCACGACAGTAGCTACGTATAGAGCCAAAGGAAGAAGTTTAAACGAAATGTTAAAGAATCCTAAGAACAAGAAACATTGCTAATAAGGCTGGAACGTCTGACTAATATGATGTATGAATCATGTAAATCACAATGTTGAAAAGTTGCTTCCTAGATTCTTAAAAAGTTTCTTTACATTAAAATCGAGCCGATTGGGAAATAAAAATAAAAAAGCCTCCCCAATGGGATTAGTCGAGCAAATTATATTTAACTGGCATTTTTTGAAAAAAAAGGTACATAGCTATGTGTGCAACGAACCCATTTTTGAAAAAAACATTGATCAAATAAACTAAAAAAATACCTTGTGCACAACTAAAGGGTAAGCTATTGACCTTAATTAAATGATAACAGGGACGACGACAATGTGAAAGAAAATGAACAACGTTTATGAAGTACTACTTTATTAACCTAATTTTTATAGTGAGCATGGCAATAGATTTGTCGCCCCAAAATCAAAGAGTTCACTCAGTTACTACAACTACACATTATATCACAATGTTGAATATCATTGATCATGACGTCACAAACCTCCAATCTATCTTTCGCAACAATGTAATCAAAAAGTTCACCGCCAGGGGCATACTTAATGTAAAAAAACAAACCGTCATTTTAAATACTAAAGAGTTAAGATTTCATTAACAAGTTACGTTCAATTACTATGGCTTCTCATTAAACAACAAGCCTTTCAAATTTTTCAAATCCATGAAAGGTCACCGACGTACCTCCAAAATCAAGAAAATCTCATCAGTTGTTTCTATAACTTCGTACAATTGGCAAATATTTTGATGACATAGTTCTTTCATGGTGGCAATTTCCGTGTAAACGCGAGGTAAATCATGCTGAAAAAGTGATAATATTGCTTTGTCATCAACATAGAAAAAATTCGTCGAATTACTTTTAGCTTACAGCAAGAGCTCGTTTGGTCATCATTTTTATGGCAACCTATATGTAATGAGAAAAAATATCCGTAATATTCAGTATAATCTGTAACAAAACGTGGGGAGATCGCATTACCTTCTCATTTGTTGGCCTGTGCACGGCAAGCTTTACCTTAGCAAAGCCACCTATAACGTTTAATATACAAGAATTAGAATACCACAAGTAACACAAATAGTGCACAATGTGTACAACGATTTGGTAGTATTTTCTTGAATTAAATCGGTACGTAAACTTTACACAAAACAAAAGTTTCTGTATCTACCTCCTGAGTTGGACGTTACATTTTGTGATAGGCAAAGGAAGCAAATGTTTTAATCAAGGGGAACTAGACAAAAATAATCGGGGAGGGGAGACTGAATTGGATACTACTATAGGAATTTGCTGGATAACGTAGGGAAACTTAGGTTTCAAGCTGCAACTTGTTCAGTAATATTAAGACACAGATCAAATGTCATGCCCTTAAAAACTGCAATTGTTTATTTTAATGGAAATTTTTTCTAGCAAAATCAGTTTGATGTTAAGTTGAATAGAATGTTTTTAATGGAAATGTATGTTACACATTGCAGAACTCGTTGTGAAGACAATATATTTATAGGTATGTTCACAAGCATCATTGGAAAATTTAAGAGAACATTAAAATAAAGCAAGACTTTTAGTTTTCATTTTGATATAAAAACGTTTTTGACACATAACAGCTCTATTTTGCTTTTGATGCCTTGTAAACATCGAAAGACTTCGTTGATCCATCAACTATTTAAAAACAGCTGCCAAAAAAAAACAAGGAAATAACATACATGTTGATCAATGATGTTTATCTTAACGCAACCGGGTCACATAATGAGAAAAAAATCTTGAATGTTTTGACTAATCGCCATTTTTAAAGTATAGATATTGACGATGTCTCGGATATTGTGCGCCTTTCGGAGGAGAAATTTGTTGTAGAAGGTGGGCAATATATTTACGTACTTTCTCGCATGATATGCAACATTTATAAAGTAATTTAAACATTTCTTCTGTTTGTCTAACTCCTACTCTGGAACCCTGACGGATTATTAAATTCTTATCACAACGCGTGGGAAGCAATTGAAACCGACGCCCGCTCCTCTTAATTTACTTTCACGAACATTATGAGTACTTTAATGACAATTGGTAAAATTTCATGGTATAGATATGGAAATAACGTCAAATCTCACTAGGCTACAACGCGAGACATGTTCATCAAAATTGAGCTTTCACATTTTTCGACACGTACACCGGAAGTTGAACAAAAATTTGAAACAATCAACATGAAGTCAGCTTATTTCGCAGTGTACTTTAATGATTCATGCGATCGAATCGAAATTCGAAAATTAAAACAATCGAGATGTTACCAAACAACGTATCAATACTACAGAATTGTAAAAGTTTTTAAATGCCTTAAAGTTTTGCATACTGATGAATATTTTGATGCACGCTGTGACCATCTGTCAAGTGTCTCATCTCGAATCTTCTTTAAATATTAGAAAAGCAAGCGTTATTTAAGCACTTAAAGCAACATATTCTTTTGCTCATTGCACGAATGAAAACAGAGTATTGTAAGGTATAATCATGTAAGAGAGTAGAGCACGGCTGATGCAATAATCTGCACCAGTTGGCAAGCTTCGCATTCACCCAAAACATGCATTAACAAATATTTAACGACGTTTAACCCAATTTGTGCCTGCACGACCCGTTACTTTTCTCGTGGGAAGTCAAAATAACAAACTATCTACAATCTAAAAGAACTTACCGCTACCAATCGTCTCTTTAATGTCATAAATATCGCTCAATTCGTCGGGATATATGGCGTCTGGCATAATGAAACGACGTTCAATCGTTTATGAATGACTTTCAACAACAAAATGTAAATAACAGACTTGCATGAATACGCTCACACTTCTCCAGAGTTATCACGTTGGCGTTACATTCATATCATTAAATAAGACATACGAATGTGGGAAAACAATAAATAACGAACCGCAATTTGCACAAACTAAATAGGTATCTTCGTTTAGTCACATTCTTCCGCTCAGAGCACTTCTTTGATTTTCAATGACATATGATCAAGCCCATCTCATGCGGATCACTAGGTATGAATGAAACTTAATTCACAACACGCCAGGGCGTCCAATCACATTGAAGTCTTTTGAAATTTCGCCTTGTGTGATTTATTAGAAAAAACGTCGTTTTCATAAGGCGTTTCGTTTCGGTTACAAGAGCTACTATCAGTCCATCACAGATCTTCTCAAGTTTAACACACGTGCTCTTGAAATCAATAAATGTAAAAGATATTTGTCGCTAATATATAATGAAGATATAATTTCGGGTCAGCACCACAGATCTAATAATACACTAGATAGTGCAACGGCTTACATTTCATAAGTGGTGGTTGAAGCCGGGCAAATTTACTTCCGGAGCCCCAAAGTAGTGAGAATCAATATGGCGTTGTATTAGAAAATATCTGGTCAAAGCTGATATCTTGCATTACTTGCAAGTCACGACGGTTACATAAACTGGTTTACTCTATTAATGAAAAAAATCAATGTGACCATAGTTTTTCAAGAAAAAGATAGCAGAATACGCCAATACATCGCCGTAAAATTGATTTCAAGTGTAGCTCGATTTGAAAGCATCAGGAGCGACGAAGGCTTAAGATACTGGAATTTGCACATCTAAATATCGTATCACAGCACAATCTGCCACAAAATGTTCAATCGAACGTCGTAGAATTATCTTCCGATATTTATTAAGTAAAACGAGTTGGAGATAACAGTTTGAAAGATTTTTCACGATTTATATAAAGTATATTGTTCACTGTACATAATTAAATATTGCACTGGATTATTGTACCAGAAATGCATTTTTCTGGTGTTTCTGGTCGGCAAACGAATATAGCTATGTCAAGATGTGAGTAATTAGTACGTTCAGAAATTATTTACAGAAAGAATGTGAAGAGTCTACCTCGAAGAGTCTATGTCTTGCTTGTCTATGTCTTGTCTATGTCTTGCTTGTCTTGCTTGTCTATGTCATAGAGTCTGTCTTGCTTCTTCGGAATTTGTTTTATATTATGAGTCTACCTCTGCTACACCAAATTTTTTGTGAAGTATAAAATAGCAGGTCACTTGTGAAACTGTTGATACCACAGGTTGATACAATACACTCTGTCCAACACGGGGAAAATATTTACTTGTTAAAGCAAGAAGAGTCACCAGACTTGTAGTCTTGACTGTGTTTTACACATATATATAAACAATGTATTGACATAGTCTAAACCAGTGGGTTATATAGCCACTGCCCACAGTGCTTAATGTACTGTTATGGTGATGTTATGCTACTGTTTTCAACATTTTTATTGTCTTTTTTACCATTCAGGCATGTATATGCATATAAAACTTTCTACACATTCTTGTTATTGAAAATATCAAACCTAAATTATTATTCTGAGCAAAATATTTAATTTGTGCTTGTAACATGTGTCAATTTCAGACTGATTTTTGTAATATGCCTGTTCTATTACAATACATCCATAGATCGAGTATGATATCGCTGTGTTTGCCACGCGAACTAAGCCACACTATCGCAGATTGTGCTGTGATACGATATTTAGATGTGTAAATTCCAGTACTTAAGCCTTAGTCGCTGCTGATGCTTTCAAATCGAGCTACACTTGAAATCAATTTTACGGCGATGTATTGGCGTATTCTGCAATTTTTTTTTCTTACAAACTATAGTCACAATGATTTATTTCATAAATAGTGCAAAAAAGTTGATGCAACCTCCGCGATTTGCTAATAATTGCGAGATATTAACTTGGACCACATATTTTCTAATACAACGCCATATTGATTCTCACAACTTTGGGGCTCCGGAAGTAAATATGCCCGGCTTCAACTTTTATGTCAGTTGCACTATCTAGTGTATTATTAGATCTGTGGTCAGCACGTACTGTTTGTTGAAATCGGAGAAAAAAAGCCACGTGTGAATGAGAGTGGAGAAGGAAATAAATATCATTTTGCTACAACTAAGTTTACGGACATTCTATCGTAAAAATACAATGAATACTTAACATCTCATTATCAATTGAAATGATTGCTTGGTTTCTATAGAGAGATATGACTATATGTAGCTATTCCCCTTCTATAACAAATGAGAATTCCACGCAAACCTTACAAGAATAAGGAACTATTTCAAGTATGAGCCAAGAAAATCAAGCACTTTAAAAAAATTTCAGAATCAATGCAACCGAACGATGATTAATCACAATGTAGGTGTTAATTTTCAAATCTCGCGCACTTTTCAGCAATAGTTTCCTAAAACATTGAATCTTTTAGAGAATGAATTGCTGCAAGTGTAATTTATACTTCACATATTCTATCAAATATTCATTTGAGACTTTCCATGGACGAATCGCTTGTAAAACCAGCTATTTCCATTGAGTCTGTGAAAGAGTAACTTTTTTCTGATTGACTGAATTGACTTTCACTTGATGAATCTCTGGTAGACATCGACGCTTTCTTTTCTGATGCTGTTTGACTAGAAAAGGATTTGAGTTTTCCATATTGGCTATAGGTCATTTTCTCAGCTTTAAATTTAGAGGCATCTTTTCTTGAAAAAATCGGCTGTTTTTCTTCCCGACGACGTCTTCTTTCTGATGATTGCTGGCAAAATTCAGCTCGTTCAGCTGGTATTTTAACAACGAAATCCAAGCTCCTATCACTTGAATTTTCATCTAAATTGGGCTTGGCATTTATTTTCCCATTTGAATCGATGGAAAGAAACCAAGCAAGCTCGTCGTTGTTTTTATGACAAGTTTCAAACTGACTGAAAAACTCCATGGTCAAACACTCTTTGAAAACGCACTCTTTGCTTTCGACTTTCTATAACGACGTAACAAGATACTAAATGCCTACTGAATTAGAGATATACAGGGCTCAATTCAATAGGAGTTTTGCTGTCTTCCACTGCCATACTTTGTCCATAAACTGTATTTATCCATGATAAACTATTAAAATCTTATAAAAAGTCTATAGTAATTTGTAAAACTAGATTTAAGATCATTTAGCATGTATAAAATTGTGTTGGAGGTTTGTTCAGTTTACTGAGACCGTTCATTTTATTAAATAGCATCATAAGAAAACAAAACACGATGAACATCAACAACATCGTATAGATCAAAATTTTACCGTCGTGAAAACTGTACCATCTTCATCGATTGCCAAGTACAGACGTGACTCAACTCCCCATATCGCTATCATATTTGTGCCAACTGTTAGAACCTGAAGAAAAACTGCATGCACAAAATTTATTCGAAACGAACAAAAGATTGAATTGAAAGTAAAGTTACAGCTAATTAGGACCCCCTTTTCCTTTTTTCCTTTCGGCACTCACGTCAAGGTGAAATTCGATACTTGTTGCAATTTTAGACTTTAATGAAATATTGAAAAAACTTTGTAAAAACTTCTATCAAACATTTTGCAGGGAAAAAATGAGCAAATTGGATCGGTTCTCTCTCTGTAAAACTTAATTTCAATTAATACTTACTAAATGGGCTTCTACAATCTTTTGTTGCATTGACAATTCCATTTGCCTTAATCTCAAGGTAAAATCCTTGTCGTGATTGCAAAAAACGGGTTCTGGTGTATTTCAACAAAGGTAATGTACTGCTACGAATAAAAGCAGACATTTAGCAGTTATTTATCGTCAGATTCAATGAATGATTATCCACATATTCAACGATTCAAGCCATGTTCTTAGCAATGAGATTGTGCACCATGGCGTTTTGTCATTTCAGTAATTAAAAATTGATCATTTCTGGGATTGTGGTTGAAATAGTTTAGCATATATATATGTTTCCAAAAGTCAAGATACAATCGTGGCTAAACACATGGAGAAGATTTTCTTTCTTTTTAGTCATTTCTTTGAAGTCATGCCTGGCCAAATATTCACATTATTAAACTTCAGATACCTAACAGCTACGAAGAAACTTTCAACTCGACCATAAGTTTGTATATCATGCAAGCTGGGCTTTTTCATCAATGGCCATTAATAAAATTTATGTGGGGTTACGAGACAAGATGAATCTAGTTTCCACATAGCCAGCCACAAAACTTAAAAAGTAGTCAAGCATGGCTCACAAGCATTGTAATAGCTGAGCAAAAACAGGGTATGGAAAGATAGACCAACAGAAGCCAATGGCACGTGCAACATAACCATAGCTGTCTGAACATGTGCAGACTGAAAACATTAACCGCAAAAGCTTAGGTGAACAAAAGAAGACAGAAAAAGTAAAGTGAAGAAAAGGCTTTTCGCTCATGTGCATGTGTGAATGCAATGCCTATGGACATTTCAAATAAATTATATAAAAATGAATGTATTCTTTTGGCGTCCACAAAAACCTACTTCTTAAAACTCTTGTGCATCAATTCACCCAAGGTATTGCAAAAATAGTCGAAGTAAAAACATTTATCATCAGTCTGTTTATTTTCTTCAAAATGGAACCGTTTCTTGACTGACGTTGAAACTCAAAGTTAGTCGGTTAAGCTAGGGCTGCATAGCATCAAATAAAATTTTTGACAAATTCTCAGTGCGTCTTGATAGCTTGCCGTGCAATATCAACAAATAATAAATATTTCAAAATGATGATATAGTTGTCGTTGATTTTGACTACATGTTAATAAAATACTTCATTTGTTTGAATACTGTTGATTCTCGACAGTTGCAGAATCATGGCTGACGAAGAGAAACATTGAGATCAGACTTAAAGCCTTCTTTGAAAAAAAAGAAGGGAAAAATATTCTGACTTTATAAATACGCCAAGCATTTAAAATGAAAACAACTAATTTGGCCTAATTGAGAAATACAACATGAATGACTTTTAGCGCTTAACACAGTTGTCATTTTTTCTCTTGAAGTTTTGACTGTTTTTAATGGCTCGAAATCATTTCACGTCTCGCTGAATATTGGTTAGCCGGGATCCTGTAAACGGCCTCGTAGGGAAACTTCTCGTGTTGAAATTTAGGGACAATACCGAAGAATAAGTCATTTAATAGTGTTAATTTGAAAACAATATAAGCTAGCGCAAGGCAGTATGCAAATTGCTTTTAAAGTTGCATTTAACACGTGTTTTGCCAGGAAAACCATTAACTTGTATTGTGTTCTCAATAATTCAGGAATTGACCATTCAGAAAGTGTAACAGGATATCGATGCATTGAACTAAAAACAATTTGCCTTCCCTTCTTTCTCTTTTAATCCATGCAGTGTGGGAAAAGAATACATGTGCGTTGAATGTAGATATATGTTGCAAATTTTAGATAATTTCATATAGCTAGTGTCTAATAAGGGACCGATATATATTATTGACGTCTTTTTATGGAAGGCAGGGTGGTACAAAACCTGTTCCAATAAAATGATTTACACAACAGATAAATATGTTTCACACAAGCTACAAGAATTAAGACTGTTAATTACAACAAAGATCATTCTCTAAGTGTGGACATAATTGCTCAGCCTGGATAAAACTTTCCTCTTCTTCAATAAATTTTGTCAGGGTGATATCGAAGTCAAGTCATGTCACACTTAAAAGTATATTTGCAAATATGTTTGCATCATACCTTTAGCATTGATAATTTTCTATACGCGAGGATAAGAGTCAGTGATATTACTGTGTGCCATGAACAGTATCATAATGAAAGAGTAAAATGCCTAACGTTGCAATGCTTACAAAAGACACAACTCCTTTAGTACACGATGTCTAATTAAAGTTTCCCGGTACTTCCTCAAGCTTTGTCCTTTGTGATCCACAGAAATATATCTCTCCATTTCCTCACAAATCGCATAGCGACGATAGCGTTCGCCTATTTCGGGCTCATCATTCTTTTCATAGTAATCAAAATGGTCGAAATCGGCAAAGTTCCTGGGAATTTTTGATTGTGGCTCTCGTTTCATCTTTTCACTATTGAACACTGGAAATGTTGATGATCTTTTGGTTGGAGGATCAAACTCGTCGATCGTGCTTAGAAGCCCACTGTATGTGTTTGAACCTAAGAATTCTTTTATTTTCATCGGCGTTGATGCTTTTTCAGGACCAAAGCTTTCGCAGTTTCCCATATCCCCAATTTGAATATCATTCGAGCCAGTTTCACTTTGCGTTTCATCAACTTCTATGAGCGAGCAATCACTCATATCGTCATCAAAAGAATACCACGGACTAGAAGAGCTTGACAATGGTGAGTTTGTTGGCACCGAATGACGATCACGTCCAAGATTCTCAAAAGTGGCAGAGTTTCTGGTCTTTTGCTTTTTTTCATCTTCTTCTTGTGGCTTGAGAAGTCTTTCCTTATAATTGGCTTCGTCGAGAGACTTCGAGCGACGACATGTGAAAGCAACTTGTCGAAGTTTCTTCTGAATGCTGGATGGAACGTCCACAGACCACTGTCGTCTCAGAGATCTTCGCTTGCTTTTAACATTTTCCATCTCAATCGAAACGTTTTCATATGTAAACAAAGCACATGTTATAATTTAAGCTGATATAAATGAATAATTCTTACCGAAAAATGTAAATCGCATCTAGAGTGGGTGCATTTTGACCCGCAAGTGCAGATTATATTTACTATAAGAAGATTTGAACGTGAGATAAACGCATAAAGGTATAGGTGTAGAAGAACGCCTTGTCGAAGAGTGCTTTTGTTTGTTGGGCTCCGAAGCACCTTGTCAACTTTTGTATCTTGACATGTTCAGGCTTTGAGCAGCTGCGTTTATCGTATACAATAGTGACGCATTAACGTGTAGCTCACTTGACCCGCTGTACGCTTGTATCGGCTCACCCAAACCCTACAACAAAAATAATTATCCTTTCTAATCGTCATCTAATCATCATGCAAAAAAAACATCAGTCGTATTGTTGACTTGCAGCAGCACTGCCAAAGATTAAAAGTCTATTCCAGCTTCACAATCTATGAAACTAAAAATGTTGTAAATACGACAAAGCAGTTGTGTTGCAAATACAAATCATCAGCTATAAAGACAAAGAACACTTATAGTAGAATTTGGAAAATGTAGCCCTTTTTCTACTGCAGTAAAACATATCTTTTGTTGAACAACGGAGTTTCGTTTAGTCTGACCGCAGCAGCTAGAATGGTTTACTGATGTTGTTTACTGAATATTTTACGATATCCATAGTGTTCAAAAAGGCTTAAGCCCCGCGTAATGTGCGCATATAACACGCCAGAATGCAACAGATATAAGAGGTCACATTTTCGTACTTTACGCTTCATTAGACTGAACAGATTAATGCTATTGTATGATAGTTACCGACAGCAATCCATACCTATAACGAAATGGAGATCTTCCAGAAACCCGAAAAAAAAGTAGAGAAATATAATCATTTCCAAATTCTTGTTAAGTGTGCGAGGAATGAAAGTCTTTCTTATGAAAGTCATTACACCATTGCTGAAGAGTATTTTGGCAATTTTTCAAAGCATCGTTACATTTAGATCAACTTATTAGTTTAAAATACGGATCTGCGGAATTGAACATGATTGACTCAGATGCTCTAACGTTGGCAAATTATGCAATTTTAGTACTTTCATAGAGCTGTATATATATTAGAATTTCATTCTGATAATTCTAGCTTTGCATTTATGCAAGAGATAATAAGAACACATTTATAAAGTTTGATAAGGCTATGTTTATTCAGGCACACATGCAAAAAGTTGCGTTTTTTTTGATATGGCTCGAAGTGTTTAATGAAAGGAAAAATATTGAATAATTATTTTTTTGGGAACCAATTAATTTCAGGCTGAAATGCTTTAATTGTGATGCATAAAATGTATGAATAAAATATAATCGTTAACATCGGAGAAAGCGAGAAGTTTTTATGCAGTACAATATCACAAGATGGACAAGGAAAACTCCATAGTTGCATAAATGATTATACTCAATAAATATTAATGAGTTTTATCTCCTGCAGATATTGCCTCGAGACGCAACTTTAAAACTCTCAAAATGTGGTAGTAGAAGACTTGTGTGTGGCGATAGACTTGACGATTGATATATGGGACATGATAACAAACTGTAGTTATAAATAGAACAATGAAACAAATACATTGTTGTGGCTGTCGAGCAGTTATATACATGCACACACTTTCCAACTATTTTGTAATATTGACTCGAATAGAAGTTTATTTGCAAAAAGGAATGTACGTGGACGAAAGTAGAACTATCACAGCTCATTCGTCCAGCACAATACTTCAAAATTAGCTAGCTACTTTTCATGATTACAAATCAAAATCGATCACTATTATAATTGATCAAATAGCAAAAACAGCATTTAAACGTGAAAATTTACCCACATCGATGACTTTAATAAGATTGTGGATTGTGTAAACCGTTGCAGCAACACCATTACTTTATAGTTTATACGACATGCCTTTTGACAACATATGCCTTTTAATTCCTTTCAGAAAAGCACTATTGGTTTTTAATTTGTAAAGAATATAGTTTTACCAATGGATTACTTTCTAAGGTGCTGAGATATGTAAATATACGCCAAAATGTGCTGCAGTAATTTATTTTGACGTAGTCTGGATCCGCCACTGAGCCATGTGACCACGAATGAACCAATCACATTTAACAAACACAGCACCTATATAACAACAAAATTTGTTTCACCATGCAAAAAGCTCACCACAATTGGAAGATGTTTCGGGAAGAGTGCTCTATTAAACACTGAACACAATTGTGTTTACTAAATTGCTAATATTTCGATATCTTCTCGCATCCTTTCTGTCCAATGCTAGGAAGGAGTCGATCCCTCCATTTCCTGGCAAATTCATCCCTGTATAAGCTTACTCGATGTTTCTTTTTAGATTGTCGTATAAAGTTGCTGCTTGTCTTGTGAGACATTGTGCAAAAACGGATGCCTTTTGACAACATATGTAGTACTTGCCTTAAACGTATGTATTTTAGACATCTTTTTAAAACATGGAGGAAACTGTATATATCTAAGAAACGGGTGACAGCAACAACTTGCTAATAGTAATTTATTTTTTTAGAAGAATAACGAGAAAGAATTTTTAAATTGTTCCCTTGGAGAGCGTATTTGCATTGATGCATGGAAAAAATAAATTTTATGCTTCATACATATAATTACTCCATTACGAAGGCATAAAACTCATCAGATGTCAACGTGCATTTGTCATGATTTGTAAGAGTGCTCTTGCCATAAGTTTGACCTATGTTTACATCAGTTTTTTTAGTGCTAAAATGCAGCAAAATTTAAGATTGAACAATAACTCGATGAAATCCCCCAATTGTTTGTTGAATCATCTTTGTCGTATATCATTTTTGATAGTTTCACTCGTTTTCACCATAAAACATTACACCACTCATAAATTTAAAAGATTTCTAGCATACTATATTATTCATTTTTTAAAGTTTGATTATTTATTCATCGAATATCTACAGTTTGTGTGTCTCGAAGGCAAAAAAAACAAAACAGAATAGACAGAACGAATTAGTTTGCTGCATAAATTAAAGATTATACTTAATAATTAAGATCATATTCTCCCATTGAAAAGGAATAAGGCATATCAATGTATTGAACTAATTTCAATTTCATCAAAATACTGTTTCATTTCTGCAGCAATAGAACTGAGAAAAATACCTTCCTGAGTTCATGAACTGAGCCTGTGAGCTATTTGGGTAGAATGGCAAGCTCACTTGTTTGTTAGGCTTTTTATTACATCTAATGATCATGCACGTGTTAGTTCATTTTTTCAATTAGTAAAAGTTCTATTGTCGTTTTTATATGCACAACTTTAGACAGTTTTTTCTAGATTCTGAGCAAAACAGCACAATTATTGATAAATATTTCTTGGGACCGTGTACGTGGTGCTAAGTATTTTAAAATATTTTTCACTTAATATATTTTTGAATACTGAAACAAGCCTAGTTAACGTTAAAGAATTTCCACGATAACACTCGATTTGTAAGTTATTTTTTCTCCGAAATAGCAAATCAACAATACGTTCATTAAAATTTCTCATGATTTCTTAATTATTTCAATGCTTTACCGAGATAGCATTGCCATTATTTGTACAAAGGGTTAACCTCAACATTTTTCCAAGATAGTTCTGTTGAAGTGCTCTTGGACTTCAAAAAGCTTGATTTGCAGTCGTGAAAGGCAACGATATCGTTATGTCTCTTTTTATCAAAATCAATTCAAGAAAGAATCTTAAAATATTTCTGCCATTGATTGCATGTATTTTCCATCCAAATAACAAAACCGCGAAAAATGACTTTTCTGTACATGTTCTTCATCATTGTAGACATAAGTGCACCATGTCATTTTAAAGTTTTGCTTTACGAGAATTCACGGTGAGACTTTAAAAGAGTACCTTCAATTCTAATGCATTATGGACATTGGACCATCAGGCGAATTCTTCGTGTCATGGTGGCTGACAGCAGGCGATGCTGAGAAGGGGAGTTTTAATGTTGTAACGTCGCAATAATGAGGCAACACGTGGTCGTCGAGACGCATCACGTGTCAAATAATACACGATCATTGGCTCGTCACGTCCTTTCATTTTGACTGGTCCACGTAGTTCGAAATTAAAACTTTCGTCCATACTTTCCGGTTTCTGAAGGCATCTATGATAAAAAACATCAAGAACAAAAGGGGTGAAAAAAATAATTGTGAAAAAAAGTCGTTTGCATGAATTTCGTGAAAGTTTGAAGTTCAGCTTTCTTTTAATTAAGTTGGAAATTTAAACTAAACTTAAATTTTGCACGCCAATGTTTAGAATTTGAATCAAAGAAGCAATAAAGACCAATTGATTGAAAATTTCCATCTTCTATTGTTGGTTTTAGAAACTTTTATACAATGTTGCCTTATATAATTGTTTCTCTGCATAAACTAAATGAACAGTATAGATTGTTTCGTGTTAAATAATGATAAACACGTCCATTCTTGAACGAGCAACCGTTGCACCGTTAAATTGTATTACGTGATAACAGACGCACACGATTAATTTTATCGTAATTCATATTTCGTAAATATAAATTTATTCCGATGAATTTCATTAAGCTATTTAACGAAATTGTGTGAAGAAAAAGTTGTATTTTTTCACTCGTGGCTATATTAGCCAATCACAAGTCCTGAATTAATGTATTAATAACAATTGTTGATGGTCAAGGTCAAATACCTACCTGTACGCAAATTCACTAACATTGATCTTCCCTTTTGTACCGGTAGTTTCAGTTCTGCTAGTCAAGTTGACTGTATTGCCAAAGAGACAATATCTTGGCATCACCTGTCCTACCACTCCAGCTACCACCTCACCGGAATGGATACCAATCGTAATCTATTTCAATAAACAATGCTTGCTATATTCAGCCAGTTAAGATTACTAACCATTGAATCGTTTGCGTGACGCAGACGTATATCTTTTTTAAAACAACTAGTAAAATTTAATATTATTTAGAAATACTATTATAGATGGTAGCAATTTTGCAATTCATAAATGATTTTTCTTTGAAAAACAGATAAGCCTATGCTTCGAAAAATGCTTTGCTGATGAACATACATGAGAGATTCATATTGAAATTCATTTCAGTTTCACCTGAATCTTGCGTTTTTGGCTATTAATACATTCCACCATCTCCATCATATCAAGCGCCATATTGCCAATTTTACGCGCATGATCATTGCACCTTTCAGGAAGTCCACTGACAGCCATATACATATCTCCCACGGTCTCTACCTGATGCAACGTTAAATATTGAACTTTGCCAACTAACAGTTGTTTGCGGCAATATTGTTTATAAGTTGAAACCCTTATAGAGACTCGCAAGTCGCAAAGAACAAAGCATATCGTGTTTATTTATCCGCTCTGTTGAATACATTTGTCAACGGCGGTATTAACTTGATTTCTTTGCTCAATTCAAGTGATCTCTTCCAGGACAAGTCGAATGCAAATGAAAAACAAGTATAAACGTAAATTTGTGTGAATCTATTTGATTTACTTAGTAACCAAAGTTCCAACACATTCTAGATGTTGAGGCAAATTTCTAAGAGATTCCATTGTAAATAGTAGCAATGTAAAATACATTTTACCTTAAAAGTGGTTATCGCCCTTGGTACAAGATATCTTCCAGACATTTTATTTACTCACCTTGTACACGTCATTGATTCGAGGATCGACCAAAACATCGAAACTTGTGTAGACGTCATTCAGCAACTGCACTATGTCAAGGGGTGTGGCACTTTTGCAAAAGTCAGAAAATCCAACGATGGCGCTGAAGAGAATTGTTACCATTTCATATTTTTCCGCCGGCACAGGTCGTTTGTGTCGTAACTCATTCGCAACGGATGATGGAAGAACGGAGTAGAGCAGTTGATCCGTGAGTTGCTTTTCAGCTTCGAGATCTTTGTGTGTTTGTTTAAGGCAGTCGGTGAGAACTTCCAGACGTTGTGTGAGCTTGTATTCAGCTGCAAATTGCTCAGATAAGAGGATCAACTGTCTTGTTGAATCGTGTATCGGAATATCACTGACGTACAGACCTTTTGACAGCAAATCGTCAAGATCAAGTACACTCGGAGAACAAAGGTAGAGCACTTGATCAGACTCCTCTATGTATAACATTTGACCTACATTGTGACAAATGAAATTAGAAAAATGAAGTTAATCATATTCTGAAGTTTTCTATCCGTACATACTGTTTTGAATTGTTATCAAGGCGGTAACTGTAACGTGCTGTATCAGAATGCGGGAATTTACTAGAAATTAATTACATCAGTTGTCCAGATTAATTACATCGTATATCCATCAGTTAAGGTTATGCCAATGCAGGACGATGCTTTTTAACAAGCAATCTCAAGAAGACCAAGTAATACTGTTACATATAATTTGGATGAATTGAATATCCTGGTATTTCAGCAACAATTCCTGAATCAATTCAACAACAGTAATTAAGTATTTCATACTGCAGGCTCCTGATTCCTTTAAACAAAGTGGCCATGTATGAAATCACAAAATAGTTACCTTTGAGTCGTAGATTTAGATACTCTTCTCCACTGCTTTCCTTTCGATAAGGTGATACGGGTGTGCTATCCTCTTTATCGAGAACGAGAACACCTTGGCGAGTTTTCATTACAAAAACTGTATTGATGTGAGCTAACACTGAATCCACGGTGAACTCAATCTGTGGTCTTACACATTGAAATAAATCGCCAAAATTTGCGTCATCCTCATTCAACTGAGGAAGAACTCTGCAAACAGAGTCTCCAGACTGAATGACCGTCAAATCTCGATCAAAAATTATGTGAAAAGGAAAAGCTTTGCAGAAGGACATCGGTGATATTTTGGGCTCCAAGTCTAGCTGTCCATTCATGGTAAGATCAGTGTCATCAAGTTTCATTTCAGAAGAATCACCGATGCCAATTTCAGTAATAGCAAACTGTACATGGTCGTTATCTTCATCTTTAGTCTGGAGAATTTCAACAGACACCTGAAATTTCACAAAGCATTATAAGAAGATGCACTAACTTCTTTTTGGTTTGCATAAGCCTTTGCAAACAGGAAAAACGTCTTTTGCTTCTTAAATGAATATATTAGAACTCTAGAATCTCCTAATCATTCATTATGAATCTTACAAACTTTCAAAATTTTAAACTTTGACTTACCTCAGTCTTGAGAAGTTTTCGTGCCACAGTTTTAACAATTCCCAACACAATATGCTCAAGGCCATCTCGAATTGAATAGTAATGCAGGATTATTACTCCATCACGGTTGGTAACACGAAAGGAAGGTGCCCTCATGCCGGGGTATATGCTCCCTAGATGATCGTGCAAAGCATCAAGATTACACAGGAAATCACTGAGTTTTCCTCCAAGAACGTGTAATATTCGGTCATAACCTGACTCTTCACAGAAGTCAAAAAAAGTTTCCCCGAACATTTCCAGGATCTTTGTCGCTGGGATACCTAGATGAACAAAAAAATCAAAATATTTTCTTTAAGTAAAAACTCGATGTAAGCTTAACTAACAAGAAGTGCAACTTCACTGTGCACTACATTGTTTTAATTAAGATTCAAGATTGAATTATCTTTTGACTTGGAAAACGAGGATTTTTACCAGACTGCTATTGCAAATTATTCTAGATATAGTACGCCAGTACTCAGTACTAAAACTAGTTTTTCAATAGTTGACATTACAAAGTTCAGTTGCTTTTGAACGAAATCTGTATGATTCACATTTTCTAGAGAACGTGAGAAAATTGGAAAGATTACTATCATAGGAAAGATTAATATGATTACTATGATTACTATGGCAAGCGTCACTTCCAGCAAAATGGCGCGCTTTGATTGGCTCAGAAACATTTTTGCCACTCCTTTATTTTCCCGTAATCGACCACGGTCCAAAATGCGTAATTTTACTGTCATGTATAAACAAAGTTCGTAATGTAAACAGCAAAGCACAAAATAAACGAAACAAAAACCATTTACGAGTGTGATTCGAAGGAAAAACACTTGGAAACAGTTAAACTATTCAGACGATACATTTCTAAACGATTTATTTTTTATGGACGAAAACTAGAAATGTGAAAACCAACCCGTAAAAACAGTAAGGATGAGAAAGAAAGCAAGCTTCGTTTCAGGTGAAATAATGCCATATAACAATCCTTTTAATAACCTCGCTCTCTCTGTCTTTACTGAGAAATATCGGACCTCTGTTTTTTGTACAAACCTCGCCCTACGGGCTCGGTCTGTACAAAAACACTTCGGTCCGATTTTTCTCCGTAAAGACCTCGCACTCGGTCATTAAGGTCCTATTAAGTTACCTAAGACTTCGGATGCTGCTTTCACCAGGTCGTACGTTTTAAAATCATCGTAAACGATTCGCACAAGAAAATGACCTTCTAAATCCAATCCAGCTTGTTTCCTAAATGCAGAAGATCAATCAGCATTGTCGGCAAAATATACAATTACAAACTTGTCAAGTCATTGCTCGCATATTATGTTTGCGAACGTGAGATTTTTAAACTATATATCTGAGTTTTGTAGTTATATACCAATATATAATGTATGGATGATGTAAATATGAGAGGTCATGCTCCCAAAACAAAATTCTATCTTACGGGTCATGACCACTGACCAGTGCAGACAGCAGAGGAAATCGCCTCCCGGGTTAGTTTTTTGTGTTGGATAGCCTGCATGCAGGATATTTTGTAGTAATGGTTGTGCTATTAATGGAAACTTTGTATTTAAAGATTAAAAAATAAACATTACATGCAACCGGCATTGAGTTGTCGGTCTATTAAAATATTATTCGAAAATGATGATCAAGATAGTCTATGGCCACAAGTTTGGTCCTGCTATACAAATTTTTCTGTGCTCACTCACTGTGAGCGTGAAAAATTTATGAAGAAACAAACAATGACAATGCCCTGAGTTTACAATGCAACACCAAAACTTGCAGGCTGGCAGCGCTATAAAATGCTAGTCTCAGGCAAGCGTTTTGATTTATCGCACAAACGGCATCTCATACAGACATAAACGTCAAAGACAAGTTGTTTACGATACAGGCATAAAGCGTTTTGAAAAAATGTTTTTCAGTCCACAATGGCAATGAATTTGTAGTTAAAATATGGGAGAAATCCTAAGGAACTCATTTTTTATTATTTGAGCACGTAAGAACAATCACGTGACATACAATATAGGCTTGGCAAGTGTAAAAAGGGTTACGACAGTACTGTTAGCTAAACTGTGAGTGCAAAGCATATTACTGAAATCTCACCCTTTTGTTAAAATTTCACGGAAAAGGCATAGAACATATAACATTTGAATTATGTTCACCTATTTACTTCATTTTGTGGTTATTTATTGGACAGGCTACCCACATGTACGCACTGCGGCGGGCCTATTTTTAGAATTTCTATTTTCATAATAAATGGTCCAGGAGGGCAAATCCCTTCGTTTAGAGCCATAGCTCAGTTGCAAATTTATGGCTTTTGACGCTTACAATCCCTTGTTGATATGTAGGCTTAAGCCCAGCGCAAGTGAGAATTGAGTAAAGCCCGTCCCAATGCATGGTATTTGTAGCGTACAAGAATATTCAGGCTATGTTACATTACTGAAATTTAGCTGTATTTCTACATTGCCGAAATGAGAGTATGAAACAGCGTCAGCACTAGTCTGTTTTTCTCATATGTGCACAATCTCCGTAATTTTCTTTTTACGGTCCCGCTTTCTCACTTCTTAAATCTTTGTTGCATATGTTTTTCGAGATTAAAAATGTTATATTATCGATTATGATGAAGCATAACTACTAAACGATTTAAGACAAGATATTTTATCAAACAAGAACAGAACATCAGAGAAACATGTTTAATACATTTTACTTACTTTATTTCATCCCATTTTTCTTCGCCAAATCTCTTTAGAATAAGGAGTTGCAGTGCATGATTCACGAATCCGTACTAAATAAGAATATTTAAATAGCCATCTGCTTGAGAATAAGGAGCGACAAAGTCTAGTCATAGTCAGGAGTTACAATGGCGCAGCCACGCACCACTCAAGTTTTGATTTTTCTGTGGAGATTTCAAAACATGATCATTATTCATCTGTTAATAAATCTAATGATTTTTCCGTGAGTACACACAGAAAAATTTGCATAGCAAAAAAAATTTGCATTCACTCATAACTATGCACTTAAAAGAAGAATATTCAAATATTCAGAATATCACTTGTATGGTAGCTATCATGCACGTTACATGCATGGAAAAAACCATTAAAAAATGACTGCGTATATTTGTAAAGAAAAATTTTTGACGCAGTTTGTATATAAGATCTTTTTATTCCATTTTTTTTCAGGTCAGCTCAGCTACATATGCACTGTGTCCCAAACAAAGATACTCACAATAAAAATGCAAATCAGATGTACTCATTGTAGATGACACAATGGATAAACGCTGTGTGATTAAGCTGATAAATAATTAACAGCATTTTTTTCTGCGACGTTGCACCAGTTCAATGATTCGACTTCTAATCTAATGTAAGACAATGCCAACATGAAAAATTCCTATTACAATAGTTACACAGAGCTTGCTCGTGTACTCTGGTGAGACCTACGTCTTGTTTAGGAATAAAAATAATTTCGTTTATTTTTGCTATGTCCCAAACTGTCTTTTATTAATCTGACCTTGAAAATGCACAACGCACTAATTGACGTTTTTCATGTCGTCACTTTCACGATGCGCAAAGCCGAAAGCGTGTCATATAAAATGCTAAAGAATACAGTTTTTGTAACTGTTTGTTTACAAACATTATACAAAAGAGTTTCCATGGAAATTTTTTTCATGTGCAAAAGCTGAAGTCAAAATTCACAATTATCTGTTAGTAACCGATAACATGTTCAATTTTCATACAAACGTAAAAATTTAGAGGTTCCAGCTGTGTTTGCATCACTTTGTTCAATATACGCTCGTTGAGATAATTTTTCAAATAAAAGGCACACAGTTGAAACAAATTATTGTTTCAATCTATACCTAGGACTTACCATTTCAACTTTGTAGAAAAGTGATAGAATTCAGTTTAACTTAAAGGTCAAATACTGTCGTAAAGAGCTTTCCATTGCCATCAGTTCATATACAGTAGAAATGATTCGCTGCTATAGCTGCGAGGTAGCAGTGAATGTCATTAGTTGAACGTCAGCTGCGTTGTTCTCATGTCAACCATTCTTCTCAAGAAGTTAGTAACGAGCGCTATTCAATCTTTTGACAATACTTATTACTGCACCAATCACGTTGTCCAATCATCGTTAATCTTTTTGCTAATCAAAAGATCATTTCCAAATGCCCAATGGATTTATTCGAAGTATACCAGGAGAATCTACAGTTGGTTTTCAGCAATTTACTGCAAAGTAAAAACTGTTTGCAGATAATTTTACTGCGGTGGTAAAAAACACGAGCAAATAAAAAATAATTCGACTTTTTGCTTACAGTGTTTGACTTATGAATACAAAATTGAAGCATTTGGCAAATTCAAATTGTGCTTGAAAATTACTTCTTAGCGCTATTAAACGCCTTTCCATAGCAACGTTGCTCTATAATTAATCTTTTATCCATCTCATTTAGTTTAAGGTTCTGTTTATACGGAAAGAAAAATTCATGCTTTATAGGTGTGTGCGATAAAATATGCTTTTCGAAAAAAACATCTGACAAAACATCTGTGCAATTTCGACGAGCAATACAACCAACTAAATTTTCTTGAAGCTACGAATTTGTGAAGCCTTTTTATAATTATAGCGAATGAATCTTGAAAAAATGTGAGAAAACACAAATACATTGTAAGATACTGGCGATAAAATCTTATAAGAACTTAATATGCTATCTAGATTAGCTTTATACTTATTACAATTAGCAAGAACCTGCTTATCTGTTAATTTTCAAAATAATATTACTTTTTTTATCTTACGACATTCATGTAAAAGTGGTGCTAAATTAACGGTCATAAATCTTCGGGGGTTTAAAGGGATTTGGTAAAAGAGCGATTTTGTAAGAGATCGTTCGCAAAATTATGCCACACCCTTTTGTCAGTCCTCACCCTCACCGCAATTCTTTCTTGACTCAGGTTACAACTCTGCTCGGGCCTGCTCCTGTATTATCATTTTACGTAGACTTGTTGAAACATAGAAAATGTGATGACAGCAAAAGGAACGCTCGTGGTCATTCATAATGCTAATATATTGGAATGAAGTTCTCATAAGCAAGACGAAACTTTTGAATAAGATCATATGGCTCGTAAATATAGAACACTAGCTAGCTGTGAACATTCTTTTTTCAGCATTCCAGCCCTCTGTATCGCGTAAATTATCAAAGCACGTATTTAGCGAACGCCTATTTTCTTGATTTCATGTTTGAAACAGAAGTAGAAGTCTTAATAATCACACGAACATTCGTGTTTGCTCCCTTTTCCTTGATGTCCTTTGACGAAGATCGTGAAAGAAAATAAGTGATCATTGGTTCTTTTTTACCTTTCATCGTGACAGGCCCTCGACATTCAAGTTTAAAACTTGGATCTTTTGGCGAGAGAAGACATCTGAAAATTGACGCGACGTATTCATCACAATTGAGATAAATTTGATAAGGTAAAATTAGAGTCATTGATTAAGATATGACGGTAAATAGATGAAAGTTTGAATGCTAAATTCATAAGAAGTTTTTATACCGAACGCTTGCCAAATTTCCCGGTTACAACAAAGACCTTTTTATGTGCACCGCATACTTACTTTTGCGCAGGCTCAGAAACATTGATCTTTCCTTTCTCACCAGTAGTTTCTGTTCTACTAGCTAAATTGACAGTGTTCCCAAAGAGACAATATCTTGGAAGTTTTTGACCTACCACACCAGCTACGACTTCGCCAGAGTGTATACCAATAGTTATCTGAAATTATGTACGTATAATTTTTTCACAAATTCTTCAATAGTGTGTTTCTTGAAATCTAATGTGCATTATTTTTTGTCTTGATGCTCTCACGAGAATTTAAATTTAGTTCACGAGAATGGCATCATGTAAAACTATAGTTAAAAATACCCTCTCAAGAAGCTTAGCTGTTAGTTTAATAAATTGATCTAAAAGGACCACGAAATATTTTGCTATAATTCTAGCTATATAGTTAATTGTTACCTTGAAGGGCTTGCCTCTTATCAAGATGCTCCTGCAGGCGTCCATCATATCTAGTGCCAGTTTCGCCACGTAATGAGCATGCGTGTTGCATTTGGTTGGAAGACCGGAGACAGCCATGTATTTGTCACCAACTGTTTCAACCTACAGAATATTAGAAACAAACTGATTAAACACCAATCATTTCAGAAAGTTGCTTTGAATACCTTCAAACGAACAAGATCAAAATATTATTATACCTTGTAAACATCCTCATACGTGTCCAACAGATTGTCGAAAGTCATGTAAATGCTGTTTAACAAGTTCACAATCTCCATTGGTTCGATGATGTCATTACAGTACTGAGAAAAATTGGCAATACCACTAAATAAGACAGTCACAACTTCAAATTTTTTCGCCTTTACCGGTCGTTTCAACCGCAGTTCGTTTGCTACCGATGGGGGTAGAATGCTATAAAGAAGCTTGTCGGCCAGTTGCTGTTCCTTCTTCAATTCTCGCGCAGTTTGTTGCAATTTATCAGTAACAATCTGAAGACGCTGAGTTAGTGCACACTCCGCGTTACGATGTTCGGATAGTAAAATGAGATCACGAGTTGCGTCATGTAAGGGAATATCGCTGAGGTAAAGCCCTGTAAACAAGGACAGTATAAGGAGACGGAGTTTGGATAGATTAAAATATTAAGCTTAATATCATTCCTAAAAAGTCAAAGGTAACGGCGCAAACCAACACCTCATTTGAAAATGTGGAGAAGTAAGCTGAAAATTGTCCAACTGTAGCTAAATGGAAACTACATAAGAACTGAACAATAAAACAGATATAACTGATATCACATTGCAGTCTTGCATGCCGTCAAGTTGCTTACTTCAACATTGTAGTGTATCTACGCAACTTACACGTGAGGACTTTCATCAGCTTATCTAAAGATATTACACATTCAGGGCCGTTGGAACATGAAGAAAGTCAGGGGGCTCATTAGTGATCATTATTATGAATGGCCTGGGGAGAGAGAATCTCAAACGGGATAGAGAACCACCACCCTAACCAATGACAGCGTATTTTTTGTCGACTTTGCATATTTGAGTGTGTGATGATTTAAAATCTTGATGATTCACAATCTTGTATTTAATTTTTGATTCCTTCTATGACAAAATTAAGTAGCATTGCAATTATGGTATGAAAATGTTAATGCAGCAGTTGACTTAGTTGGGCACACACCATAGACAAGTATATAGAATTTAGTCCCCGTATCTTCCGAATTTTGTGATTGAGTTAGAACACAGAAGGATTCGATTTTCACATTCGAAGTAAACAAATTTACCATACAATGTGCAACTGAGGTGAATCCGTCCGAATTTACATCAACAATAAGAATTTTTAGCAGAGCTTAGGTTTTGGCTTGCAATAGTTAAAGAGGATGGGGATAAAGCTTCCTTGCCCCTGTGTTTCCTACGGCCATATTCATATTTACTTGTCCACTTCACCTTTTTCATTAAGACCATCGAGGTTTAACACTATTGGTGAACATAGATAACAAAAGCAATCACTCTCTTTAAGGTACAGCATTTGACCTTTGAAACGCATCGTGGGTGACTCAATTCGTTTCTTATCATCCTCAGATACCGTGGATAAGGTCGACGAGTCCAGTGCACCTTCATTGGTCTTAAGCAAAAATATTGAATTGATGCGTGACAAAATGGATTCGAATTTGCTGCTCACTGGTGGACGAACAATTTCAAACACCTCATCGATTGTCGTCCGGCCGACCTGAAGTGCGGGTAAAACCCTTTGCATCGATATACCTGCTTGAAATATTACCATGTTGCGGTCAAACATAAAATGGAATGGTACGGCTCTGCAGAAGGTAGAAACCTCAATACTAAATTTGTATTCAGCAACTCCACAGGCTTCTTCGATTCTTCTAGATTGCCGACGTTGCGGTAGAAGTTTGACGGCCCCCATGAAGTTTTTTGGCCGTAACAAAAACTTCGTACATCCCTCATCTTCGTCGTAGCTGTCTATAATTATATCGATATCAGTCTGGTATATATGTTTCGCAGCAGCTTTAATCATGCCAATCGCCATGTACTGCAGTCCAACTCGAATGGAATAGTAATAAACAGTGAGAACATCCATTCCTTGTTGCGTTTCAACGCGAAACGATGGTGCTTGCATACCAGGATAACGAACTAGCAGCTGCTCGTGCAAGTTATCCAATCCTGAAAGAAAGTCACTCAGGTTCCCACCGAGACATGATAGAATCTTCTTCCATCCAGAACTGTTGCAATGCTCAAAAAACATTTGTCCAAACTGCTCCATAAGATCATTTCTTTTGATCGCTGTATGAAGAAATTATGTATGAGAAACAGTTTGCAACAAATGCTGCGCAGTCATGTCCGCTATGGCTGCATTGTAATGAAAATGATGCATTTTCTAACTTGTCTATCGTTACATATAATCGTGCATTTATAAATTTAAAGGACAGGGTGTAGCTGTGAATATTAAAGCTATGGTTACGAAAAGAAATTGCAATTATGACTAAACATCTTCAAGTGATGGTTCATGTTCAAATAGTGAGTCGTAAAAGACCGTCAAGAGGAATTATCTGTCGAAATAGTTTTATAGAGCCTCATACACTGTGCCATTCCTTTATAGTGTTTCCACTTTTTTCTTGGAAAAAGAAGACAAAATGTTAATTCTCTCGAATATATCCACCGATACAAAACGGTAAAGTATAAACGTGGATTGCACATGTGCATGTCATTATTTTCAAGACGGAGTAAGATCTATTGAGAAATGGTTTAGTTCAAAAATTGGTAATTTAATGAGGCAGGGTTTTTAACAAAAGAGAGAGTGCTGTCGTGAAAGGGGAAGGTTTACTTACATTGCATACAGCATTAAATGTTCTTATAGTTTCGCTCTCTATGAACGCCACCGACAGGACTAAACATGTAGGCGTGCTACGCCACGCCCCAACGTTTCTATACTTCTTGGTTTTGCATCCAGCAACAAGTTAAATGTCATGTTATAAAGCCCAATGTAGGTAAATTTAGGAGGAACTGCTTGTGAATTCTATTGACTTAAAAATGTCTTATTTAGCGGCCGTATAGTTAACTATTTAAAGATGGGAATCAAACAAATCTTCAGTCTGTGTAATCATGGTGTCGAGGCTTTATTTTAGTATTTTAGTATTTGAATGGGTAAATGCTATCGCTCCATAAATACAAATGTACATTAAATTAACTGTTATGTTGATATGAAAAGGTTGTTGCTAAACTTTAGCCCGTATGTAAGTCAAAGCTAATCAAGGCTAAAATTTGAACAGAAAGATATGATTATACATAAATGGTGCAAATGACTCAAACAAATTCTATAAGATTAATTAAATCTTGAATGGAATATTCCTTCCGTGATAATTTGATACCAAATCTTAACTACCCTAACGGTTAGGAAAATTAATCCAATTAAGTTTAATGAGCAAGACGCAAGTCAATAACATATAAAGTGCACTTGACTCATTTAGTTTAAAATCGTGCAAATAACAAACTATAAAAGAGCGACTGTACATCTTGCAAGATTTACGCATTTGCCACATTACATGCTTTTGTAAGTACGGTGTTTTCAGCTTGTCATAGAGAATGTAATTATGACTAGGGAGATCTCTGCACCATCAACAAAATAAGTAATTTTTTACTGCTCTTTTGCAATGCATTACCTGACTAAATGTTGTAACATGGAACATAAATGTAAAATATCGTCGGAACATGCTCATAACAGTTACACAATATGTGCAAATATTAAATTTCGTTTATAAATACAATATCTCTTATGTAACAGTGAAAAAAAGATAGCACATTACCCTATGTACACATTAATATTTCCTACATTGCACAGCAATGCTTCCATGAAGCAACCAAGAGACAGCAAAATAAAAAAATTCCAATAAAATATGCAGGTGCATGATATATGTGCATGATATATGATATATGAGTGTTGATATCTTCATTCACACACCTTGACAACGCGAAAAAATGGAAATGAAAAAAGGAGCGCTCTCAAACTATTGTTTATTTAACTAGACGAAATCGTCAAATTGCAGAATCTTACAATTGTTGTGAACTAGCACGTCAAAATTTGCTTATTGCAGCGACAAATGTATAATATTCCAAACATGCACGGTATGAGCACATATTTAATTTGAAATTAATGCGCTAGAATTTAGGCTCTTATATCCACTGCTCTTATTCTGGAAGACAATAACAATCATTGCACTAGATTTCAGCAACAAAATGAATCAAATTTTACAAATACAGAAGAACGTGTAACAATGCAAAACGTGCAACCATTAATTGTAACCATCGATAACAGTGCATTAAGTTACGCATTTACACCTTTTTAATTGTACATGAATTATGTCTGACGTTTTTAATGAAAACTGAACAGTAGTCAATCTCAGTGAAGGTAACACGAAAAGCATCAAAAATTCGGTTGATCTATCAACCCCCGAAATTTCAATATGCTCACTGTGCGATAAGCACTCGATCATTGATGTACAAGAGATAACAGTCATAACAATTTAACTCTAGTTGAACTCTGGTTTAATAAAAGAAAAATAATCTATTATTGTCACGCTAAAATAGGTCGCCCTCAATTGTTATTTTAGTACGATAGTGCAAGAGAAAAAAATGCACATATGATCAAATGGTCGACCACGTCAATGCTTACCCAATACATCACATGCAACACTGACCAAATCCATGATATCTTGATCGTCATATATTCGTCGCTCGTCAAAAGAGTATAAATCATCGCTGTCAATATTAGCACGAGAACTTTGAAGAGAAAAAGCAACACATGTTTGAACAATTGAACTTACACGTGAAGAGACTTTGCTCATCAAAATTAGGACATTGGACAATTGCGAAGGAAGAAGTTATTATGAATTATGACTTCTTTAATGCAGAATGAACAGCTTAAGCGACTACAGTGTACATGATTTAGAATGCAACGGAGTACTTTGCTTACATGAATATTTGCTGTTGACCTGGTCAACGAAACGCGTTGAAGCAGTGTCTATTCATATGGATGGCATATTGCATTGGGAGTAAATCCTGTGTGTACACTGTAAAATGTTTTCCTTCGCTTGCATATTTGACAACGTAAAACAAAAACATTGAAGACATTGCACACTACCATCAACATATTTCTAAACAAATTGCCTCACCAAATCTCTTCCCAAACTCCACAGCCGTAGTTAAGTTCAATAAGTTTCTGAAATGCGTGATTGACAAATCCGTACATCTCAGGTACAAACAGATGAAGTCCGTCACGTATTCCCGACGCTCTGATTGCAGAAAAAGTTACGAAGTGTTTTACATGGAAGCATTGAAGAAAAATGCAAATGTGCCGGAAGAGTGTGAAAGATGTGGGAACATCAGTTTCACGTCTTTCACCAAAGCCGCTTTGACAAGAAGTAAAGAATACCGATTCATCACATTTTTTACACAAGTGCATCTGCAATGGATGAGTGCCCCCATGGCGAGTGTGTTAAATAATTGCAATTTAGGTCTGTTTTTAACTGAGTTCATTTAAAACAATACACCAGATGGGCAATATAATACGAAGATAGCTCGAGATAATGAAGGTACCAACATATTATTTCATCATGTCAACAATATAATGGTGCCAGAATGACGCCTCCAAATAAGGAATGCCTACTTAAGGTTAAAGTTTAGCTTGTTGCTATTGCTCAATTTTAAAGCATTAAAATAATTCAGCTGCAACATAGATAACTGTCCCAAACCATTGCAAGGACTTTCGCCGGTGTTCGTTAACGGTGAGATTAGTGTTGTATGAGATTCTGAAATGGATTGAGTAAGCAGGCCTAATTAATCGCAGCAGGACGCTTGCAAGGTCCTCAATTTCACCCAGTTCCATGAAATCATTGTCATTAATTCCGTCGCACCAAGGGAGGTGGGTGTAGGAGGGGTGCCTAGAGACTGCGCTCCCCCCAATATGAAAATCGTGAGGCCGAACGAGCTTTTGGCTTTCCATACTAGGTTCACATTGAAATGGTTAGAACATTTAAGAAATTAAGAATCTTATCGCGCGTCAATCACGAAACTTATTACCATCATTTTCTTGTGTTTCACTTGATTAAAGTAACCCGATGTTTTTTCAAGGTTTAGTTGTATTTTGGATTAAAAAGGCTTAATAAAGCATTTTTTATAAGTACTCCACCAAATTAACCTTTTATTTGGTGGCACCGTGCGAGATTCGGCTGCCTCCGCTATGACTTATTTTAAAAAATGAATATTTGTTTCTTTGGCATTTTGTTTCACTCTTCACTTTTCCATTGATTGTACAAACAAGATTGACACATCGAAATATCAATCAACGAAAGAAATAAGCTTTAGTATGAGATACAGTGAGCATAGCGAAATCTGCTCGTTGTTGGGAGACGTTTCACTTTTTTAAAAATAAACATGTAAGACGTTCAAGGATGAAATGGTATTTAATTTCAAATTTCTACATAGACATATAAATAATAAAGCTATTAAATTCTCTCTCGGAAGAAAACCAAAAACATAATATGATACCGCATCTTAATAAATTAAAAACCAGAGCAATCTAATAAAACAAACGGGACGTAAGTTAACAAACAAAATGACCGTAAATGTTTCTAAATCTGTTCAAATAATCGCTTTCATCAATATGAGAGGAACATTATGATGGCATTTTTTTATCATGACTTCACAGGCGAATGAATCGTTGAAACATGCACGAAGGGCACAAACAGCCAAGTTTCTGAAATCCTCAAATCATTATGGAGCTCTGTTTCCATAGTTTTAAAAATACGTGATATTAAAATTGTGTAATCTCAAAACAGCAAGAGACAGTCTTGTCAATAGAATTCACAATGTCAGAAAGCCACGACTTGGCGAGCTGCAAGAAACAAACACAATTTGATCAATGCACTCACTCAGAATGTGCATTTTCTTCAACGTCAAATTACAAATAGTATACAATCCACTTTGTTTAACAAAGCAATCGCGACTCCATACAACAATGACGTCAAATTGCTTTCAGATAATTGCTTGACAAATAACTCAAGTCAACCAAGAGATTTCCTGAAAGTCGTGCAACATGATAATTGTATCTTTGGTTGTGACCAACAACTACACAGTGCACCCAATGTTCTCTATTCAAATGGCGTTCTTCGCATGAAACATCGTCAGCTTCTTAATCACTTCACGAGTCGAGGAGGAATTACATGTTTAAATGGACGACACAAATATTGTACATAACTAAACCGTATACTTAGTAAAGTCTAGAGACCGGTGAGTGAATGTCTATGTAAAAGTTTTTCGTGCATTCTAAAACTAAAAACTCTGAAAATGAGGGCAAAGAAGCGAAAGACACTATGCAAGAATACGTGTGTTCACAAAGTAAAGAATACGTGTGTTCACAAAGTAAAGAATACGTGTGTTCACAAAGTAAAGAATACGTGTGTTCACAAAGTAAAGAATACGTGTGTTCACAAAGTAAAGAATACGTGTGTTCACAAAGTAAAGAATACGTGTGTTCACAAAGTAAAGAATACGTGTGTTCACAAAGTAAAGAATACGTGTGTTCACAAAGAGCATCCCACATCATTGGAGAACATTGCCTTTTTTGAACTTTCCAATGACCATTATGAATAAAGGCAACTAGGAAGTCGACCTTATGTTGACACTCGTCAAAAAACATCTTTAAAAGCAACTTCCACTAACTTGCTTTTAACGTTCCTTTAAGTTGCTGTCTGTCTGCAATTCTTTACTGTTACTACCAGACAAGTTTTCGTTTTTAGCTAAAGTGTTTGTCGTGTGATTAGCGTTTTTTGCCTGATTCGTAGGTTGATCAAGTTTTTTTTGTGAAAGCACTTTTTTTTCACTTTTCTGCTGTTTCTTTGACGTATCTTGCTTGGAGCACTTCGACAAGGAATGTTGTTCTTTAGAAGATTTTTGTTGTGCTTTCTCCATAGCTGGTTGATTTTTGTTCATGTGATCCTTAGACGAAAGTTGCTTAGAGTGCACTTCCTTATTACTTGATAACGAACGCTGTTCTTTGGAAAGGCCTTGATGTGCTCGATTCACTTTGTGACCTCTTGATGATGATGGTTTATGATCGTCATTTGATGAGCTGACATCATAACGAAGATGAGTTTTGGATACAGATGGGTTATTTTTATTTGATCTACGTTGATTATTGTTCACTTGGTTACTCATATTAGAACTCGATCCTACTTTCTCGAAGTTCTCTAGTTCCATATCTTGACCTCCTGTTAACTTGCTTTCACTATCTTTAGTCTTTGAAGATAGTTTTTTCTCACCCTTTACCCTATGTTTATCAGTTGTAATAGTGGCAGTGTGAGCTTCACTGTTACTGCTATCAACTTTCTGCTCTTTATCCAACTGTATTTGGCTTGGGGTACGTTTATCATGACCTTCTTTTCTTGATTCGATTTTCCCCATGGCATTAACTTTCGTAGAAAGCTTTCCCCCCGAATCGTTTTCTTCTGCAACTTTGTTCAATGGCTATAACAAAGAGCACAACAAAATTATGACAAAATGCACGTAACAACAAATAGTAAAATTAAAAAAACATACCAGTTGATCATTGCCTAAAAAATGTTACATTTCATATCACAGAAATACTAAAGTTACAACACCCAGTACTTACGTCACTCCGAAAGTCGTCGATTGTTTTATATTTTTCAAGCCTTTTGGTAATCTCAGGACTTATATCAGGTAAGGTTTCTCCCTAAAAATTCATCATAAAAATTTCAAAATAAACAAAATGAGGCGCCTATTTAGCCCCTGCTGATAAATATATCTGAGAAAATTTCTTTAATAAATTTTTAAACTCTTTTACATTAAGGTTTAGGTTTAGGCAAGTTCATGTATTTGTCAGTGAAAATTCTGCACCATTTTCTACATCTACCAAATTGTACATCATCATTTGACAGAAACTTTTGATTTTCATATTTTGATGAAAGAAAACATGAAACGTTTATTACGCCTGAATACACAACATTTCAAATGGATGAAAAGACAATATACAATACAATTAAAATAATCATCGAGAAACGAAAGAGAAAGCCACTCAACATATGTACCTTATAGTATTTCAAGAACGCCCAAAACTTTTCCAGTCCATAAAGAAATCCTGTCAAAATATACGTTGTTACGTTGTTTAACAAATCAAATCAAACGTCATCACAGTACTGCTACTTCTTTAATAACTGGTGCTATGCTTACCAAAATTACGAGTACCGTCACTACTTTAATAACTGGTACTATGCTTACCAAAATCACGAGTACCGTCACTACTTTAATAATTGGTACTACGCTAACCAAAATCATGAATACCGCCACTACTTTAAGAACTGGTACTATGCTTACCAAAATCACGAGTACCGTCACTACATTTATAACTGGTACTATGCTTACCAAAATCACGCGTACCGTCACTACATTTATAACTGGTACTATGCTTACCAAAATCACGAGTACCGTCACTACTTTAATAACTGGTACTATGCTTACCAAAATCATGATCGGAAAGAGTTTCTTCCTGGAAGTCTTGGAAAAGATCCGCTCGGAACTTTTTCTCTAAACCATAACTATAGAACCTGAATAAACACTCCACGCCATATCTAATATCAAGAAACAAAAATGAACACATATTTAAACAGTTGGCAAACAAACGAAGACGGTACTTTCATCCCCCACACATGCACTGCATAACAACGTACCTATAGCCGGCTCTTGCATCTTCGTTGGCATATTTTCTAAATTCGGTGTACATTTTTCTAGAAAATTATTCAACTTTCCAAGTAAAATGCGTACATTATAAAATATAGAAACTAAATCTGACTGATTTTTCAGTAATAGTTACCGGTTGAAATGTGAACGAAGGAAAAACGACCAAAAGCGGTAAAGTGTGTTCATTTCTGGTGAATGGCCAATTCCATTCTTCGTCCTTTCTATCTCAACAAAAAATATCGTCATTAAATTTTAATTCTTATTTGCAACAAAAGTTAACGCTAGATAAACACACATTCAACATGCGCACCTTTAAAACATTTTTGACGGAATTTGTGATACAGCTGTTGAGTAAATCCATTCTCTTTTAAAAGTTCATGAGAAGGATGCTGAAAATGTGGGAATGAAATGGGAGCGGAGCCATAGTGAGAAGACGACGTCGATGGAAGATTGGGTCCAAGAAAAGATGGAGATTGTACTGGAGATGCGCCCGCAGAAGCACTGTGTAACGACAAATAACAAATTCAATCTGAATTCAGCGGCCTTTTAATCATAATTGGAGAAAATGAAAAGTCAAGCTACTGAATAAATTTTAGATGCACTTTTGGTTGAGGTTTGCGAAGTCATCCGAGTAAGTTCACTATTTATGTACGAGTTGACGTTTGCGAAGTCATCCGAGTAAGTTCACTATTTATGTACGAGTTGACGTTTGCAAAGTCATCCGAGTAAGTTCACTATTTATGTACGAGTTGAGGTTTGCGAAGTCATCCGAGTAAGTTCACTATTTATGTACGAGTTGACGTTTGCGAAGTCATCCGAGTAAGTTCACTATTTATGTACGAGTTGACGTTTGCAAAGTCATCCGAGTAAGTTCACTATTTATGTACTAGTTGAGGTTTGCGAAGTCATCCGAGTAAGTTCACTATTTATGTACTAGTTGAGGTTTGCGAAGTCATCCGAGTAAGTTCACTATTTATGTACGAGTTGAGGTTTGCAAGTCATCCGAGTAAGTTCACTATTTATGTACGAGTTGAGGTTTGCGAAGTCATCCGAGTAAGTTCACTATTTAGGTACCTCGATGAAGGAAGTGGTTTACTTCCCATAATCCAACCAACATGCTGCTCGACAGGAGGATTCTTGCTATATTTGGTTTTTCGTTTCTTGGGCTATGCAAACAAATAAATAGCATTATAATAGTTTTTTCTAATGGAGAAACGCAAACAATCGATATCAATTGAATAACGACAATTTACCAGACTAAATTGTACACGGATAATTAGTAATTGTTCATATCCAAAATATTTCTCATTGATTATACAATCTACACGTCTACGTACGATATAAATACTTCACGATTGGTGAGTGCTTACGATTTTCATGCACGATTTGAGAAGGAATGAAAACAAACGAGTGTAGCGAACGAGTTTGTTTTCAATCCTTTTTAACGAGTGCATTTTCCCGCCATTTCTGTCTTAACATTATGAAAGGTAATTCCTCTCTAGGAACTAGATTCGTATTTTACGTTGTCTTTTTTCTTTCGAAGGGAAGCGTAATAAACTCGCTTAGATATTCATTAAAGTTGCTTGGCGGGAATGTTCTCCTTGCTTCGAAATTCATGTTTCAACGATGAAAATTACTGAAGAAATCCAATGTCGTGCATTTTGTTGTTTTTACTTTCCTTACATTTGTTTTGAATTCGCTCACGGATAGTATCTCGACTAATTGCAAAGTCATTAATACGTAAACGAAAATCAAAAAAGATCGTTTTTGTTTTCTTTGATTTTAATGCTGATAACCATAGGCAATGAAAGTCGTTTGCATTTTTTCACAAGTGAAAAATATCGCATGTCCAATCAGAATGCAGATACGACGTTTTTCACTAGTGAAGAAAATCGTATGTTCAATCAGATACTATAGGAAATTTTAGGCATATAATTTTTATTTCCCCGTTTTGTCGCGCATAAAAACTTCACCACTCATATGTGCATATGTACTCACCAAGCCATCATCGGACAATTTTTCTTTACTAATTGCAGGGTAAAAACGGGGAGCAATTCTGTTGTCTTTTAGATGCTTCGGAGTACGAGAACCTTTAGGCCGTTTACTGGGGGAAGCTGGACCTGGCACGTTGGTGGGAAGTGATCTCGATAACTGATCGTCCGGAGTCGTCATTGCTCGTGGACGGAACGCAGGGGCACTAGGCGACAACTGATTTAATATTTCTGTAAGTTGCAGCTGCTCCGGAAAATTTTGCTGGTCCATTGTGACATAATCGCTCCTGGATCTTGGACGAACATCAGTATTTAGGATGTCGAAGTAATCTCTCGAAATGACGTCGACTTTCTTCCACGACGATGAAAGTTCAATCTAGACATGCATAAAACACAATACTTAAAGACACTTTTGTAAATGTTTTTTTTAAATAATTATATTGTAAACACTTATTGCTATGATTAGCTCGACATAAACGTTCACTTCTTCATTAGTCAAATAAGTCGGATTGCTTCTCCATGTGATTTGGATAATTTGTGTTCATTCTGACGAAACATATTTTCATGATTTGTCTCAATTTGAATAAAAAACATGCTGTATTACAGCAGCTTATTAAGTATGTTTTTCATCACAAATATTCAGAAACGGTACATTCACTGTAAAAGCAATTGAATTGCAAAGAAATGAAAGATGCCCAATTTAAATATTTACATAGCATGACTGAAACTAGCGAGCAAACTATTACATACATAGCATGACTGAAGCCAGCGAGCAAACTATTACATACGTAGCATGACTGAAGCCAGCGAGCAAACTATTACATACATAGTATGACTGAAACTAGCCAGCAAACTATTACATACATAGCATGACTGAAACTAGCCAGCAAACTATTACATACATAGCATGACTGAAACTAGCCAGCAAACTATTACATACGTAGCATGATTGAAACTAGCGAGCAAACTATTACATACGTAGCATGACTGAAACTAGCGAGCAAACTATTACATACGTAGCATGATTGAAACTAGCGAGCAAACTATTACATACGTAGCATGACTGAAACTAGCGAGCAAACTATTACATACATAGCATGACTGAAACTAGCGAGCAAACTATTACATACGTAGCATGATTGAAACTAGCCAGCAAACTATTACATACGTAGCATGATTGAAACTAGCGAGCAAACAATTACATACGTAGCATGATTGAAACTAGCCAGCAAACTATTACATACGTAGCATGATTGAAACTAGCCAGCAAACTATTACATACGTAGCATGATTGAAACTAGCGAGCAAACTATTACATACATAGCATGACTGAAACTAGCGAGCAAACTATTACATACGTAGCATGATTGAAACTAGCCAGCAAACTATTACATACATAGCATGACTGAAACTAGCGAGCAAACTATTACATACGTAGCATGATTGAAACTAGCCAGCAAACTATTACATACGTAGCATGATTGAAACTAGCGAGCAAACTAACACATACATAGCATGACTGAAACTAGCGAGCAAACTATTACATACGTAGCATGACTGAAACTAGCGAGCAAACTATGCTGCTGCTACAACAAACAACAATCGATAAAATTACAAATACGAGCTACGACATGTGAATACCTTTTTACTCAGGTAACTTTCGTCACTATCATCCCAAAGATCCTAGATAGGAGAATATTTTAGAGTTCAATCATTTCAATGTGGTATTGTAAAGTAATGATAAAACACGGAAGCTCTTAAGAAATTCGCCTTTTTGAAATATATTTCACCTTGATGAGACATGCAATGTTTTGCATAGCTACAAAACAAAGTGAAACTAAGAAGGGCCCGTACTATAATTCTTGCAAACAGTTTGCTTTGTAATTGAAATAGCTTTCTACAAACACGCCACTTAACAATTGAAAATGCTTTCTACAACATTCATATTGCAAGACATTATCGCAGGCAGTTTGCAATAAAAACCAATAAGGGTTACTGGTTCTCTATTTTGTATAAGATGTCAGTCAGTCCGTCTAGTGTGGATTTGATTTCAGTGGTTCGTCTGAGGGTGTTTTAACTTTTCACACGTGCACAACAACCGCACCCCTCCCTCCCTGGGTGAATGTGGATCCTACCTGCTCGTAAAAGTATAACCCATCGTTGATAATTTTGGCAAATTCACCAGTAAGTCGGGCACGTTTGACGAAATTTCCCGTTCTGTCATGTTTCTTGTTTGCAGGAGGAGGTGTTTGTGTAACAATCATAATATTTCCGACATCATAATCGTCCAGATCATCATCAGAATCATCAGAGCTAAACGATGCATTAACAAAACGATTTGTCCTCGCTACAACTGGCATTAAAGCAGTGCATATGCCAATATTAAGGCGTATCAACAACCACCCAGCTTCATATTTTCCAAAACACTTTTTTTCATTGATGACAATTAGAAGTACGTAGAGTCAAATATAATTCATTAAACAGGGCGTCTATATTGGAATACAACACTTTTTTAGGTATTCCCTACAAAGTTCAAACAGGGTAGAGCTTGGCTAAGATTATATAGAGCTTGCGTAAATAATAACTGATAATTAATGTGAACATATAGCAGACGAGCAAAGGACGCAGACATATTGAACACATACCATTCTTTGTAATCTTTAAACTTTCCCATGCCAACAAGCTCTTCGTCGAATTTAAAATCTAACTCTTCTTGCTGAAATGTAATACCAGCACTCACTTTTGTCTTGGGTAAACTCTAAATAAAAAACGACAAAAACCAAACTACATAATGGATAAAATATTGACAGCTCACTCCTAGGGATCCAATCGCTAAGTTAAAAACTATTCAAAAAATTATCTGCGCATGAACAGTCCACTCAAGCATTCGCATCTCACTCGTCATAGCCTTGGGAACAAAAAATGGCATATTACGCTTCAAGCATTGCTAATTTATCCCCCAAAATTATCATCAAATTAGAAAATTATGTCCCTTTAGTCTCAGAAATATGCTTGTGTTTGTTTAGGAGAAACGAAAACAAAAAAAAGGCATAATTTACGTGGCTTCAATGTAATAGGCGAAAGAACACAAATATTCATGTGAAAGATATGTAATTTCAGAAACAAGAGAAAGAAATTTTTTTATGACCATACCACCATTCAACTTCTTCTCTGATAAAATTGCAATGACTTCAGCGGCAGCCATGTAAGATAGGAAGTTCATTTTTTCAGACCGTTCATAATATCGTTGACGAACATAAATTGCATTCGATCTACCGAGAGTTTACAATGTCTATGGAAACTTTGCCGTTAAAAAATAGAAAAAAGTTAGTTTTACCTTATCTGGAGTCTTATGAGGCTTCTTCCTACGAACTTCCTTCCATTCAAACTCCAATGGAGCTTTGTTGCCATCCAGTGACGAGTTTGCTGGAGTAAAAATAGATGCTAAGCGTAATCATCTATAAAATCAGCATCTGGAAACCCATTTACCATTACTTGCTTAAATTTTAAATTTAACCAGTGTGCTATACTCTGAATACAAGAGCGAGACAATAGAGTCAACGTTAACCACAGTGCTTCATGGCACGTAAATATTTGTTGATGTTTGTTGTACGCGGTGCCATTACTAAAGCCAAACAACACAAAAGCTATACTATTACCCTCCAAGAACTTCTTTATTATGTACGTAAAAAAATTCGAAATATTTGAAACTTCACAAGGATGTAGCTGGAAGTTTCTCCGGACGACAACCTTAATGATCTCAAAATCAATTTATTTAGAAATAGAACGCTGCAAACCAAATCAATACGAAACAGTAGATGTTTGTAAATGTCTTTATTACGAAAGAGTAGCATAGCCAGCATGCCAGTTTAGTCATGCTATGCAAATTTAGAAGCATTATCCTTTTTCACTTTCTTAAGAAATCAATTGTTTCTAAAGAGAGTAAACACAGCTGGCGAAATTCTGAAACATTCGGTTGCTTTCAGGGAAGATAACACTGAAAAATTGGTTGTGCGGGTACATTTCTGACTTGTCCATGCTTTGCCACATAAAATGAGATAAAAAATGAAAAAAACGAAACGACAAACAAGGGTTTATTTCATGTAACGAAATTTTTAAAATCAAAATCCTTAGGTCAAAACTCAAAAGTATGGTTGCTCGTCGCGACATTTGTCAGGGGATTATAGTTCCACGACACTAATTTCGGCAGCCCCGGGACGTCGGTCCGGCGATTTTGCGAGCCCTGAACACACGGGGCAGAATTACGTAACTAAGTGGAATGGCTAGGACAACTGTCTAACAAAAAGAACAAATTGTTCTACTGTCCTACATGATATTCCAATACCTTTAATTTCTGGATTGACATGTAATAACTGAGTAGTGCCATCATCGCTATTTGTCTCTTTCTCAGGCTTATTTACAACTTGAGCATTTTTATTCTCAGCAATTCCTGAAGAAAGATTGCGAGCACTTGAAATCAAATATGCGCAAAAAAGTTTAATGCAGAAATTTCAAAACTAGAGAGGAATTCTGTCAATGCTTTTTATGACTGTAATTTGAAACATGAGCAACTTAATGTATATTTATTATTGTTCACTTGAAAGGCATCAACAAGAATCATCTACGTAAACTGAGCACGATGACAAAGTACTTTGATGCAGACTACTGTACACGTCTGATACCATCTACTCACAGTTGTGCATTAAATACGTAACTCTACGTACGTATGTACGTAATCACATACCATTTGTTTCGGATACATTACGAGAAACTAAAATTGGCCATTTTGTAGGATCCTCTAGACTGCGCAATAATCCATCTTTCACTTCAACCTTATCACTCTCCAACATTGCCTGGGGTGATAAAATTTTTGCCATTGAATATATTTACGGAATAAATCCTTTACAATTAATTATGTGAAACAAAATATAGTAGATTCCGAAAACAGACATCTCGTTTTCTTGATATTCCAGATGATACAAGAGTTTTAGACAACAGATTGTGTAATATTTCGTCTTTATTCCAAAGATATCATCACACTAATACGATACTGACGATATCTTTGGAATAAAGACGAAATAGTACACAATCTGTTGTCTAAAACTCTCGTACCATCTTGAATATCAAGAAAACGAGATGTCCGTTTTCGGAATCTGTTTTATTTTGTTTTATTTAAAATTGTCTGCTTGTCCTGGTTATTAATTGTGTGCACGGAGGAGTGTATCTAAATATATTCATAATAAGAAGCCTATCTACAACCACTTTAAAATAAAATATAAATACATTCGCACACGGTACCATACAAATACGAAAGGTCAACGTACAAATAACATTCTGACTATTCACTAGCTGGAACAGAAGTCTATTGTTGTGTCTTGAGTGTTGAATGAATCAGATATGACACAAACCTGTCGAATAAGATCTTTGTCTTGACTTAATGCTTGTACACGGTAAAAACTTGATATCAAGCTCAATGGAATATAACCTTCTGCATCCATCTGTTGCAAGGAAGGAAAAAAAGATGAAGAAGCTAAATTAATCAACACTAACCATTCATTACTTCAACATGCAACCTCTATGTATGTATGAATGCTACCACCGTCACATGATCACCAAAAAACAGTAAAATTTTCCAAAATTTTGGTGCAAAAACCAGAAGTTAAAAAAAACAACTAACACTATGATGTATAGGTACAGATAAACAACACATATGTAGATACGGGCGTGGTAAGTTATCACAAAGAGGACGTAAATACATATGTGTTATACCATGGAACGCTACCTGAAGCAAATAATTGAAGCCAAATCTTACCCCAGACACGCGAGATTACACCCAGACACGCGTAGTGTTTCGAAATTATCTCGCGCAGTAATAATTGGTTGACTACACACGCGTGTCGTGTGTAAAATCTCGCAGTCTTGAGAAGGTCTAAAATAAATAACTAGTACAGAAAACATATCAGCAGGACATCTACTTAAAAATACCTGTTGCCTGAGATACACATCCTTAGCCAAATTTTCAGTGCTGAAGTAGTATTCACTACAGAAAATGTAAAGTTTAATGTCATCACTTGTCATCACAACAATCAACAATGCAATCATGTAGCTACATATTTAGCACAAAAAATAACTTATTCAGGAAACAGCTCATTGCCAAGTTTATTCATTTACTCACATTTGTCTTCTAATGTAATCTTTCAACAATGACTGGTCAAGCATGTTACTATAATTACTATTGTCATAGTAACAAATTCCTGAGAAGCTCTGAGCCATATACATTGTCGTATCATAAGGAGTGAGATTAGAGAATTGATATGAGTTGTTAGCATACTGCATCTGAAGATCAAAACCTAAACGTAAATTATAAGCATGACGAATTGTCAAAACACACAACATTCACTTACAATGCCTCTACTTATAAACCAAGGTCCAAATAAATGCTTTGCAAACTGCAAATTGCAAGACTATACACACATTTTTTTATATTTATAATATCATATCTTAATTATAATTATAATTTATATCATAGATCTTAATAACACAAAAAAAGGTGGTTTAAACAAGCACTTTTACCAGTTTCCTACCTCTTCCTCCTCCACGTCGTCCTCTCCCACCTCTATATATACCACCAGCACCTCTCCTACCTCGACTTCTTTGACCACCACGCCAGCTTGGTGAACGTCGACTGTATTGATTATCCTCAGAATTCAAGTTCTCTCCCTCATTTCCTTTAGGGTCAAGTGGTAAGGGAACCCATTTTTGACGATTTCCTGAAATTTCACAAAAGATAATAAGCGAACAAATCAAATGGGACAACCTTATGTTTGAAACGAATACATACACGTATATACAGTACCGCTCAGGCATATCTTAACACTTTTTTGCATATTATACGCATATGATACAAATATAATGTGCGTAAATTTTAGCTGTTCCAGGGGAGTGTTTAATAGATAGAACACGTTTAATAGAGAGGGGTGTTTAGATCATTTTTATTGCATTAGTTTAAACAAGTAAAAAGAAAACATTAACTAAATATAGGGTTTCTCAGCCAAATCAACAACTTACTATAGTAATGATGTATAATTGAAGTAGGATGAGTGTGTCTATTAGAAGCAGGACGTTTATTTCATAGGGAATGCTTATTGGATCATTTAAAGCAATTGAAATTGCTTCTATTGCTTATTATATGCATGCTGCACAGGAAAAAATTCTCCCTTCCTTCCACAGAACAATAATTTGTTTCTTTGCATAAGGTGAAAGCCTTTTTCCTGACTTCATTGATCCAGTGTTTCACAGTTATGAGTGAGAACTCTGGTAAGTGCTTCACGTTTAAATACCTTGAAAGTGCATGCGCATATAATCAGTGTATATGCTATGTGGATCAGATAAACATTATATCTGTATCATGCACATATCAAAGTGCATCATCATATGCGTAGCGATTTTACGTTAAGATATACGCGAGCAGTACTGTACATGTATATAATTGGCAATATTATATCTGCAGGGCATAAGTAAGTAGTAAACCAATATTAAACTAAAAGCTGAGTGGAGCATGTTAACAATAACATTTATTAAATCTTAAAACATCATTTTTGGCTTCTCTGTGTTTTACTGTTCAATGTTCAATGGAGATGAAACACAGAGTAGAAAAAATGACATTTTAGTATTTAAGTACTTTTATATACATATTATTTATCATTGTGCAAATTAATGTTGTGCAATGTGCAATTTGCACATCGTTTTAGTTTAAATGAAAACAATTGCACATCACTTTTTCAAACGATATGCAAAAAACATCTTTATTGATTACTACCAGACCAATTGAAAAATTTTCAATCTTACTGATCTTTACTTTATAAACGAGTGCGCTGCAAGATATTAAAATCCATGTTGACACAATGTCATCAAATTTTAAAGACGTTGTCACTTTATGACTGGTAAGTCTGCCAACAGTCAACATATATGGTGCTTATATGCTTATGACAATAGGGGTGTAATACATTATTAATATCAATTTTTGCATTTGCATTGTTTTGTAAACTGTTATGTATTGTTTTTGGCATCATAGCTAATTTGAGTATTTTCAGTGTAATAAATTTGAAGAATAAACCAACGGAATTTTGATTTTAAATAAGCCTAACGTGAGAAAAAGAAGCCAAATTTGGCTCAAAATATTAAGAAAAAATGGCAACCTTGATCAGCCATACTTTTTGCTTTTACATATTGCTTGTAATATGACATAAATATGATGTTTTTTATCGTAAGTAAACATCAAGGATGTTACTGTTAATTATCATAAAGCAAAAGTATATTCCGTTATTCTCTTTTCCCTTTCTTGCCATTTTCGTCAAAAGGTTGTACCTACCACCAAAGTTAATACAGTAAAAAAATGGATGGAAACATCAAATGCTGACTCGTTTGAGTACTGGGATGATGGCCATTTGGTGAATTTATTGCGCTGTAAAGTTTGCACAAAAAAAGAGGAGAGAATAACACGCGCAAAAAATTTCTCTCATACATTTGTAACTGGATCAGTGGTTGTAACGAAAAACACTGTCGTAAATCATATGAATTTGTTCACGTTTAAAAATATTAATTTAGCAATTAGCGATATATAATAATTAACGTAATATCGATTTGATTATGCTTCTAAAAAAACACTTTTATCAAAAAAACTTGCACATTGTTTTTTCTCAACTAATTTGCACACTGTTATTTATTAAGGTTGTACATATAGTGTGAATTCATCATCTTATATTGTGAATGACTAATGAAAATTCCTCATCATTTGCCACCCACAGGTTCCCTTAACAAACATTCCAAACTTGTCTCCACACACTGCCCCATTGAGAATAACATTTATCACACTACCACTCCTAATTATGACAACTGCACTATATTGTAATATGATCCCAATGTATAAATATATAATTTAAGCACTATTGGTACATTGTATTTAACTGATGAGTGCCAAGATCTAGTGACCTGCTATTAAAACAAATTTATAGTAAAATAAAAACCTATGGATTGTCTCACAACACAGTTTATGTAAGTTCTTGCTTTAGAAAAATAGCTACGTATAATCCTGTTTCATTTTCACAAATGAGACTGAACATGTTTCACAAGAAACAAATTAACTCGTAAAGAAAACTAGATTTGTGTGTCAAATGTTTTGAAGTATCGTGAAGTTTATATTTTGCTACAAATTTCAAACTAATTATCATCTAAAAATATTCTTATATACATAAATGACAAACAAGTGGTTGCAAATCTAGGTTTTTGCCATTCTTTGCTGTTATACGCTCATCAGTAAAAACAATTGAAATGGTAAAAAGGATTAAAGTTCAAAGTAGCTACAAAATAACCCAGCCTATGCAAAGAATATTGCTCTTAGGTCACTATATAAATCAATCTTTTCATTGGCAAGGTACGCATGGACAAAAAAATATTAAAAAAATTGCAAACACTTGTTTACTAGAACACTTCTAAATTCATTTCTTGAAAACTTCTTCTAAGCATAAAGCTTGTAAATAATACTAGAGGTGGCATTAATAAATGAGGAGTTGAAAAGGCAACTTTAGGTCCCAGTTATATTGTTCAGTAAACACAAAGTAAAAAATATTCTTTTGCCATTTGCTTACAAGTTTCAGATTCTTCTTCAATATACAGTTGTAACTATTTTTGTTCTTTAGTCAAAACATCAAAAAATTTTATCAATCTAAAGTGTTAGTGAATGTTTTTTAGCAAGCTGTTTTTATGATTATATGTGGTTTATAATCTCTATTCTTTGAATGTATTAATTATACTATAAGCAATGAAAACATATGTTGGTCTTGCTTGTTTCTCTGTTTTTACAACCCACATATTTACATGTTATCAGCCTTTTTAAGATTTTTGCGGTAAGGAAGACAAATATATGCTCTTAGCATTTGAATTTACGAAAAAGGTCTTCTTACCAAGCAATGACTCACAGATTTATAATTAACAGAATAGGCATAAAAGCAGCATAAACATGTTTTGCAAAATATGTACAAGTGGTTTAAAAATCTAAAATTATGATAAAAAGGAAAACATAGTTCAACAAATAAATTGTGAAGACATTTACCATTACATTTAGGCAAAATCTATACAAAAAGTCAAAAAATCAAACTCGACCACTGTATGTAGCTTAACATCAGGGTATAAATTTTGCTCCCAAAAAACACATACTGTTTTTTGGACTATAGATTGTATTACGATGTCACCTCAAGTAGTATATATAATCTCCATGTATGTTTCTAAGTACATGTTACTACATATGTAAGAAGTTGAAATTTGCATCATATATTTGTGTGGGTTGGTCAATATTTAACATTTAATATTTAACATGCAATATTTAACATTCTTTCATAAATCCATACCTTTCTTCCGAGGTGTTGTTTTAATGTTTTCCTCATTGGAACTGTTGGAGACTTCTGTGGGAGTTGAGTTCTAAAATTTTGTTTACAATATAATGAAGCTATAGTACGTACGTCGTTGGACTATTCACATTACGCAATATATTTAACCGGGGGGAGGCACATATGAACAATGAATGAAATAAAGAACTCAAACATAGATAACATACCTTATAATCATTGATATTTTCCTTTGTTTCCCTCAAGCTTGGCCAACTTTCAAAATCTGCTAACTTTTCTTGCTAAAATGAAATCGAAAAATCAACGTATTGCTTCGGCGTGTTGATTTGAAGCAGTATCAGAAAAACTAGATCATCGTACATTAGCCTTCTTTGTTTCTGGTTTTTGGAGCGGTTCCTGATGTGGTACTTTTTCATCTCCTGCATAGTTCAAAGAATAAGTGAAGCAAACGACCTGGCTAAGACAATTTCTTCCATATTAACGTACCCTTTTCAGTCTTGCTTTTTGCGTTCTTATTCCATGGATTCACTACGGGGGGTGGAGGTAGGTTTTTTGTTATTTTGGTAGTTTGCTTCGTGTCATTCGCAAGGTTTTCTTCGTCGGGTCGATTGTCTCCGTTCTCAAGTATTTTCATATCTATTTCCTTTAGAGGACCATCCACTGTATTCATTGAATCTGTATTACCTGCGGTTGAATTACTGCGCCAAACCGTGGTTGATCGTTCATCGTCCAGCTTATTAGAAGTGTCGATTTCACTCATATTACACCATAAAACAAAGGTTATATGATACGCACCACTTACTGGTTTTGCCGTAAAACGATTGGCATAAACATTCCGTCTCCACACGACGAAAAAGTTCTACCGTGACACAATTACCAAAATTTTGCCAGCACTGAAGTAAACCATGTGCACTTCAGCGGTGAGGGAGAAATGGAGCCAAGTACTTATTACACAAAGTGTACTACGCATGCGCTTTCGTTAAATTCACGTGACTAACTGGAATGCTACGTGTTACTTTCTGCGTCATTGTAGTCGATTGAATAAATAATAACCAATATGTAGACGTAAAATAACCAGGGTGGAAAAATAAAAATAAATCCGTCCTGAAACAAATGACGTACAACATGCTTTAAATATTAAAATCAAATGTAAGAGCTTCGATACATCGTTTCCATGATTATATTCACAGTCAATGTGAAGTCCTCCCTGGTTTGTGTTTGTTGAATATAACTTGTGTGGACTTTGAAAGTCAACAGGCGTGTATTTCTGCATGAAATCAGCACATAGATATATGCAAAGCCGTGAGTTTTGATCTTGTAATTAAAATTTTAGAACATTGGCAACCATCATTCATTTTTTAGAAATCTTTTGTTTACGCAATGAGTAAACACAGAAAAATTTGTATAGCACGACTAAACAAACAGACTATAACTGATAAGTCGGTAGAGTGAAAGCCTGAACCGGCTGGAATATATCAACAAAGGCTCTGTCTGGGAATGGAACGGCAAGTCGACAAAATTCAAAAATGAGTGGAAAAAATCAGCTGGGAGAGATTCCCATCCGGTCTATACATGTTAAAAGGCGCTGGTATATTTTTGAAATTGTTACTACTGTGAACGTTGCAAATTGCATGGTAGGATTAAGGAAAAACTCTATTTTATAATACAAGCCGTCAATTTAGGTAAGATTTCATTGTTTGAGGTATAAAGTGTAGCTCCTCTGATTTATTTTGCTCAACACTGGTTCTGCTACTGGCGAATGAGAATTCTTTAATGGGGGCATTTGCGTTTTGCCTCTGGCCAAATTTAAAGCCATTATATGCTTGATATTTATGGCTTTATTTCAGGTTTTCCACCTGCACAGAAGCACATTATGTCGTTCATAAACCACCTGTAAGACAGTTCAAAACATGGAACGCTTCGTTATGGCAATATTTGGTTTATGAAATTAATTGAAGTCTTAACAATGTTTAAGCTATGACGAAGACGAAAATTTATCATTATGAAGGAATGTTTTTTCTTTTTTTCATGTTCCAATTGACTTTAAAACTCATTTAATTAATTAATGTTGATCTTGTTGATCAAATGATCAGTGATGGCGAGAAAATTTGGGCAATACTTCCAAAGAGCGTATTTTGCTTTTCTATCTCTAGTCATAGTTGTGATCCACAATGTTGACGGTGACAATGGACTGTCAAATTTCTTGTCAAAAGAAAAACAAAATACATCTGCTCTTGTAATACCTCCGACTGCTGCAACTTCATCCTGTCTATCTCGAGGCAACAACTGCTCCTTGTGTCTAAAGGATGGTAATTGTGGATTCTGCGATACATGCAAGGATATGTGCCATCGTCCAGAGGCTGTTGATAGTCCAAGTTGTGCTAATTGTGCTCGATGTATACCCGGAGCTTTAGATGGACCTAAAAAAGGACACGAATGCAGGGTTGAATGGTAAATAGACCGCCTAATAATATTTTTTTCTAACGAACAATCGTAAAGGGAATAAAAAAATTAGCCCACAGTAAAAACATAAAATCCACATAACAAATTAAGATTTCATTTTCCTCTTTTTATTATGGAATTTATAGTCTTGCAACAGAAAGGTAAGTATTATATACCAAAGAGAACTTCTATGTTATTTTTTAACTTGCTTTCAATAGGTTTTATTACGAGAAATGTCCAGAAATCGTAAACGAACAGAAAACAGTTTACGTTGAAATAGCTCTGTACTTGATCAATGTTCATTCAGTGGACCTTAAAGCTGGAACATTTCATGCTGATTTTTATTTGTATTTTAAAGGTGACATGAGCAATTCATACATCTGAATACAGTTAAAAGTATACCTATATGTGATTTGCAGGGTCACATTTCTGATTATTCCCTTTCAGTACCCGACGGACAGACAAAATACACAAAGCAGAAATGTAAAGACGGACCGAAAGAAGCATGCTTTGAACTAGTTAATGCTGCTGGTCAGCCAGAGGTCGGCATGTTATGTTCGAAATATTAGAAAGAAGAATCTTTCCAGTTATTATCGGAGGTTAAATATCCTCCAAAAGTGCAATCATAAATCCACTGATTTTATGAAATAATTAATTACTAGGTTTCAAGTCACGAGGGAAAATATTTTCGGGTGAAGTCCACATTTAATTTTGCTGCCGATTTGAGGGATTATCCGTAAGTGTTTTCTTATAGATATTTTATATATCGTGAATAAGTAAATAATGAACGATTCAGCTCATTAAAGGACTATGCATGCGCAGTGGCACGAGTTTCGTGAGATTTTTAAGCTAACATTTGAAGGTATGATAATCAGACACTACGTATCGTTATACAAGACATGGAAATGGCTGCAAAGGAACTAAGATGGCATATCATGCAAGTAAGTTTTATTGCTCCATTAATTAAACAACGTCTTCTCAAATATACAACATAGCTACATTGTAGACAACTAACAGTTTACATTAGTTTTATACGCATCAATCTCACTGCCTTTAATGTTTTACATTACTTTTGCCACTTTTTTGAAAAGCATCTAACCTCGGATTAGCTCGGCTTTATCACGGCATTTGCATTTTCATTGTTGCAACAGGCAGCCGATGGACAAGATTTCAAATTTCGTAGTGGGGTCTCTCCGATGTTAAATTATACGGGTTGGTTGTTTGATACAAACTCCTGGTCACAAATGGTGTACGAAAGGTCAGGCTAACATGTATGCAAACGTATTATATAATTTAGTCGTCAAAACGGTCTTTCTTTCTATTCTTCTTCATGCAGGTACAATCCATTCCTGGATCAAGGAGTTTCAAGATATGAATTTTTCTTTCATATGAGAAGACACAAGCGTGCTGCATTTTTCAAAATATTCCTACCTCCTCTTTTCATTGTTTTGGTGGTAAGTTTTTTATTGGTGCGTGTCCTTGGCTGTAATATCGTAAAGAGTCATCTCATTGTATTGTTTTTGGTCATTAATGACCTTTACAGTCATTGCTATGTACGCAGTCTACATTACATTTATCCTATTTTCCATCGGTTCAAAATTGATCATCAAAGTGGGCAACGCCCTTTCTATTTCATTTTTAAGGATTTGGAGAGTATATTCTGATAAATAGAAAGATTATTAATAGCTATTGCATGAACTAAGTACCTTCAAACGAAGCTCATATTTTGCGTACACTATGTATTTTATTTGAATTTGGTATTCTAAGATTGGCGAGAAAAAGGATTGATTGTAGACTCTGCAATACTCTTTAACGGACCAATTCGTGTTTTAAATGTAGGTATGCTTTTCTTTCTCCATTCCGCCAAAAGATTCATCAATGAGACTATGGATTGATGGGTATTATTCTTCACTTTACTCACAAATTCCATTATTTTTATGCAAAAATATTAAAACATCAATGAAGCTAAGGACTTCTATTGTCAAAACCGATATACATGCAAAATCTTTGATAAAATTAAGAAATTCAAACAAAAGGAAAAGTTGAATTGAACATATTTATTTTTCTTCTTTATGCAGGTCACTACTTATATCAGCTGTTATGTTTCACGCCACAACTGGTGAACAGACGCCTGATTCACAGGTTTATCGTATTGTTTACGATAAATTTTCGGATTCTTTACATTTGTTATAAGGATGCACTTTTACTTTTGCTTTGTTTTATGATAGTCTATATTTTATAATTTTTCATCCAGGAACTGACTTTAGCAGATAATTTCATGGTTGGCGTTTACGGATTTATATTTGTTTCCTTTATTGTGACAACAACAATGTTGAGGTTGCAGAGAGACAATTATTTTTATTTTGCCGATGTCTTCTACAGCTACACAGAATGGCTGGTAGGAATGAACAAAACATAAACACATTGATTTAAGCTCTGTTTTTGAATCGCATAATTTATAAGTCATATTCATATGCTTGAATTTACCCGATCCCCGTTTTGTTTGATCAAAAGCTACGCAAAGGTAAACAGCAAACCCCTTTTGATTTTTGTTGTCAGAGTCTAAATGATTCTTTGCAAAATTTAGTACAAGAATATGAACATGATGAATCATGTTATAAGTGGAGAAGAGTGTGCCAGATAAATTATTGGGGGTGGCAATATTTACACATTCATGTTCCGTCGTATAACTCGTATTAGCTCCTTTGAAATCAATTGCTTTCTTCAGATTATAACATGCATATATATGAACATTACTTCCTTCCTTCCAATTATGAATACACACCACTTTACGTAATACTTCTGTAGCTTAGAATAAGTAATTATTCAGATGATTGTAAAAGATGTAAACAGAAGACTTTTCTCGCATTTCCTAGTAACGTTGTTTCCTGATGCGTTTGCTTTTCCGAGTTCCCACGGTATTTTTTCAAAGAAATAGACCATACCGTCATCAATGTGCTTTCCGTGAATTGTTGTTTTCATTGCAGGTATGGTTCAGTGGTCCATCGTTTTTCTTTTTGTTATACTATATGCGATTTAGTCTTTATCACGTTCTTATGGCAGAGCTGGTGATAAGTTTGGTTGCAATGCTTCTTAAGAAATTTTGTTCTTTTACAAAGTAAGATTGTTGACTTTCGTTTTTAATTATGTGTAATAGGGAATAAAACAACCATTTTCATTAGAAATCTACAAAATTTACAAACTAAATGCTGTTTTTCTACCTGAACAATTTTCACATAAAAGTTTTTTGTTGCGTTATTGTGAGATCATTGGTTTATTTTCCAGGAAAATAGTTTTCAGAATCACATCATTTGATAAGATTTTGGAAAAGCACTTATCAGAGAGGTCAAAGAGCTCGTTGAACACTAAGACTGAAACAAATCTGAATAGTTCTTCAGGTTTACCTAGCAGGAAAACCAGTAACGATTACAGACTGTTGCCGCAAAATGAGGTAATTATATACATTTTTGTCTTTTTAGTAATTACAGATGCGTTTTTTTGGTCGAAGTTCAATGATTTTAAGAGAAAAAAGTGAGTTGAGACTTCGCGGTATCTATGACGGCAAATAGATGACTTGTATTAACTTGTTTAGCTTATACGATTTACCAAAGCAATTCACGAAGATCGAGAGTTAAAGTCAAACAAGTGTGAAATGCCATACAATGTTCAAAGGGATAGAGTTGTGAAGTAGCTAAAAACGAATTTCGATGGAACAAAAGTGTATATTATTCATGATATTCTATATAATAGACTTTCTCATCATGCTAGGATCTTTCTATCGATGGAGTTTTGAAAGAAAATTCAAGAACCTGCTTTCCTGGTAAAGTTGCTGACACTGACGATTGCTGTCCAAAAAGAAAGATTCTTTGCAATCGCCAAACATAGATTGACCAGAAAGACGCGCGCAGTTAAAAAGCTGACGGTAAAAGTTTCTAAAAAGCAACTTTTATAACTTTTATTGGTATATTAGCAATAGAAATGATTATTACACTTCTTTTTGTCCATAACATCAAATAAGTTTGAAGTCTTTCATTTACTATTTCATTATCAATATAAATAGTTTTGTATCAAGAAATTAAACATCGAATTTGGATAAAAATTATAATTAAAGTATGAAATTACGATGAGTTCAGATTTAATGTCTTAAGAAACACATTCTCAGACTAAAAGAATATAAAACCGCCATGTGTATGTATTACTCATATTCGTTATCCAGTCATTCAAGGGTGTGGTAAACAGGTTCAAGATCGTCAGGTTCTATCGTGTTGTAAACGACTTCACCGTCTTCTTTTGTTTCATTCACTTTCTCTACGTTTGGCAACGTGTTTTCACTTTTTGAAAAATGAACGCCATTTTTAAATGGTTTTGCAATACCGCTGCTGTCAACGTAATCATACTCAAACTGTTCTGGTTGTTCATATCTTTGTTCAACCTTTGCGTAATCATATTCGTGTTTATCTGCTGGTTCGTAAAGTTTGCAAGCACTGGAAGCAGAATTCACAATTAAATCCGGTTCTTGGTAAACTCCATTGTCATCATCGAATGTAGGGTTTTTGTGTAGATTTGCCACTGAAACATTGTCTTTTTCTCCAGCTATTGTGCAAAAACAAAACTTATCACATTTGACATAAAATGTATGTCAATGAAAATGGAGGACAAGGTCATGGTTACAAAATTAAGTATCTTATAGTGGATTTACCAAAATTGTACATTTATTTTGGGTTAGAATTTTTTATTCATCACATACCTTGTTTGCCGTTGATTTCAACAATGGAAGGGTGTTTTTTGAAGCTGCTAAAATATAAAAATGTCAAGGATAATTGAGCTGTTGAGTCTAACGACACAACCATCTAAGGTAAAGCTGCTCTTTATCGGAGCACAGTATTTTCAGTACGTTTTTGAAAGCGAAAACAAAGAATGACTATAGTTATGTGTTGTCTTTGCTTGTTTGTTTTGTAAGAATAAAGTTTGATTTGAGATACACCGTGTATCGATAGGATAACATTACTGCAGACATAGTTATCTGTTTGGAGTTTGCTGGTTATACAAAAATCAATGTTGGTGACTTGAAGATTTTTTGTAACAAATTAAGTTATCGCAAGAAAAGGTAAAAAAACTGTCGCAATAATTTTTGTTCATTTTTAAAACCTACCTTCTTCTTCTGAAGCAAATGATACCAAGAATGGAGCAAATCAAGGTTAAAAGGGCAGCAACCGAACCACCAACGATGGGAAGGGCATTCGAAGATTCTTTTTTCTGCATTTTTCTATCACCAGATGGTTTCTGAATTTGAGTACCTTCGGATGTTTCTTTGCCATTTGTCACTGGTAAGTGTGAGGTAGACAATCTTCTTGGAGTCTTATCTGTCTTATTACCTGTTTCTGTTTCAGGAGTAGAAGTTACAGTCACCGAAAATAGAGTTGCAGTGCTTGATGATTTGGTTGAAGCTTGGATTGTCGTATATGTCGCATTTGTTTTTGCTTTTGGTTTAGTACGTGGCATCAATACTGTGTTTTTGGAATTTACAATTGTAGCAACTTTTGGCGAAGAAGATTTCTAAATTAATCGGAGAAGCAGCAAACTAAACAATTTCAGATAAATTGGACAAAAATGTATAAGGTAATATAGAGGATACTCATTATAATGAAAACAACAGAGGATGCAAAGTAGCTAGGTGGCTATGATAAGGAGTAGCTCAAAAAAGTTTTCAGGAAGCATAGAATATTTTCCTCTTGGAATTGGAAGTCGTACAGAATCTGTTTAGGAATCGGGAAATTACACATATGTATAGGGGGTGTTCAGACAATACATACCATGAACGGACCTCTCGTGGTAGCTGAAGTGAAAGAAAAGATAAAAGAAAGGAGACAATTACAGATCTTTAAAAAGTTTCTTCAAGCATAGCATTGAATTAGATGCATACACTCACCAACAGGTATTTCTGGTTTTATTTTTACAATGATGCAAACATTTTTACTATTGTTTGGAGTGGTGGTGCATTGAAAGTTCACTCGCAAGATCTTGTTACTCCATGTGGTTAATGACGATGTTTTATTAAAATTCCACTAAAAATGGCAGAAATTGTTAAGCTGTTTGATAGGCCGTGTTATTGCAGGATAAATTGAAATTGCTACTGGTTGGTGAGTAGATACTATATGTGCTCTTGAAAATAGCGTACCTTCAGTTTTTTGCCTTCCATGGAGAATACTTGATCGGATGAACTAAATGATTTCCATTCGTCTTTTTTCAACGAAAATATTTCCAATGGATGACAGTTTTTATGATTCTTGGGAATCTTAACTTGCCGTTCTCCGCCACCTGTCTTTGTGTCAAGAACCAAAACAAAAGACGATGGATTCGTAAATTCGCAGCACATCATTTTCTCTATAGGAGTATAAAAAGATACAATATATATAGCAAATAACCATGACAAGCAGACAATTTAAGATAGAACAAAATAAAAAAATTCCGAAGAGGGACATGTCGTTTTCTTGATAATTGAGAATATTGCAGGAGTGTAAACAACACCTTTGATCTGACGATGTCTTTGGAATAAAGACGAAATATTACCCACTCTGTTGTTTACACTCTTGTATTATGTTGAGTATCAAGAAAATGAGACGTCTCTATTTGGAATTTGTTTTATTTTGTTATATATATAGCTAATAATAAGCTATTAAAGCAAGATAAATAAGGCGATATTTTCCTAAATTTAATAGCTTGAGTTATATATTGATTACGTCTAGAAAACAAATCGTTCTTGGCATGCACAATAAGGAATTCTCAAGATTTGTGGCCATAAATCTATCCTATTGTGTCATAAATCATGTAATTTCTCGGTAATCAAACATGTTAAGAATAGACATTAGAATGTGTGTAGGCTGTTCAATAGCTCATTTTCATGATTTGCGAAACAATTCAACGAAGAATCAAACATACTTGGTCGACACAAAAGGTTTGGTGGGTCAAAGTCTTCCCAGTAGATATTACTTGACTGAACTTGACTTATATGCTTAAGCAATATTTTGTTATTATCTTTATTAAAACTTAAGTAATGTGTTTGTCTCAGGATGTGACTGCCATGACATTTCCAAATTTGATCAGAATTAGAGACGCTGCAATATCGTAGATAAAGGCTCGAATTCGTTAAACCGCCTTCCAAACATGTTCCTGTTTTCAGATGGAAGATTTGATCGTATCGTGTCCACATCCACTTCTGATACGGGTCATCTTTATCGCAAGACTCAGCACACGCTTGCCCAAAGCGAAAAGCAAAGCATTTACTTGGATTGCTTCTATGCTGCTTTATCATCATTGATTTGCCTTTATCTAGAAATAAGAAGCAGAAAATATGAATACGATAAAATCGTACCTGGCAAGGACTAGTAGTGGATGTAACATTCGTCAAAATAAATTGTATCTCCTCCTGCAGTTTTAATTCAAAATACTTTCATAACGACTCTGTTGGTTTCAAATTTCAAAGAGTATAATTTTATGAATAGACTTGCCTCTAACATGCTTAGAAATTATAAATATATTCAAAATAGAACCTACATGACAGATTCCATGAAATTAAAAGCAGCTAACCTGGATAATACAGAAGTCTAATATCCTTTACACACTTGCCAGAACCATCAAATTTACTAAGATACGTTCTGTATTGGCCAAAACATGTACATTGTAAACACCAACCATTCCCAGTGATGATGCATTTGGCGTTAATAAAAGAGCAATTGCTGCATTCGTTGCCAAAGCAACTCGGGTTTTGAAATGTGTCGTAGAAACCGCGAGAAATCTTCAAAGATTGCTGTGACATCTGTGTGTTATTCACCCTCCGTATGACAACAGTAAAGACAATATAAATGAGAAGCATGGTTTGTCGTTGACGTTTTAATCGTTTCGCGCACACTACAGTTGCAGAAATCGGTTGTAGAAATCGGTTGAACAAGTACACCATACTACAGTAACGAACTGCGCATATCATAAACAAAATATCGCCACGGATGTTCAAATACCTGAGTACATTGGCAAATTTAATATTTCTTGGTAAATTAATTGACAAAACGAAAATAGAAATCAGAATAGAATAAACTAAACTCTGTAAATATTTAAACTTCTCTTCTGTAGATAATTTATTTCTTAGTAAATTTTGTAATTGTTTTCCCTTGTGGAAATCAACCACAGTTGACTAGGCCAGCGTGTCAAAATAAAGATTTTCATTCATTTTCATTCATTCATTCTGTGTTTAGTGTTAAGCGGAAGTCGCATATTTGCGAGAATGCTTATAAGTGATCACAAGACACTGACCTTTAATTACTTATAATGCTACATGTTATATTTTTTATGTGCGATCGAATGCAATTTACAAAAAAATGTTTAAAGAAAAAAAGAAGAGAAATGATTCTTAATTCTTTACTGTTATTAATCAACTTTGTATCACGTTGAAAAGAGTTTGTTCTGCAAAAAATTTTAAAATCTAGTTTATTAAAGATCCTGTTTAGCGTAAAATCGTAATCACCGCTTATTAACATCCGGTTAAACGAGACGAATTATCTGCGTACCTTTGAAAAAAACTTGCACCTCGGCCACCTCCATCTCTTAGTAAAAATTTATTTGAATCACAATTGACGCACAGCCTAAAATCCTTTGATATTATTGTAAAAAAAGGTATTTTCTATAACGTTATTTCATATAGCTTCGTCATTTTAATTAAAGAGCAAAAATTTAAAGACATAACAAAGCCTGCCGCATATTTATCTTTATGGATGTATAAACACGTCCACGAACAACCAGAAGTATAATACAAAAAACGTGTTCTGGAAATGATAGGCAAAACCTTAGCAATTACAAAGAAATCTTGAACTCTTTTGAAGTCGTTTCCGCTTTTCACAGTAATTTTGAGTTGTGAGAAATACATTTCTCCGGAAGATATTAGATCTGACGTGGGAGTATTGTTAGAAGTTTAAAAATAACTTATATTGCAATTGTTATGATTATTGACACGGCTAAGACAGTATTTATATGGGTTTAATAAGGGAAAGTGCACATGCTAAAGTTGTGTAGGACAACTATATAGGAACGTAGTTAAAAGTTTTGCCCTTGCAAGAGACAATGGTTGTAACAATTGATTCAGTAAATCGAGTCCATGCAATTCAAATCGAGCTTTAGTCATGCTCAACTGAAAAGTGCTCATGTCTTGTCGAAAAATCTCGAAATAAGAAATTTACAAAGCAAGTGCACAGACAATGACAGGCAGTATACAATGACAGTTCCTTTCCATGCAGTTGCAAATTTTAAATTTTAAAACATTCATTACAATCCACATATCATGACGCGCACAGACAACAGAAATTTAATAGTTGATAAAAAGTTACATCACTATGGCGTATTATTTCATTTTACTCATGCCCATAATGATAACCTATGAGTATTGAGCAACATCCTCACCACCGACAGCAAAAGGTCAATAATATGCCCACGTTTTTGTACGATATTTTCTTTAAACACAGAAAAGAAAAATGTCTTAAAAAATGGCAATTACAAAATTTATAGCTCTTTTGTTACAAAGGAAAGTGTTGTCAGAAATTTGTTTTAAAGTTCTTCTTTCCTAAAGAGAAATGTCAGCTATATATAGGAATTGTATCCTCATTTGTTTAATTATTTGACGAGCTCTGTAAAGAAGGTTCAAAACTGAAGTAAAACTCATTTCTGGATCACTTTGTTTGGATTTTCTTTTATTTCCGATTTGACCATTTTTTTCATCCTTTTCATTATCGCTTTCCTTTCGTTATGTATCCTCTTGTCTTCGCTGTCGACCAATATTGCTTGGATGTTTTCATTCGCTCTTTTCGTTTGATGGCAATCTTTCTGTCAAACTATTCAAAGCTTCAGATGGAATCCTACTTTCATTCTGACCAGTTGATGGAGGTTTGACAAAAAACAGGGAAGAATGATAAAAAAGCAAAGGTCTATGATCGTTGTCACGCGACCGAAATTACTCCACTTTTGGTTGATGAGTCGTTGCATGACGGGATAGGAAACAATGTTGAACTTCCTCGTGAGAACGGCAGCTTCAAGTGGAGTGCGAGCTTTTTTCGTCTTTGCGCTGATTCGCGATAACTTAAGAAAATTTATGAAATTAAATTCCTTCCTTGTTATAATATCAGTCGTGTGGAGTTTGTCGAGAACTTCCAAAGCCACCTGTGGAAGTCGCTCAATCAAAACTGACAATGCCGAGTTCCCGGATGAATCAGGGAGACAAGGCGAAGCGCCTTCGTCTATCAATGCTTTTTCTGTTTTGTCTCTCGTCCATTCTCCAGCCAACTAAAAGAACGCAATGGCGAGGTTTCATAGATTCAAGGAAATGTTATCATAATGGATTTTATGTAAGGCAATTGTCGATTACAATATACAAAGCTTGCTTATTTAACGCCATTATCGTATTGTATATGTTCAGTGAATATTCCTCAAAGATTGGATAAATTGCTTTTTTGTGCAAACTACTCAACGCAAATGCGCTATAACGAATTGCAAGAAGTTAAAGTACATCATACATACAGAATAGAGCACAACGTTTAAATAACAATCATTGTACGTCAATTGATGACATAAAGTTTTCATTCAAATCTTTTGCTACATTTAATCAGTAGACTGGTGGTGTTTTTTTTCATCTTTATGCTGTTTTCATCAAAATTATTTCTCCCTATAATCAGTTCTCAACTTACCTGTAATGGTGTTCTGTTTCTATAGTCAAGTGAGTCAATATTTGCTCGATATCCCAATAGCAGTTGAAGTGATTTCACGGAACCATTTTTTTGCAGCATAATGTATTGGAGCCTGTAATTCACCTACTGTCCTTGCATCAATACCTGCGTGGTTTTGCAACAAAAAGTCGGCAATTTCGACAAAGTCCACCGACACAGTCACGTGTAGAGGGGTTCGCCAGAAGTTGTCTTCCTTATTGATCTCTCCACCTGCGGAGACAAAATGAAGACCGCTGGGCTATCATAGCGCAGATGTTGTTTGGACGTTACGGAGAATATTGTTTTTTAAAAAATATTAAATTTTTATAGTTCATCTTCATCCATTAAAGAATTTAGGTAATAACACTAAAAATAATTTTCTCATTTTATAAAAAAACTAAATACAAAATCTGCAGGACTCAATAAAGACTGAAAAAAGTTACGAAATCGGAATCAGAGCGAATTATTTATTTCGTTAGTACGAACTTATCGTAATAAAATATTTTCGAGCTGAAATGTGCATGTAGCAACAATAGGGAGAAATTAATGAGAAAAATGTTTCCTGTGATTGCACAGGCAACTGAGAAGACCTTTCAGAGAACTCTAGAGCAGAAGAGTGCAAACCCGAGACCAATGGTCGAGAGGTTCCACAAACGTCTCCAAATTTTTCATAAACCTGTGCAAACACGAAAAACATCTTTCATTTCTTTTATGAAATACCAATAATGCAAAACAGATGAATTTAAAACAAACGTTTTAATTTTTCTTCTAACATGCACTCATGATTGATTTGTAAATTCTCTTTAATTGATTGACTGAGCTCAGATCGAGCTTTGACACACTTGTGATGAAATTTTCACGCAATATAAGTTAGGGCGTTCGGTGAATGCATAAAGAGTTGTACAATCACAGCGTCATTTCAATAAACAGAGAGCACAAAACACATTTTTGATTCTCACAAAAGTTTTGTGTAAGACGATTTTGATTAAGACGTACGTGTCGTAATCCTATGTACGTAATTGCGTACCTATTTTTCTGTTTGGGTTTACAAACAGGGATAAGGACTCTTTGGATCTTATGGTCACCTTGAGAAAGAACAAATTGAGCAACATCAACACTCCAAGAACGTGCGACCTCGTGAAACAATGTATGCCTATGTTGATCGGTAACATTAATGTCAGCTCCTCCTTTGATAAGAGATTCAACAAATTCGTAGTTGAAAAGATCGCTTTTCTTGTTTGAAGACCTTTTGTTGATATGCATGCCTGCGTCAATTTACGATTATCGTACATGTATTGTCATAAAACAACATTACAATTACAATCACTAGATTTGTGAAGCAGATCCCATTGAATGGTATTTTGAAAACAGCGTTACTTGTCAACTATTGTTCATGTTACGAAATTGCTTTATTTTGTTGTAATTTTTGTAACACTTTTTGTAAACTTCGTGATTCGATCTTGTCTCTTACAATAATAGGCTTTAGTTGGAAAATTTATTACCAACAAAGGTATCTTCTGAAATATACATGTATCTGCAGCTATGTTGCGTAATTTAAATTGCGTCACAACGAAAGCAACTTCATTGATTTACGGTATTAAAGAAATCATAATAGAAAATAGTTTAATGAGGTGTATTGAAGGGGGGAGGAGGTTCATCCTGCTTTAGAAAAATGCGAGGGGGTGTTATCCCGCACGAATATAAATTAACAAGATAAAAAATCATCCATAGAAACAGATGGTGTGATATCATCGTTATCTTGAACTCAAAAAGGTCCTTTCAGCATTGATTAAATAACCTCACCTCAAAATAAAACATCTTGCTCGCTGATAATTGTTAGCTAGGTTAGACTCAAAATTCACTCAATCCACCCAGTACAATAATTATTGCTTGACTCTCATGGGTAAACAGTTGTATCATTAAGTCTGTAATTTAACGTATTTTACGTCTATTCATTTCTTAGAAGTTTCGTGGCTTTGCCTTTAAGGCTTGACATGCGTATTTAACAATGTTTCAAGGAATTGGTGGGTCGCAACCATCCCCCTGGGAGTAAGAGAACGATGGAATGCTCGCCATGTTGGATGAAATTTGCATTGTAAATAAGGAAAATCCTTCGTTAAAATCATCCAACATGGCGACAATGACGTAGCTTGAAACCCAAGAATACTGCAGTCAGTGAAAAGCGATTTACGAATAACGTCTTTTCTACTAGTTGTGGATGGTGTTTTGCAAAGACTTTCAATTTTTGTTGGAGCTTTTGTTTTCCAATTGACTTTAAGAAAAAGTTTTTCCATTAGTGTTCGCATGCAATAGTTTGTTGATATAGTTTTGCGACTTCTCTGCATAACCTTATGACTTTTTCTCCTAACCAAATAAACAAAGGGCAATTTTCTCACTACTTTTGTTTACATTTTTGCGTTCTGATTGGCTAGATTTTAAAAACGTAAACAAACCGCTGATTGGCTCAAAACAAAATTCCCACTTGTTGCTTTTGCACTATTTGACGTCTTTATCCGCTCTGATCGCTGTAATATATTTTACTTTCAATCCCTAAAATATCAATAATCTTATCCTTGTATGCTGTCTCCGTTTCATGTATATCTTTCTCACTCGCCCTCATCCCTAAAGATATTTCCTGTCAACCTGTCCAATTCTTACCAATAATATTTACATACTAAACTACTATGTCATTACTATTAAAGTATCTGTTTAATGCAATTGCTTTCTTACGAACCATTTACATATTCACTTCAGTTTTCCCAAAAAAGCACACTGTTTATCCTCATAATATTTTGTTATTGACGTCATGAAAACGCAATAGTTTGCACGTGACTATAGGATTTCCTACAGGAATTTAAATATTCCTATAGGCTTTAAAATTGCCGCAATTTTCTTAAGATATTTCCTATCGGAATCGGAATAAAAATGAATTCACGCTGCCTTCCTATAGGATTTCCTACAGGAATCTTATATTCCTATTGGAATTCTAATAAGATCCTATTGATAATTTTCGTAAGGGCTTAAACGTGTCGTCAAAACTGTTTCACACGTTAACGAGGTTCGACAGACAACGTCATGCGCATTTATAACGTTTGTCGTAATTTATTGTCAGTTAAACTTTCGTTCATGTGGGAACTCTTTACAACATTAAGCATTTGTCTGTAAACAAACAAAACTTTTTGTGCTGTTGCGTCACGTTTATGAAACGTCGCTTTGCAGTACCTGATATAAAATTTCTTTGATATTGTTTCTTTTCGTAGACTTAACTTTAAAAATATGCAATTGCAACTCCAAAAGTCGTGGGAAATAAAATCTGGTAACCTGGAGTTGTTGTCGTGTTTTAAGATTTTAGAGAATAGAAAAGGATAAGACAATCAGGTTTATAAACCGTATGCTCTCCAAATTGCAGATTACTCATGCCAATTCGCAAAATTTCATTTATCTACATATACTACAAACCATTTATACTTTCCGAATTAAAAAAAATGCATGTAAATTGGCGCGATTAAATTCGCTAACCCTGACGATAATGCACTAAGTAACCACTGACGAGAAGTTGTGCGAAAAATGACAGGACTAAAGAACAGTTTCTTTAGAAAGATCAATCTCAGAACAAGACCAATAATCGCTTTCTTCATTCGTACTGTGTTTGTTCACGAAAACGAAATTTTCGTCGGGTTTAATACCAGCATCCACCGAGCAACGCGCAGAGTCTTTAGGGTAATGTTAGACTGCTTGGTTTCATGGTCAATGGCTTCGACCTTTATTGAATGAAGTTGAGGATTTTCATCTGTTACCAACTTTGATGGCAAAAGTTCTGTGTTGTTGAAATCAGTGTTAAAAGTTTTGAATGATTTCACGGGGCTATTATTGGTACGTTGCACTGTTGACGTCATCTCACTATCTGTCGGCCTCATTAAAACACTTTCCACTTTCGTGCATTCTTTCTCATATTTTACACCACTGTCGAAGATGTTATCATTTCCATCCGAAGATAGCAAACTGCTAAGACTTTTGCTCTCGTTGTTAACTTCATTTTTCTCAACGCCTCGTCTTCCCTTTTCTTCTTTTACACACGTGGTATTTTCATGACCAGTCGTCAATTCAAACTGTTTCTCAGATGGACTCTTTGAAGTTTTCACTTGATATTTGTCAGAGAGCCTTTTGCTACTAACGGGCGATTCGAGATCAACGGCAATCTCTTGACGAGGAAGAGATCGCTTAGATTTCAAAAGAGGAAAGTTCGCATCAACATCTATATCTTCTTCAAGAACGTTAAACGTTTTGCCTTTATCAAAGCTAACTTTCTTTTTAATAGTTTTGCGAGCAGATTTATTAGCATCACGAGAGCTATCTGCATTGCGCATAATACCTTCATGCGTTTCACTATGGACAGTAGGATGGATAATAAGAGCGGATTCAGAGTCTGAAAGAGACTCTGGATGCATGATTGAAGTAAAGTTACTTCTAGTTGCGCCGCTATCGGGGTTTGTACAAAAAAACTTATCTCTTTGTTCACTGCCTGTTAGAATACCAAGATCCACAATAAAACGTCGCATCCATTCCTTCTTTGACGGCGGTGGATCTGTGGGATTCTTCAATCGCGCCAAAAGATCTTCTTTCATAGAAGCCGCGCGAGAATTTACCGGTTGAAGAAAGGCAATCTATGATAGAGAGTGGAATTACTGTTTATCATATCAATTAAATAAAAAGTGTGATTCCAACAAAACTAAACCAAATCAAATGACGCACATGCAGCAAAACCTTAGGTCCGGGGTTGATTTACTGGGGTCGGTTGAAATGCAGAGGAGTGCACATCCCTCCTAGCCTAGTTTAGAAGGGGGGGCAGGTGCCAATTTCCATGATAATTAATTATATAGGTACCAAGTAATCAAGAAAGGCAACAATGATTTGTGTTTGATGGAACATACTTCCAAAACATCTCTCACTCATTGTATAAGATTAACAAAATTTAAAACAGAGCACAATGACACCTTCATAATTAGAGCATCCCCTTCCAACATAATTATTCTGGTTCCATTGTTGTTCTAAGTTTAATTTATGAATTCCATAACAAAAAAATGCTATACACTTTTATATTGCTACTTTTTAATATTGCCGAACCACAAATTTTTGATTCCTCCAAAAGTACCGACCCACACTCTATTGGAAATATATTTAATACGAAATCTAATGCGCATATCGTGAACAAACCTTGGATCGAAGGATTGGCAGTAGCAACAGAAACAGTGGAGAGCGATGCAAAATAATGAACTCAAGGAATTCAAAAAGGAATTCGGTACCTAAAAAATTAAGGGTTGGCAGCATTACACATGTCAGCACTTTATGTACAGCGACTGCAAAGCCTGTTTAAACGTAGGGGGAGGGACAGAATAGAACGAAAATATACTTTGAATTTTATTCCATAAATATACTGTACATCCCCCCCCCGCTTTGCAGTCCCTGATGTACAATTTCTTTAGATGTACTCTCTTTAGATGATTTAAGTTCAAAAATATAGCTCCAATTGCAACTCCAAAATTGGAACATTCTTGGCAGTGATAATGGTTACTCTTCGACAATTTTTTTAGTTCACGTACATAATCATAAAAAGACAATGCATCAATTTCAATAAAACGTATTTATCGGGTTATTATTATGCCTATACTCGTGCTCATCACATGTTGGCCATGAAGGCAGCTTTCATATTTGACGAGATCAATAAGAAAGTTTTGTTGTATTTGACAAGAGGTTTTAATATAGATCTCGGTGAAACTAAGAAAAGGTTGCTTAGTTTAATAAAACAGCTGTTGAAGTTAAAGATTAAATTGTCTTGATGAACAATTTGACTAAATACTAAACTGTATGTGACCAAGCATATATTGGAGGCATTGTTATGTTTGTATTAATTACAAAATCAGTTTTCATCCAAAGTAAAAAACAAAAACACTACCGTAGTAGCAATCATCCAGTTGTATCATGCAGCATACATAAATATGGAGAACTCACCTGCACCGTAGGCAACAGCTTCTTTCAACGCAGATGAAATTTTGCACCACTCATTGGAGAGCATACCAGGAAAGCAAACGATCATCACCTTCAGACCTGGTGAAGAAATTGTGCAGATCAAATTAACACAACTGAAGACTTGCATTCGAATTTTTATTCGCCATTGGCATCAAAATAAATCAGGCGAACAGCAGAATTTATAAACATGGCCCCCTTCAATTAACGTTTGATTGATGCCCTTGCTATTCACGCACGAACGTCTGATCTATAAACGTCCAATATGTCTAAGCTATACAGCGTAGTGAAATAGTCATAATGTATTACCTAAATAGGCTGCTTTGAAAATCGACTGCGAAAAGGTTGCACCGTGTCTTTTGCGAATTGAGCGATGGAAAAACGGCGACGAAGGTCCAACCGAGTAGTTCATCATAATGCCGGTGGAGAGGCGATTTGCAGATGAGCTGCTGTCGATGAATGGGGTGACAATGACGAAAAGAAAGCATGAGACGGCGTACGACACGTCTACTTTTGAAGCTTTAGGTTGATCTGAAATCGATTTCATCAAGCGTCATATTCTATATGTTGACTGTTACATTATCAGAAACTTTCACTGTTTCCAACTACCACGCACTCCTTCCGTTTGCTTTATATTGAACGGTTCTTCTTCACAAGCCTTAAAGTTTTCCAATTCATTTCCCATTTCGCATTCATCTACCGCCTGTATGATACTTTTTTACTAGATATTTGATAAATTCGTATTCTGCCTCTCCTACTTTACCATCATATTCTGCCTTTCCTATTTAACCATCATATTCTGCTTTCCTATTTAACCATCATATTCTGCCTTTCCTATTTAACCATCATATTCTGCCATTCATATTTTACCATAATATTCTGTGGTTCACCTCAAAGGATTCACCTTTAACCTATACTCTTGAACACCTCCTTCCATTACCATATTGCCTTTATCATGCCAGTGCCTCATCATGTCACTCGCCAAAACCATGTAATATGTACAAAACATCCCACTCGTCAAATCATCCTTACCAACATCAACTGTAATCACAAATACTAAAGATCCACATCTTATATGTATATGCCATTTGTCATCTTAGAAAACTCTAATTTTGTCTTTGATCAAACCTTTGCATCTTGTTCAGCCTTTCTCTCAATTACCTCACTATCAACTCTATTGATAATCAGCCCCCCTGGTATTTCATTTTCAATTTATCGTCTTTATAACTATAGTACGTTCCTAAAGGTCCAACAACTTCGTTTGAACCTTCTTTGTTCTATATACATCCCAAATTCACATTTTCTAAGCGATAGCCAACTCTTAACTTCAGTACGAGATACATGGGGTTCACAAACCATTTGTGTCCCATAGTTCTCATAAATATTACAGGAGAAACTGGAAGGATTACTTTCTTCACACACCAGAAAATAAACAAATTATGTTATGCTAGACTTACTTTTATCTCCAACTCCAAGCCGTATACACAATGGTAGTAAAATATGCACGAACACTCGCAGAGTTCGATCGTTGTCACCAAACTCGATTGTACCACCACAGAGATCTTTCAAAGAGTATTTATCTCGAAGTGTAAACATGAGTCTTGCAGCCAACTTTACCACCAGTTGGCAAAATATGATAGAAGGAGCTGGATAATCGTCACAATACATGTTTCCCGCGAAATCATAATCGTAGCTCTGTTCACGTACGACTAAACGCATACAGGTGGCAACAATGGCCTATTGAACGTAGTTGATCACATACAAAGTGAGACGAATTACATAGGCTAATAAGGCACGTAGCCAGAACGATAATTGAGAGGGGGAGGGGAAATATTCATATTTTTATATGCATGACATGCCGTATTAGTTTCTTTTAAAATCATTATTTTTTACGGATTATAAAATGAATATATGAATATGCCCCCTTAATTATTGTACTGACTACGTAACTAAGGCTAATGCAACTAACCTAACAATATGAATTATCCATCTACTGAGTAGATTCTACTCGATAAAGGACATAATTGAAATTATTGCAACAGCTGCAAATCGATTACTCGATAAAATCAACAGCAAAAATGATCGAAAATCAGCGTTCAAATATCAACGTTCATACTTGAGCCGAACATTATTATGTAGTAAACACCTATCTTTTCTTATATTGTTATAAATAAAGATACATGAAGGCTAACAATGATTTGTTTGAGGCAAGTGCTTATTCGACTGGTAGCGTTTGATTTATAATCACGGGAATAAATTTGCTTTCAATTAAGAATTTTATCGTTACTGTTTTGAGTAAAGATGCACGATTTTTTCTGCTTGAACTTGAGGCGTTTGGCTGTCAATTTATTTTAATTGCAGCTTAAAACAGCATTTTATAAAAAAATCAAGAAACGCTGGAAACCTTTTGCTGGTAATCCTTGAGATCGGCTGATTTTTTTACTTTAAAAAATTAATAAACCTAACTTATTTCACATTCATGCTAAACATTTTTTCGTCCCTAAACAAACTCTTTTTAAGCAAACACATGACTTACCTTGGTGAAAGGGAGAGCTGTTACAGCCGTTTGCTTCGATATGGTTAAATATAAACCTGCAAAATTAAAGCTACACTCAATGACCAAGCGTGAGGTCTTTACAAGCATAAGACATCTGGTTGTTTTGCAAAGGTTGGCTTGCCATATAATATATACTTATAAAAAATTGCGGATTTATGTGCATAAAACTAATTCAAACGAACACCAAGGAAAAATCAGAGTTGGTGCTAGAACGTTACTTGGGATGGGATTGTTCATATATTCTGTTGTACCGATCGACCCTATCCCGAATTAACGTTCTGCCGCTACATCTTTAAACATTTATTTATACAAAGGCTGTGGCAATATTTACCTTTGAGAAGCACAACGGTGACGTTCCAATGTTCGCTTCTGTGTAGCAACAATGGATATGGCCAGAAAAAGTTCTAAAAAAGTTGTTGAACATGTAGTGAATCAACACAAAATAAGGTACCTGAAAAATGGTTCATAAAAAGTGGTATATGGAAAGCTGGAGTTGGAACTCGCCTCGGCAAACTTTTCGTTTTCTACAAACAACCCGTGCTTACCATAAGATCAGGTTTGTCAGTAATCTTCGTAAAGGTAGAATTGATTCTTTTCAAAATCAGGTTTAAGGCAGGAATTGTTTCTTCGGCAGACCAGTCAATATTTGGTAATGCTTCTAACATGAATCTATAAAACAGAAGTTCGTACAACAACTGATCTTGCTAATTACCAAGAGAAGAACTCAGCATTATACAAGAAAACTCTTAGGCCCATTGGCTGTGCATTGTTCTCATTTGCCGTAGACGTCAACCGCTCAACCGCAAAACTTTCTCTTAGATCAATTTTGAAGGCAAACAGAAGGTCATACGACCAACGAAGCTTAATTAAATGTTTTCATGAGGTTGTGATGATAGATGTATGGAGTGAGCTTGGCGGAGGTAGCCATCGTAAGCTAATACAACACCACGAACAGAGCAAAGTTTCAAAAAATATTGCCTTCTGCCTCGTAATTATATTTTATAACTCATAAAATGTTTCATGCATTTATGTCATTTCTCTATCAATTCCAATTAATTTTGACACGTGCACCATTCAGGCAGTTGCATTGACTTCATGGCAAATGAAGACATTCTCAATAAAACCTATCAGAAGGTACGCATAGTGTAAATAATCACCAAGCAATTTTCTGCTTTCTCACAGTGTAAAGTCTATGGTTGTGTATGATCGGCTACTTTTATTTTACGCACAATGGGGTAACGAGTTTGGAAATGAATTTCTTGAAAGAAGTTAAAGAAGACATTACAATGATATAGCTAAGACTGAAAACTGTTCACTCAACTATTGGATTCATACCAGTCAACCGGATCTTCTATTGCACTGCTCGGGATGTATAGAATAAGATTACATAAAACATTCATATAATAGAACGCTCCGTAGGAAAGTATACGTGTACACGGAAACACAAAATTTTTAAAAATGCCATTAACTTCCTTACTTTTGCAGTCCTGTTAGCTCTAATGACACGGTATCGGTTAAGGAGAGCTTCAGAAGTGTGTGAGCGATGTTGCACAATGACTAGAAAAACAATATCGCAATGGGTACTTTTTGCAATAAAAACTGGTCACAACATACAACAGAAACTGAAGCCTGTAAGAACTTTTCCAAAAAAAAAACAATTATCTAGCTTTACTGTAACGTTATTGAGTAACAACTAAGTTTCATAAAATGCTCTTGTTTGAAATGAGTTATCATATGAAAAATGAACCAAATAAATACATAGACGTTGACTGAGGTATTCAAGCAAAGTGTTTTGTCGACGTAGTTTTCATTGATGTCTCCTTTTCATTTTTCATAGAATAGATTTTATCAGAACTTTTGAAAAACATTGGCAAGAGCCGTACCTGTATGCTTTCATTATCCAGTGCCAGGTTAACAGTTTGCCCAGAATTTTTCAAGTTTAACTCTTGTAGACGTCTCTTGCTTGTGCTGATAAACTCAGAGGCAATAATTAAAATTGCATTTCGTGGAGTCCTAAACTCATAGAGCGAATCCAAGACTTGTTCTCCTTCGTCTTGTGTGCTGAACTTGTTCAAAAATGGTTTAAATTGCTGATCTGAAACATGAAAGCTTTTGAAAAAAATTAAAAAAAAACAGCCCTAACAATGCAGTATGTCTGCAACAAAAACCACATACGAACCAATCGACTCCGAGTCTCTGTCTTCATCAGGATACATTCTGGATAATCTAACATTTTCTTGGCTTGTAGTAAAAGAAGTAACGGATCCCGTTGAACCTTCACGCGTTCTTCGCTTTGCTACAGAACTAAGTTCCTTGATTTTTAAGAAAGGCCTAAAAAAAGAACACATGTATAGCACACTTATTGATACGGCCGTCTCGAATTGGTCATTCGATCAAGACTCTATTTTATACAGAAAGAAGGAGTAGACTGTAAAGAACTATACCTTCTTAAAGAGGTGCAACTCTTCAAGAGCACTTGAACACAGCGATGAAGAGATTGTAAAGCAGCTGGTTCATCTCTGGAGCATTTCTTCTTGTCATTATTGGCATTATTTCGTACATACTCCAGATAAAATGGCAACATTGAAGAAAGAACAACCTATTATTTAAAAGAAAGAAAAAATTTATTGGCACAAGAAACGAGCATATGAAAGGCAACTCAAACAGAATTTTAGATGTAAGATTCCATTCTATGAACCCCGTTTCTTCACTGAGGTTGAAGCTTGAGGGTGCAATGAAGAATGAGAATACGAATATGTATATTCTGGATTCCTTGAAACTTTTGATTCTAGTGTTGACTAAATGGAATCCGAATTCCAAACAGCAGGTTCTGGATTTCCAAGCAAAAGATCAAGAATTACAACATATGTTTTCCGATATAAGTTTTAATTATCATCGAAAGAAAAGCAAAACGAGCATTTTTTTCTATGAAAAAGAGATGTCAAAGGAGTTGCAAATTACTTTTGTTGAAGATGTGAGCTATATAATAATTCTTAGAGCAAATGTTTATATTGTAGTACGAAACATACCAACATCTGTGTCGCACGAACTGATTCAGGTGAGCAAGCAACAACAGTTACACAAAGACGGATCGCTGTATCAAGTTTAGATTCATTTTCTTCCAATTTTCCTTCGTAACAAGAATCCTGCATGGACGATTAATTTTGGTTGAAATCACGTGAATGGAATTTGCCGAAAATAACCTCCCTCCCTCCCTACTCTCAAAAAATATTAGAGGATATGAAAAGTTTGATGCATGAGACACAAATTTTTTAGTACAACGAAAAAGATATCATCTTCTGTGTTCTAACATTTGGAAATCGAGCCATGCATGTGAAATTGACAATATAATTAAAGATGCGACAACACTCAAGCCAAGCAAATATAATTATAGGCTGTGAATGTATTTACGAACCAGAGGTTTAAGTTCTCCATCTACGTCAACTAATGACAGGACATCCAATATGTCAGGAACGTCGTTCTCCAAAGATGACAAAATAGCAAATAAGCATTTTGGAAGAATCTAGAAAAGTAAAAAACACGAAGTGTAAACAGAGTAAAGGGATTGTAAATATCGCGATCATTGAATGTCGTTACCATGTTACTTTCGTCAATTTCATCAGAATGTTCGGGCATCTTGTTGACATTCTCCGTAAGTAAGATTGGTTCAATACTTGCAAAAAACTAAACAAACATCAGAGATCAATTGGTTCGATAAAACCTCAATTCCTATTTCACGAACATGAGACGTACTTGAAGGATAAATGGCTTCTGGTGAAGAATATAGAATTGACTGATGATAAACTATAAACAATAAATAACAACATTCATATCGCTGAGATAAACCTTTCCAATGTACATTCACAAATAGTCTTATGAGGTTACATACTTCAACAGCAGTACAAACAATTTCGTTATTCTCATGATGAGAATATAACAATGCCAAAGTTGGCAGAATATGGTAATATCTAAGAATTGAAAAAATGTTGCCTTCAACAAATATTGTCCGTATAATTCATCAACATGTAGCGGAAAATATATAAAAAAAACCCATTTTTTTACGATGACGAATAGATACTATTGCATGCTCACTAACCGTACCCGTCAAAGGCAAAAATATCAGTGAATTTGATGGCGGCATTGATGAGAGTGGCGAGACAGAATCTGAGCATGGACGTGTCTTCACATTGCAGCAAAAGAGCACCATTGATGACATTCATAAACAGATGTAGGTCATCGTCTCCCCAAGGAAAACAACTATTCATAGAATCAAACAACTTTGACAGAAGCTAAAACATAAAAATGAAAAAATTGTGGACACTAAAATAGGATTTAAAAAAGAAAATTTGAAAGAATGACAGCTATATGTATTACTTTAATCCACATTCTTTTATGAATTCCATCCATTGAGCAAAGTTGCTGTACAAAAACGAGACATTAGAACATCAGAAAACTAAGATTAGCAGTCGTGAAATAGATAGTTATATCCCTAATTTTGACTTACTGTTCCTTTAAACCCCCCTTCATACAACCCAAAGTCGACATCCAAAGCTTTACGTGGGAATGCAATTTGTTTGCTGAGCTCCGAGTGCAAGAAGCTGACATGGTGCTATTTTGGATAGATAATTACAACAACATAATAGGATGCATCAGCATTCTAATACAGGAAAATAAAGTTTTACTGAGAGCCTACCCATGTTTGGACAGATTCCAAAATTCCCAAAGTAAGATAAAGCCTTCCTACTTCGGCCATCTTGATGATAAAAGCCTGCAAGGGCAATCGTATACACATGTATGAGCTGTATAGTAAATCATTAGCTGCAGGTGATAACAATAACAGATAAAATCTAATTTTTAATCGTAGAAGCAATATACTCATGTTCCTATCGAGGGCAAGCTCGAAAAACAACAATCAACAGATCATGCAATCGTGTATTTCCATGTACTTATCAGCAAAAATGTTTAGGCAAACGAGTTTGGGCAACTGATTCACACATCGCAAACAACACAAAATTCGCAGAAAAAAGAAATTCCCAGTAAAATTATTAGGAAACCCTGTTTGTCTAACAAAATAAAGTTGAAAACTCATTTTATTTCTTTACTATATATGCATTCATCAACAACCTGGTCTTGACGTTTCACGTATGCATCCATATCGTTGTAGACCTGAAGTTTCAACTGGGGGTATGGAAACCCTTTTTTGAATGCATAAACATCTCGGACGAGATGCTTTTCTTCTAAAATATGACCTGTATAGAAAAACAAGATTTTCAACAACACACCATCAACAAATGGTTATGGCTAATGAGATTTTTGATACAAACAATAAAAATAAAAAATCTAGAACCATATACGGTTGACAGTTCAGATTTGCAGTAAAATATAGGTATCAGTGCACTGACTGTCAGTGCTATTAGTCAGTGAGTTATTTAACTATCGTATAAAAGGAACAAAATACCTGATTTTGCATCCAATAAACAGTAATGGGGGTTATCCAATGACCATTTTGCTGTACAATACTGCAATATGTGACCAAACGACATATCCTAAAAACAGCAAAACGTATCGTAAATGTCAGGCTTACCATCTATCGTTTATTTCTTGCAACAATACATGTGTCATTATATTATACAGAGCAATTTGATGTTCCCATTAATTTAAAAACTTTTTCTAGATGATCTGAAACGTTTAAATAAAAATTAATGATTTGCAAACTGAAGTCAGTCAGCCATAGAGTTTATCACACAAAGATGTCAAACTTAGCTGTACAAAAACATGAAAAATATTTTGCACTTTACAATGCTATGCCAATTAAGAGCATCAAAACAAAACAAGAAATGAAAAAAGGGTACTCCGACGACAGGACACCGTGCAAGACAATAACATGCTATGAACTGATACGAGTACAAAAGAAACAGAATGAAAAAATAATAGCCACAAACCTCTCGCACAGTCAACTTCTCATTGTCCGTGTTATTTTTGGGTTCGGGGCAAGCAACTACGACTTTCTATAAAAACGAGTTTAATAATCAGTAATTAATGTTTATTACCAAACTTTATTGTATTACAAGTGGCAACATGAAACTTACTTCAAAAGCTGTACTAGAATCGTTGGTATATATAGAATAATGACAATCAGTTTACAAGTGAAGAAACATACGTACTTTGGTTCCTGGTGTGTTAGCAGTAACCATTAGTGTTCTCTAAAAACAATCATAATACATTGAAATACAAAAGAAACATGCAGTACACCGTATAAACTCCTCCACCTCCCCAATATCCCCTCAGTAATGATGCGACGCAGATAAATGACAGAGAACATGCATTGTGAGCGGTATGATAAATTTCTTTCTCGATATATGTTACTGAATTGATGAAGAGTTTTTATAAGAAATGTTTAGATGTCTTGATAGCCTTTAAACAAATTCACAATTTACTACAATATGCCTAACTATTCATGAGATGCATTGCTACTTTAAAAGGATTAATTTACGTTAAGATTACAATTTCGTTCATCATAAAAATATGGCTACATGCTGTTTAAGTAAAATTAATCTAACCTCGCAATGCTCTTTCTTCGCCGAATATTTTAAATCTTTCAGGTATAATTTGGGAACGCTAGGCACAATCTGGGAAAAATGGAAAAGAATAATTTTATAAAGTAGTGAATATATTAACAATAGATTCAAGACCTTTTCATCGTTTTGTTTCCTCACAATATCAACATTATGTATCTCAACATGCACATATCTCAACAGAAAATTTTTAAAGTACAGGAATAAAGGAAATAGAAAACAGAGCTTTAACATTGCACCACATCTATGCCATGTGCGCATTTAATCTTTTCACATTTGGACCATGCTATCATTTTAAAGTGAAATACATATATCCACGCATGTCAAAAAATGCTTGTTGTTTCTAGACAATGTTTAGAATACTAATAAAGAAATCACATCGCGAAACAACAATGAATCAGGCATTATTATTACACGCTCCAGAAAGATTAATGTTGTGACTGTACTCCTGAATTACATGTGACATAATTTTCGCCATACTTATCACAACACTGTAGTATCCGTGGGAACTTTGCACTTAAAACAAATTTGACTATATATGCATATATATAGATGCATTTACCTCCATCACAAGAAGTCTCAAAGACAAACATAGTATAATGAACAATGAGTTTTCATTACCTTCCACAGCAAGGACGAGAGAATGAGAGCAATGGCTCCCTCGGAACATGGTTGATGACGTCTTGAATAATATAAGATCACTCCAACCTAGAGTTAATAAGACGACAATCCAATTTGAAGCAACGAAGAGACTCTTCTTTAAATGACTAGCTACATGTAATTTCATTCAATACTTATTTTCAAATATTTGTACATGTCACTCCCACTGAGATCTACGATGCAAATAATAGCCTCGTTGTTTTCAATAACTACAACGATATTTCTTGCAGTACATAAATGGAATGATCGTGATAATTAATTTCATTGCACATTTTTAAGTTTTAAGATTGATGTTTATTGTCTGCAGCAGTTGATTTGCTCTGTGAAAATAGATAAAAATTTAGAATGACATACCAAATGATTGAAGAGTATCACGCCAGCATTAGGAGGAAGCGTGGGTATATGAATTAACAACTTGCTCAGAAGAAAGACAAGTTCTTTCTGAAACGAGAAATGCAACTATAACATTAACCATGGCAACAAGTTACGACGAGAAAAGAGTGAAAAATAGTGTTGTAGAAAAATATGAAATGTTCTGCCTTTCTTACCTGTTTATTGGGCTTGGTGATATCTTCAAAAAATGTCCGAAAGAACAACATTGGATCATCAACTAAACATTCCCACAAAGTAGTCTTGGCGACTTCGGAGACTGTAAAAAATGACCGACAGACCATAAGAAAATTGAAGAAACAAAAAAGGAAAACTAATTAAGAATTCTGATCAGTTGGATTGATCAAGAATGGTCGAAACTGTTAACAGCATAAACATCTTGTGTTGTACGAAAATGGAACGGTTCAATGATAAGCGTGTTCAACCCACCCGCAACTTGCGATGAAGTAACAGACGAATTATCAAGAAGTCCAACAATGTAGGGAACGGCTGACGACATTGCTGGGGGCCAAAAGTCAGTAGTTATAGGCAAAGCAGCGGCATCACGACCTGAAACGTCCAATAAGAGACTCGACAATAGCATAAAAAAATGAACGGTTACTCCGGAAATAGATTTCGTACAATGTTAGCACGAGCTCTGAAATATCAGTATGATCAGTATAGTTGGGTTCAACATGTGAGTAACATTTATACCTATCAGACATGCATTAATTTTGAAGCATAATGCACACCTTCTTCAGATTCGGCTGGTGTTGATGCTTCAAGTGATATGGAAGTGTTCGTAAAATTGTAAGCATTTCTTTGTTTCTTCTTTTCTTTTTCCAATTTCGACGCTTCATGCATGTCTTTCTCCTTATCTTCTCTTGTCAACTCCTGTTCATTTTTCGTTATGTGAATGTAGGTATTTGGGTCCCAAGGACAGTCAGGAACGGGTGGTGCAGACGAACCAACTGGAGGAGAAGGCAAAGTGAAATCGAGCTTTGGTAGAGGAATCTAAAAGCAAAATAGAGATAACAATAACCAACATTTGATTTGTAAGAAAGATTGGGTTCTTCGCCTATACTATACATTGTGAAATTGTGTTCGTTCTTTCACAGCTTAATGTAAAGGAATGAAAATATACCTACATATTAAATGACCAATAGCATGGCTTAATGAAAGCCCTACTAGAGTTTGCTGAGATTTATAGCTGCATTTTATCATATATTTTATTTTTAAGCTATGACGTCACATGAATCGAATTGAGATGGCAACAGTTAATAAACGATGAAAGTACGTACGATATCTCTCTCAAATGTATGCAATGAATATTAAAGAATTGACACTACACTTGGCTTAATGGTTCGAAGATAAACTGATAAACACACAATTAAATGACTCTATGCAAATGTTTGCAATAGAACTGGTTACTCTCCAGCGCGTGTAAGAATAGTTTTTACTATAGTTATACAACCATTTACATGTAAAAATTATATCATATCACGAAAAGTTAGTTAGTAAATGGAAATATATTCTACATTGGTCTCGTTTACCTTGAGCACATACTTGGCACCAGCCTCCATTCGCGGCCAAACGTAATATCTGCTTCGCCATAATATACAGTATCTACACGTCAAACACAATTATTCTGATAAAAGATGCACATAAGAACGCTAACAATAAATCTTAAACATCAAATAAATACACTTCACAAAGGGAAAAACCTTACTTCGTCAATGATTTAACTTGCTTTTCACAATTGCCACAGGAGAGTTCCTTTTGCAAAATCTTTTCTACATTTTCTTTAAGATGTAAGCTTGCAACCAGAAACACGGCGGCTATATGAAAAGTAAATGACAAGCCCAGTAATAATGTACATAAAAAGGAAAAATTTATCCAGCTTCTACGATGACAAAGCTAATATAAAGACAAAATGGAAAGTAAAATTCATCACACTAAACGTTTTGTCTTTATCGACACAAGAACATGTCGCTATGGCAATATTGTAAGTTTCCCCTCTTGCCTCGCTTGTTCTTGCACGACAACGTTGACGTTTCTTCCATTATGGAATAAATTAACTATTTTACCTTCTACAAAACATAGGGCATTCCCGTTATAAATTCATATGGAAAAATGCAACCTTATGGAGTGCAAAAATACTTTGTTCATATATCATGATATTCATTAGTCTGTCTTCTTTTTATGAAAAAGGTTATGTTCACTTAAGAAATTGCGATAACTTTCTAGACATAGTATAAGTTAAAATAAACGAAGAATTCGTTACGAATCATTAAATGAATCAACCAATCGACGTTAACTTGGTATATGGCAAATGCTTTTGGTAAAATTACAAGAAAATGGATGCTGTACAGTCAGTTTTCATGTGTAGACATGAACATTGCACAAGGAAACGTCACATTTTTTGGCTTGACGACAGTGCACGAATAAAGACGACAAAAATTTAAGTACAATAATTGAGTATGGTTTTCACTAAATAGTTCTTGACATCTTAGGAAAGATGAAATTTTGCAATTTTTCAACTTAGAACCATCCGGAGTTGTGCATATACCGCAATACAGGTTTAAATATAGCTAAGACAGTTATCGTGCCCCAAGAAAGGTTATCATATACATATGCATTATTTACCTGCAGTGGATACAAGTTCTTCAAGAGGACTCAACAGAAGTTCCCAAGCTAAAGGTATGATTTTAACAAACAGGTTCGGTTCCATAACTACAGCTCCTTTGATCAACACCGACATTGGACAGTTAAATAAATTACGAACCTGTGAAATAGTTTCAAAATGACATACGTGAAAATCAAACGGAATTGCAAGTTCACACAATAATGTAACAGACAACGAAATAATCTTTCCATACAAGGTAGGAGTTCTTCCTTGAACAGCAACAATAGGTATAAAAAAGGTATAGCGTTGGGCAATCAATCAGGTTGCAATAACGAAAAAAAATGTGTTTGAGTTTAGCTTTCTTGCCCTTGGAGAACATAATTAACAATCTCTATTTATATGCTTTTTTTGCAGTGAGAGCGGCAAGATTTTTTTAGGGGAGGGAGCAATTTTTAAAATTCTATTGTATATTATACTTGTTTATATTTTTTGTAGTACAAATAAGGAATATTATACCCTCCTCCCTTACAAGCGCCAATTTCTTTGCAACTTGGCTATTAACACAATGAAAACTCAAGCATCAAATAATTCGAATCGAAACACAAACGTGAAGTCTATATCTATACTCCCAAATAAAAATATCAATTGGTCAAAATACTATCGGCTCATCAAACAAACCTTTTCACTGATATACGTAATCAATATCTTGTCGCGCTGTTCTTTTTGCTTTAACGTCAGTTCCTTTGTGCTTAGCTTACACTGTCTTCCTTTCTCGCTGTCAAATTTTCTACTACCGTATCTCGTGCTGATAGATTTAGAGTATATTGTCTTTAAACCGACCATGAACTTTGAACAACTCTGAGTTTGTCGTCTAATACATCCGGGTTTGCACACATCACGGTGGTCGCATGTGAAGTCTGTCAGTCCGCTGACCATAGTGACAGCTTTCAACCAAGGAAACTTGCTAACTTCCTCTTCCTCGATGTCACTGGTATCCGAGGCATCACTTGTTACCCGACCAAGTGCCCTGTGAACTATAACACAGAAAAATAGAAATGAACACCGTGAAGAATGAAACTCAGGAAAGTTGACCAAATACTATTTCAAAGCACGACTCGTGAAATGATGATCCACCAACTTTTTTGTAAAAGACCTGAATACTATATTTTTTTGACAAATTACAAATATTAGAAATACTACACGCCTGAAGGTGTCTCAGACAATCAAGTACTGACGGATAGTTTTAATTTGAGAAATAAAGATCTAGCAATCAAAACGATAAGAATAGATCGACAAAAGCAATGACATATTATGCTTTTTCAATTAAAGTGTCGAAATTATAAGTTCTGAAAACTTTCACAACTACACAACGGCGGATCATTTTTCAGGAAACGTTCAAGTAGTTGATCGATTTTTTTACAGCAAGCTCTCCTTTATAAATTTTACCATAAACTCTAGTTTATCTTGTTTTTAAAAAAACTTTCCTTACATACAAACAATTTAAACGTGCTGCGAACCTTTGGGAGACTTCTTAGGCATTCTTGCGGGCGCAGTTGAAGGACTCGCTTTTCGATCGGAAACTTTCGCTTCAGGCTTGTGTAGTTTGCGTTTCTTTTCAGAGTTTGAGAACAAGGAACTGAAACGCTTTCGAGTTTTTTCATCATTTTCAGTCTCTGCAGGTCCACCTTCTACTTTTATCACGGGAGCAGGTACTTTTTCTCAACGGCTGCATCTTGTGGTATGTTTACTATCGGAACGATCAAACTCACCACTGGCGTGAGGATTGAGGGATTACCTTGACGAAGTCGCTCAGCAGGACCACTGGTGACAGCGTCTCTGTGTTCACCGCCAATTGGAAAGACCTTTTGTGTCGGTCGTCGATTTTGCCTCGAAAATGCAATACTTTTGTTTCGCATGCGTTGATTTTCTGCTTTTCGCGCCAAGGAACTGTGGCTCTCTCGTAAAAATGCTGTTATCTCTAGCAGAAGTTGACATGCGATCATTTTCAACGCGTAGGGACATTTACGAGTATTCTCATTAAGCGTACCTGCAACAGTGTCATATGTCATATTTACGATTATATTTCTTCAATCGTTCTACTTACAGACAAAAGCATTTGAAACAAGTCAGAACGAAAAACGACATGGCGAAAAAATAAAGGGTCAGAAAGCCATTTTCATGAAATAATCTTAATTGAGCTGCTGCCTCCTTTCGCAGTCATTCTTGGGATAAATAGAAACAAAGCTTTGCAGTCAAAAGCATAAACAAATCGTATTACAATTAACACTTGAAATGCACAATGCATGAAATCTTTCAAAATTTAGCATTAAAACAAGCTCATTGCTAAAATGCAATATGTGACCTAACCTTCATCCAGAAAATCTTCTTCAACAACTCTGTTGCCTTCTACTCCATCACTTCCTTCTTTAATGGAGTCCGATGAAGTTCTCGATTCGATCTGCTCTAGTCTCTGGCCAATAGCTACAGCCCATTTATAAAACAGTAAGCCAGCTTCGTGTTTAATGCGAACATTACGTCTACTAACCGCAATGGCATTCCTCACAAGCGCACCAAAGCCACCTTTACCACGTCGCGTCGATGGATGACTGCTTAGTAGCCAAGATGGCCATTCCCCTTTGTTACAACGATGTACAAAATGGGCACATTCGACGAGCAAAGCACCTCTGGCAATTGCTGGAGCTTTCTGAAAATTTAAGACGGATGATAAAATTTATAGTGGCAGAAATTCAAACACGGTAGGCAAAGTTGCTTGGAAAGTTGCTTGTGAATGAGTTGACAAATATACAAATCTTTAAAACTTGTTTTATGTATTGAAGAAGGCAAAAGAATGTAGTTTATTACTACGTAAAGCAGGTTTTTTATCATAGAAACAACCCCAGATTTTTGTATTACAATTGTGCAATAAAGACGGTAAACTCATGGAGACAACAATTGCATTGTTATCCAACACCCACGATAGCATTCACTCCGTGCAATACACGTTCAATTAACATTAAGGGTGCCCATTCAATAAAACATACAGATGGTGTGACTTTTGGTTTTGCATAAATTGTAATATGTCAAAAAATAGACTTTTCCTGAAGACTGGTAGCTACCAGTGAACTTGATAGCTCCCTTGGTCACAATTCAGACGAATCTCGTTGACAAAAACTTCAGATGATGTTAAGTAGCATTAAATACAAAAAAATGTGTAATCACATCTAGCATGTTAATGATAAAAGTGTTTCTTACATGCGATAAAAAGCAAGGATAAACAGAGGACAAATCAACTTTTTTTGCAAAAAACAAAAACAACCAACCAGCTCCAGAATTCCAGCAATAATATTGTGGTCAGGTACACTGCCTGGAAGACAGGACTCCAAAAGCATAGAAAACTTCATCATTCCATCTCGTATTTCTTGTACATTGACAGGAATGGATGTATACTCAACATTGCTTTGACGGCGAAATGAAGAATAAAACACCACCGCTCTTCCTTGTTTCAATACCGAATATTTCATCTGCTTTTTTCCGATTAGTTTTCGGAAAGAATTTTTTAATGATGCTTTTTCTTCTTCTGTCCAGAGAGCCCACAGACGGGACCTCATCTTCAACTGACAGCGATTCTTCCAAAGTGCTCCTTTCTTTATTCGTTTCATTGCCTGTTTTAATGACAAGGAAAAACTATTCAGGCCTGAATATTTGCTTTTGTGCTAGCAATTGAAAAAAGCTGCAACTAGCCCCGGGCGGTCTAAACTCGTAGTGCGAATTGGCCGTGCTCACTTTTTGTTCTTATCCATTCAAAACCAATTGCTCAATAACTACTGTCTGTATGCATTACAAAATGTTAAGGAAGAAATATAAATTTCATGGTCGTCTTTATAGTGTGCATACGTTCATTATAGCACAGTTTTCAGTTAGCTTCAGGCACATACTGGCAGCGCAGTTACCTAGGATCCCAAAAATGACACTCATGATTGAGTTTTTACACATTTTACGCCATGAATCATTTTGGATTGTCATGCATTACAAACTTTCAGAGGCTCAAATACATCATTCATGTAATGAATAAAACCAACATAATTCTAGTCAAATGCAAACACATTCAATGAAAAGCAATCAATAAAATAAATTCTTAATGATAAGCAGTAATTTTTCAGAAAAGTTTGCAAAATTGGAGCTGACTTGCTACTTATGGTAAATACATGGACTAAAAAATCATTGTAAAAGAAATTTTCTAAATGACTGGGCTCCATTCTCATTCTCCAAGCACATGCAAAGAAAGAAGCAATCAAAACAAGGCAAGAGCAAAAGCAGATGAAAACTTCGAGAGATAAAAAATAATCATAAAAAAACAACAAACCTTTCTACGAGACAAAGGAGTAGTCAGTACATCAGGAGGGGAATCAAAAGTTCCAACAGGACTTCCTTCTGTCGAGCTAACACTCTTGGAAAATTTCGAAAAAAACGTCTTTCTTTGAGTGCGAGGAGTAGTCATTTTTTCCATTACAGAAACTCTTGGAAGAGTCGAGGTGTCTCCTTCGTGAAAAGATTGAGACATGTAGGGTCTATCGCGAGGAAAAGATTCCCAAAACCGCCGTCGAGGTGTACCAGCAGCCTTTAGCAAACCTCGAAAAACCACGCGATAAAATGTACCACCTGCATTCTCTTTGACGTATTTCGCAAGTTGCCGTACTTGACTGAAAAGTGCCTAAGTGAGAAAACGTGAATGAATTGTTTGCACAGGATGTGGTCCATGAAAATCAGGTACAATAATCCACATGTGCATAACTTTCGTCTAATATAGAAAACTTACCACATTAGAAATTTCCTCCAGATTAAATTCAATAAGTCTCGTAACGTAGGCAGGAAACATACTGTCTATAACAATGCCAACGACACCAGACTTTTCCTTGAAATGTTCCGACATTTTCTTTCCACTCGACTTTGATTCCAAGGTCATGGTGCAAAAACCGAGCAGCGCGTGAAGAAAGTTTGTCACAATTTCCACATCCTCTTCTTTCGTGTAATTTTGTAAAAAAGCCTTGAATTTTTCCGCGTCCATTTTACATAATCTAGAGAGCATCGCCAAGGTTTTTGCACGTAGGTTCTTTCCCACGACTCCTCTGATGCCTTTGCCACAGCCGTAAGAGCAGCCGAGAGCACGCATGACATTGATAGTGCATCCTAATGCCTTCTGGGAGTAGAGAAGTAACGAGAATTTTCCAGCTATGGAATTGCATCTGAATGAAGATTAACGCCTTCCTCACTTTCAAGATCTAGCGTACTATTATCACTCGAGTCTTTCTCCGCGTCACGTGGTTTGATGACGTACTTTTCCAAAATCTGCTCGAGGATTGTTAGCAGTAGGTTACACACGCGTGCATTTGAGCTTCGATTAGCAATTTGACACACAACATCAAGAAAAACCGTCTTCCTAAGCGAGCCGTTTTCATCAAGAAATTCCTTGGCCCCGTTTGCAACTTCGGTTTTCGGTTCGTCGACGTCGCTCTTTAAATTTGAAAGTGCCGCAATGGCCTCGAGCACAGAGGACGATGACGATGCACGAATCTCCTTATTGCCATCTTTTGAATTACCTTTACGTTGACCAAATGCCTTCTCCACATCAAGAGGACCACTCAAGCCATAAAATCGTTTTAACTTGTTGACGTTGCCGATGGCTGGTTGCGCGTGTGCGGGCTTTAGAGCCTTTTCGTTAACAAATGCTTCAGATTCAGCGTCAGTCGTGGAGCAAGAACTGTTCCTGTTCGACATCTCAACAAAATATTTCTCTTCATTTTCGAGGTAATTCAAGACGTATTGAAGGCCCCAGACACGTCCCTCGTCATGCCAGTCAGGAAGCATGAGGCACTTTAGAACAGCAAGGTCAAAGAAGCTCGTTTGGAAGTCAACGATGCTCTTTTTAGCTTGACTACTTTCGGCTCTTTCAAGTACAACCGAAGCAGTAAAGGATCTCAAAGGGGGAGAACGGAATTCCCAAAGAGCTTTCCAGATTTCGTATCCTTCTTGGAGCCGAATGGTCAAATCTTGTGGATGGATGCAGTTCACATAGGGCACTATTGACTGAATGAAAAGCTCGACAATATGAAGCGGGTACAGTTTCCCCGAGTAGTTCTCGACTTCATTAGGAGCGTTCAGCAATATCCAATGAAGCGTGTACAAAAGTTTCGTTTCTGCCGTTGTCAACCTTTCCTCCGTGTTTCCATGTAAAGTCCTATTGGACAGTAGGGCCGCACAGCAGTGAAGTACGAATGGCAAAGCTCCTTGCACGAAATGCCAACGTGGAATTGTGTTCATGGAGCGAGACAAATTCGGTGGAAGATCGCCCACACGATTTTCGCAAATGATCTTTTCAAACGCCTGAATTAAAATAAAAATCAAATAAATAAGAACAATGACATCGCCAAAAGGCACGATACATTTCACGGATATGTTTGTTATGACAAAGTTTCTTTCTTGCTTATGGCTCTCAGCCATAATTATTATTTTTTATTTCTTTTATAAAATAACAAATTAATAAAGCAAACAGTGACGGATCTAGGGTACCTCAAAATTAATTAATGAAGCGCAATTTCGAACATATTTACATTTCTAAGCACCTAAAAAACAAGTTCATTGGCAAAATTATATTCTTCAGAAATTTAAAACAAATAGTGTTTTTCTGAATGTACTTTAAATTTAAAATTGAGCAGCTATAATTTATTTTGACGTACACTTGATCCGCTACTGAAAGCAAAACAGACAAATTAAAAACAAACGTTTTAATTTTTCCTCAAAAACTTATTCATGAATGATTTGCATATTCTCTTTAATTTTTTTATTGATTTGATTGGTTGAGCTCGGATCTATTGCAAATAAAACTATAGACCAATCAGGGCACGCTTTTAATTGTTTTTATTTTATAAAGCTTTATAACTTACCACACACGCATGTCCAAATGATTTCTTTTCGTGCAGATTGGGTTTCAAGAAGAAACTAAGATGATAAGAAATTGAATGTCATTAACGATACACAAAATGGACTTTTCTAATTCTATTTTGTGCTGTAATAGTTTTCTTGAATTTAGCAACATGATAAGTATCAAAGCGTAAGCTAGGTAAAACATACGCTTACATTTAAGGAGAAAACAGTCTGATCTGATCACATGAATAAAACTATTATATTTTTCTCTTAAACATATTGTCCGTTTAACACGAACCGTCACCACAGTATGGTGAATATACAGTACGGCCACTCCATTGAATTTTTTCGTGCCTCGCATATCTTATTACGCATGTGATTAACATAGTGGCAGCCATTCAATTGCTTTTTTTTGACCAATCGGAATGATGAAATGGCTAACGGCAGCCAGTAATCTAATTAAATATTCAGCAGCCAATTGCACACGAAGTGGACCTAGTGTATATTCACTGTACTGTGCCGTCACGTCACATTGCAAAATGATCGCTGCAAATTTACAATTATCATTCAGTTGCTCGACGGCTTTTGTATGAAATACTCATGCAGAATTTCATGCCATTGCATGGACCTTCACAACGACAGGAACTCAATCCGGTTTTAGTAACACATGACCAAATATTGATGATGATTCAATTTTTTACTAGGCAATGTGACGTCACCGATTGGACATTACGAAACGTCATTATCAAAAAAGAGATGTAAATAAACTGTTTAGAAAGTTCACAGTCATTTAAAGAGTCCTCTTGAATAAAAATATTATTTAAACGATCAAGAGTTAGGGCATCTTAAAGACGAACTTAGTTACGTTAAGAATACGGCTGTGTGAATTCAGAATCATTTTCTCGACCATTGACCATTTATTTTATTTCAGTCACAAACTTGGACATTCGCTCAATAATGTCAACGTAAGCCAGTGGCGTCGTTAGATGGTCGTTAGCTCGATAAACGAGGATTTTATTCATCTACGCATGTTTTTCGCAATAAGTTTAAATCTGCAAATCAAATGTTTTTCAAAAATTATTGCATGGGATTAAAACATGCTTAAGTGATTATTGTTCCACTCACTTTTATCCTGCAAGAACGTCACTGAGTCACTGACGTAAGTCCTGTTAACATGTCAAAGTATATTTTTCAATTTGATTTGCAGATTTAAACAAAAACCGGCCAATCTCAAGATTGCAAATGTTTTGTAAAAAAGCTGGCCTAACAATTAAAAAATCTCACAAATCTTTGAATTATTCGAGCGAAGAACTGGCTTTGACCCGATGCCCGAACCTTTCAACAAATTTGACTTTGACACAATCGCATCGCTCAAACGGATTGTTGGAAGTAAGAAGATGATATAACATAAGGTCGTATCAAACGTTACAACAAAGATATTTTTCGACAACTTTTGAAAGTAATATGAGCAAAGCACGTTGCAGCTCAGTGAAATGAACATTTCACGTGACGAATAATCACAGCGCAAAGAAAATTTGGGAAACAGATGTCGTCTAGATTCGATAAGGTTACAAGTCGGTCGAATGCTCATTTCGAGTAATATTTGAAATGTTGATCAATTATTTAGAAACACATGTTGTTTTGAAGAATTTTTCCGCAATTATTTTTCATAAACATCGGTTAAGAATGTCTATGTTTGGAAGTGTATTGTAGTGTACAAAACATATAATGTTTAAAACAGCTGCTAAATATAATAATCTTGAGCCAAATTTCAAGATAATTCGCTCGCTACACGGCAGACGAAACAATTAAGCAATACCTTGTTTGTCCCCATAAATAAGTCTGAATTGATAAAGGAACCTCAATTCGCTCACTTTCCAAAGGTTTGCTGACAATATGTCTTTGCATTTTGTGAAGCCAATGTTTTGAATCATGTCATGCTGTTCTCATCCTCGATGTTATCAAATCGAAGTTTGTTGTCACCTGTTTAAATATGTAATTTATGTAGATTTATGATGGATTATTTCCGTTAAAGCGTATTTAGCAGATAACCATCTATTCCGAAGCTTTTACTATAACTGTTCTATTGAAACAACCTAAGGCTGCGTTTACACTATACCGGATTCGCTCATCACGACATCTTCATTTGCTTCAAAGGGGTAACTGTTCGGAGTAAAAGCTTATTAAAAAGCTTAAAAGCTAAAAAGCTTATTAGTAAAAGCTATTTTATTGTGTTTCTGACGTTGAACAAATTCACTGCCTTTTAGTACAATAGAAATTCGACCTGCTACGATTATATTCCGGTATAGTGTAAACGGGCCTAAGAGTGTTATTTGAAATTTGGGATTTTGTGTTGTACTCGAGACTAAAAAAACCTGTAGCTTCGCTTAATAGATACTAAACTGCTTGGTAAATGCTATGGAAAAAGGGCATAGGAGAAAAAACGGTCATTCTATACTTCCCTTTTTCCAACTCCCAACCCGCGTAACACCGGAGTTACGCAACTGATACATGGTTTGAAATTCCCCCTGTAGACCTCAATCCTGAAACACTTACAAATATACAGAAGAATAATGCAGTGACTCTTACTATAAACAATTACAAAAGAAATAAGGTCAAAATTCAAAAAGCAGTAACTGCGTCAAACGGGTGACGATTATTAAAAAACTCTCATGTTGGGGATTTCAAATACTAAGTTTTAATCTATATATTTTGATTATGATTGAAACACGAGCACCATTTTTTAGTAATTATACATTGCTTCTTGTAAAAAAGTGTTTTCTTAATTCGATTAACATGTTCGCATTTAAATGGAATTATACATAACATCTTGACTCAAAAAGAATTTTTACGTCATGTATTCCATTTTTTTCAAATTTCTTGTTTTATTATTCCAAGAAATTGTTTTCTTGTGTCAAGTGAAATTTTTAAGTTTCTTTTTGACAGAAAAACTAAGACATTTTTTCTTAATTTAGACCATTCTTAAATTCGATCTCCTAAATCACAGGAAAATACCAATAACTTTTCAAATTGTAACAGGATTTCATTTGCATCCCAAACTGATAGTTCATGAATGCTCAGTATTGTTTGTAATGTGCAAACAAATTTAGTCTATGTTGTAAAATCATCCACACACATGTAAAATTTTTGGCAAAAAAGTCGATAATCACTAAAATGTCATATTAAACTGCCATGAAAATCAGGTTGAATCTGACAACACTATGACATATATGAAAGAAACACAGAGGTTGAAAAAGTGTTTAGACATGCAACACGAGAGTACAAGTAGGATGAGAGCATAGGTACATGGCTGCATAAAAAGAAGCATAAAAAAAGCAAATACTCTGGCATTCATTTCTTTTGAAACATTTTTGCTTTCATGTCTTACATGTATTGTAGATAAAAACAGCTTGATAAGTCATTAACGCGAATCAAATTTCTCGTAAAAACAGGAAAAACAAGTGGCATATGTGCGTACCACTTTTTCAGTGCTTGTTATAAAAAGGAAGAAACAGTGGGGTATTCATCATTTGTGACATTAATCATTAATGTGAGGGTTAACCGTGAACGTTACTGCAAAGGACGAGGACGAGCAATGGTAAACTTATCAGAAAGCTTCGTTTATGCAAATGTTTTCAGTATTCTTAAAATGTTGCCAATCTTTTGGAGATTTGATGCAACAATCTTCAGTGTGTGGAATAAAGATTACAAAGGGGCAGCAACACCATTAAGAATTGTAAACATTTTTAAGCCAGCTCGACTTTATATCTATTGAGATGTTTGCTTAATTTAGAAAGAAATGATGCTGACGAGCAAACGTCATGTATTCTCAATTTATATTTGGCATATTACTGATGGCTATAACACTCGATCTGCAATGGTTTGTATTAGATGGTATAATCTCTCATCTCAACTAATCGTATTTCGATTGTTCAGCACAAATACTTTCTTACCAAACCATCTACTGGGTAGACTTTTCCCGATACTTTCAACATTAATTTGTTGCATTCGAAAAAGATATTAAGGATGTTGTCTAGTTTGCTTGGTTTTGATAACATTTTATCTTTGTTCGTCTTCTATGATTCTTAAAGTTTTACGTTCATGCGTCTTTTATAAGCTGTTCAGACTATAAATAATGAATAAAGCAGCTTTCTATTTCATTTCGTTGAGTTTATGGCAACGTAAACCGGCTCGTCTCGAAATAATAAGTTAAGAGTCGTGTAACTGTTCATTTAATAAATTTAATTTCCACCCCTGCAGTGTAAATTTAGAGTGTCCCAAAAAACACCAGAACACCTCATTATTCCTTGTTAATTTAGCATTCTATTTTGTTGTATATTCATACACTCAATAGCTCTTTCAACTCGTTTTGTTTAAAATTTTATATTACTTTCCAAGCGTTGAACTACTCTTTACAGCTGTACCATAGAAATATAATATGTTAAAACCAAAACATGCAGTCAAGTGAAAAGTTCATGGTATCAGGAACTTTGATTTCTCGTCTTGTAGGAATTTATTAGCATATACCAGTACAGACTTGTGTAAAATCAACTTTAAAACTCTAAAGTGATTACGTTAGAAGCTTTTGATTTTCAAATTTTTATTAGTAAAATCATAATATTCTTTGCAGCAATTGTTGCAACAAAAAAATGTTTTGCCATGCACCAATCTAATTTAGCAGTTTTTTGGAAAATGTAGCATTTCTTCTTTACAATATTGTTTACTTTGTTTTCTTCCAGATTATTGAAAAATATTTTTCGGCATTTTTTTGTATACAATGCTTTATTATCATTAAACTACTTGCATATTTGAGGTGCTACCCAAGCACAGAAGTAGTTCTGTTTCTTTGTTTCATTAATAATTAAAAATATAAATCATAGTTACACCTGTAGCTATATTATTCCTCGACATGAATTTGTTTAACTGAAGTCATAACAATTATAGTTGTTGAATAATTAAGTAGCTGTTCTCGAGTGGTATCATGCAAGTAATTTATGATAAATCATGTGACACTTACATATTTAAACTTTTACGCTGGTCATGTCAGTTATCTTAAAATGTTAGATGAAATATAAAGATATTTATTCTATATAAAACGTATCAGTACAGTCAATACACAACTATGTTCTCCAAAGAAACAATTTCTTTAGAAAGTTGCAACTTCTTTGGACACTTCTGTTTATTACACTTACACACATTAGAATTTTTCAAGTGAGGTTATTGAAAGTGCTTATTTTGATGGCTATACTTGTGTCAGATATGCCAGGTGTAGTCGGATAAGACATCTATAACATTCGAATTGCAATAGCGAAAATCTATGGTAGGAGGATGTCGAAAATGTGAAAACAACTGAATGAACTGAAATTCAGAAAAATATTGCTGGAAACGTAATAAATTTTTTCTGGGTAATTTTCTTTATATGAGCTTTTTGTTCTTTTGTTTTCACACGTTTCGTTTCATGATTTTGGTGTTGCCGTTAATGGTGATTTCTTCCTGATTATGACTTTGGCTATGGATTAATGCTGGATTGAATGCACGCGCAGATCGTTTTGATTGTGTTATATATAAAAGTTGTTTCTGCTCAAAGTCTTAATACTGTGCTTTTTAGGCCTGGACCAAAGTCTATACTATTGCAAAACCAAAATTGGAAGTTACTCATGACGACGATCGACGATTGGTCTAGTAAATAAAATTGAAAAAGGCTGCCTTATAAAAACAGCTGTTCTTAGATTTCGTAATAATTGAAAGTGACTGTGCTCCAGAAGTTAACCATATTAAGATAAACTGTGTTAATATGTTTTTCAGAAAATGCAGGAACAAAAAATTTAGGAGGATCAGTCACACGATATATGGTTGTCGAGGATCCATGCTACCATAAATAAATGATCTTTGATGCTAAAGAAATTTGGTTTTAAAACTTAAGATATGATCTCTACCCATTCTGTAGTATTTAGTCCTTATATGTAAATTTCAGAAAATTCACATTGTTCATTTCTTTAGACTTCCGTTGTTTTTACAAGTAACTAAACACATCAAAATTTGTATTACGATCAGCTCGGAATAAATGAGCAGACTGGGTACATCACTGCTAAGAAGCCGGTTCCTGTTTATTTTGAAGAATAAAACTTTCTGCTGTTTGAACTTTTTAAATGCTTATAAATTCGATTTTCTGAATTATTTTGGGGAGACGTAATACCTGAGAGAGTAAGTGCGTATTCCACGAATAGTGTTTATTGACCATATTCTGCTGTAAATTTAAACCAAGTAAGAGTAACATACTTAGCTACTACATCAAACGAATGTTGAAGTAACACTAAGTATGAACAAACTACACCTCAAAAGGCAGCATAACACTTAATTTTGAAGGAGTAATTTGTCTGTATTGGATAAAAATCGTGTAATTTTACACTTATGTTGAATGTAAACTTTGAAATTTACAGTGCAGATAACATTTGAATGCTAATTTGAGTGCTTTCAAACGCCAATATTTCAAATATTTTAATTGTTATATTTATGTCATTGTCAGGCTACAGAAGAAACCTATATGCAAGCATTTTGAATGATCCTTCAGAATTTTTACCAACTGAATACTTTCTCCGTATTCAAAAACAAAAATCACAAAAATGCCAATTTAAAAACATAAAAATGGTATTTAAATTCATTTTTGTGCGATCGAAAAACAATATGATTTATCTTAGCCCCCAGCTATAGCAATTAGTTTTTGAAATGCTTTGTGTGGTCATTTGAATGAGAATATGCGTTCATTTTATATTTGTGCCAACTGCCTACGTGTTTACATTTTCTCACACGGAGTGGACAAGCGAAGTTTCAAATCAAGCGAACGCTTCCTTGAGAAGTAAGAAGATGGCTACGGCAAATCGGTCTCTACAACTACATTTGACTGTTTTATGCCTTCTACTGAAGCACTCTGTGAATGGTTAGTTGGAATTTTTCCATTTAACGACTTCCGCTTGCTAGTTGATGAAATTATTTATGGGAAATTTCCTTTAATATGCTTGCTTTGAAAGTGGTATGTTCATTTTTTGCACAATTAAAGCTTCACTGCAAATAAAACGATACAGTTCTGTGACTTATTTTGGCAGGGATTGACTTCAAAATAATGGCTTAGATGAAAGGTATAATGCGTACGATTTTTTCTATCAATTTTAAGAATCGACAGCAAATTATGAATGATCATCATGAAAAGAAAAAAGAACGAAGTTTTTTAAATTTTTCTTGCAATGCATTTTCAGTCTTCAATATAACTCTAAAGATTTGAGTGCATATACTGTTTCTCTGCAACTTTCTGGTGCCCTTTAATCTTTGCCGTTGTCTAGTGGCAACATTCTTTGACAATCGTTCACTGGAACGTATAAAAACTGATCTTTCTCTTACAATATTTTTCTGATTAGTCATCACTCTCTTCATTCCCATCCTTTATAGAAATCAGTTGCTTACCCTTCCCAGATCTTTGTAAAACTGTGAACGGCTAAAGACGTAACATATATAAAGAAAGATTTTGAAGGTGAAGGTTGTAAACAAAATAAAACATATAGTAATATTCCTTCATTTTTCACTTTAATTTAACGAATAAACATTTTTCGCTAAGATTTAATGTTTTGAAAATATATGCCTTTCTCAAATAATCTGGGGTCCATCGACCCCTTTCGCCTCCTGGCTGAACTGCCTACAAGAGCTCTGACCTTTTCAGCTCACATATAACTTCATCAGTGCTTTGAAAAAATGTTTAAAATGTCGCCATGCAGCCACCACCTTTCAAGAAATACACTTCATTGCATTTTTACAGATAACAGCTTTGTTTTCATTGCTTTATCGATTGCCTCTTTAACTGATTTTAAATTGTCATTTTTTAATAACAGAGATATATTTTTTATTGCTTTATAAACTAAGAAATTATACATTTTTCTAAGTTGCTTTGCTTTTCTCGTTAAGAATTGTTAAGTCATATAATATTCACTGTTTAGAATGACATCTTTAATTTGCCTTCAACCCATTAAATTTAAATGTGTTGTAGTAAATGGAAAGGATACAAACCCTACATCATGGTGCAAATACGTTAATTAAATGTTGTGCACTTGTGAAACCTTTAACATTTTAAACCATGAAAGTCTTTAGCTCATAGTTAGTCAGATTTGTTCTGCCTAGATATTGCAAGATTACCATTTAAACTTTGCACTAACCATTTCCAACAAAAACTTCTCACTCAAGAGCGTTCAAAATGATGAATTTCCATTTAATTTGATTTGTGGTAAGTTCGCTTATCGTTCATCAATTTACATGTCTGAGGAATAATCTGACGAAGACTTTAACGGGCTGGCTTTCTAAAAAGTGCAAGTTCACATTCGCCATAAGGACATCATATGATCATAAGAGACTACTACCAGGGAGATTTGGAGAGTTAGCTAATAGTTCCAGGAGACGAATTAAAAGATTTTAAAGATTAATGCGGAAGTTTAATGCGATAAATTTTAAAAAGTCAAGTCTTAGCCCTCCTCCCCCTCTTACAAGGCTCAAATATGTTGCGCCTTACCTAATGACTGTTGATGATTCGTCGTGTTATAAGGCACATGTTTTAAGCCGAAATTTTTTGGCGTTAAAAACACATCAAAATTTTGAAACTTTTATCTGAACCCTAAACGTGTTTCACAAATTTTAAGTTATTTAAGTTTAGAGCTCGATCAAAAATCGCACATTAGTGGATTAAGTATCAGGCTTATGTTAACTTGATGTTCTCATAATTGTCATAGCTGAAGAAGGACAAAAAGCTGATGACCAGATTTTGCATTGATACTGGGAGTGTCTTTGGGCTGTGTAATGTTGTTGATCTTCTGCATTGTTGCTTGTTGTTAGTAAGTGAAAGAAAATATTTTTTTGCATAGTAACAGGCTAACAGCAATAGAATTTAAACGTTTGAGTTATCAAAAAGGTTCCTCAAAATCTTATTAAAATTCACATGATAAGCAAAAGTATGAAGTAGGGCAAAGCCTAGATAGAATTGCGTTTAAACTTGCAACAACAGAATTGCCACTATAGCAACTTTTACACAAATGTAAGTCTTCAAAATAAGCTGGAAAAAAGTCAAATAAACTTTGAAAACTAAGAAACGATGAAAAACATTGTCGCCTCGATGTCTTGCTTTCATTGTGTATACACTTATACAGATAAAATGAGCATTAGAAAGCTCATTGAAGGCAAATAAAATCATATGAATTCAATACAAAATAGAGGCATTATTTTACTATATGTGTATCCACTCTCCATAATAATTTTTCGTATTTACTTAGACAAACTCTAACTTGAATAAATTTTCTTAAACACGCAAATAGCATTTATGACTCATGTTATATTCAAAAATGATGACAACAAAGTTGTTTCATAAAAAACGCACGAAACGTACGTAAATTACAAGTTCTACTAGGTCAAAGAATTGTGAAGCCGAAATGTAGAACTTGAATTCAAAATGTGTCAAGTAGATCAAACTTCTAAAAAAACTTACCGGATGCAACGACTGTTAAGTACAGTCATTTGCCAGACTGTAAATTTTTTTTACCTTACAGTTGCAAGGCCAAGAAAGATTCAAGGTTCAAAGTCACTAGAGTGAGCCACGGAAGCTGGGAATTTGAAAAAGATGCCCCGTAGGAGGCAGAACATTCGATGATGATGGCTTACCTGTCGATACTAACAACCATGACAGAATGACTGTCTGAGGATGACTTTGAAATAAAGTCGAAAATTTACAGTTTACTTCTCGTCTTGTTTTGATTCATATTTTGCAATCTCAAGATGTCTTGTTTCTTCGGAATTTGTTTTATATTATACTGTCGATACTAGTTATTAATATATATTAATATATATATAAAAGCTCACCTGCACACATCAAACGTTCTTTTATAACTTTTATATGCACATACATGTAGATAAATACAAGTAGCCATTAAGCAATTATACGTTTCTGTAACCATTAATATATGTAACCATTACATTAAGTGTACTTCACAGCATTATTCATTTGATTGCTCTTCCAAGAGTCGCTGTAACGTTTTCTTGGATTTTGAGTGAAGAAATATTCGCACGTGTTCATGATCTTGCTGCCTTTGGAGATTGCCCTTTAGAAGCATGTGTAACAAGCGTCAGATATAGATGTTATTTATATTTAAAATAAACTTTTATAAACAGCCGGCTTTATATCGCTCGCTATTGCTGAAGAGAAAAATTTGTTGGCTCCTTCGTAACACTACGTCGAGACAATACAACAGCGTCCATAAGAAGCTCGATACTATTAAACTGGAATGATTGCATACCTTAGAGTCGCTTGATATTCTCAGTTTATTAAAATCAAGTGTCATTTCAGAGTGAACGAAAAAACACAGGAACTACTAAATATTCCCTTGCTTGCTAATTTAGCATACTATTTTCTTGAATATCATACACTAAACAGCTCTTTCAGCTCGTTTTGTTTGAATTTGTATTATTTTATAAGCTTTGGAACTACTTTGTTCAATTACACTATGACATTATTAATAAGTTAAACACAGAACACTTGGTTAGGTGTAAAGCCTGTGGTGTTAAATATATATGTCAACTTTTTGGTCAGTAACTTTGATTTCTTGTCATGTCAAAGTTTGTAGTCGTATTAACTCTGCACAGAATTGCTCACATGACGTGGTCTTCGTGTTGTTACTAAAGGAGGCCTAGAAAATAACTAATTCAAAGATTTTAGTGTGCCTTTTGAAGTGCCCCTCCAGAATTCAATTTTTAAATGAACATTTACAATTTAATTAAATTTTTTACAACAAACTTTCTTCTTACGTGGAAATTTTTATTCTCATTTTGAGAGCTTTTATTTATGGTGCTCGAGTACAACAACCTGAACAGACACACAATGGTAATGCTCAATTTAAAACCTTAGTTTATAGACTGACAGAATGCATCGGCATCTGCTTCAATAAAATTGCAGTATAGTTATATATCTTTTATGATTTTTGGCAAGAAAAACGTTTGTTACTTACACTCTCATCTTAAATGCACAATTTCTAATTTCGACCACATAAAGATTACAGGAAAATACAGCTATGAATGTTTCAATTTAAAAGTGAAACAGAATTTCCTTTGCATTCTAAACTTTACTGATAGTTCACACATGCATGCATCACCTTAATTACTCGTTGCATCATTCAATTCTCAGGTATGTTATAACAATCTATACATAGGATAAACGCTGCCTAAACGTCAAAAGTGTTGATAAAGAATTGTACAGTACAAATAATTATTGTTAACAAGTACTGTGTTCGGCAAGAAAACCTCAAAGAGTTCTTTTGCAACTATTGGTGATGTGCAAACAACACAATTTAGCATAGAAATCAATCGCATAAATTAGTCGCTCTCATAGCGTGACTAGATATTTGTGTAGAACAAAAAACACAATAGGCAGCAATTGCACAACGCATATATAGCATTCTTTGTATTGTTGTTGTAAAAGCTTTTACTAGACAAAAAGCTACAAAATATATTGGCCAATCCATGTCAAAGCTAGAACATTATATTTCAAAGATGATTCTAGTTCAAAGTTTCATTTTAAGTATTCATTTGACTGAGCTTTTTGCTACCGTCTCCAGTATTCTGGTGTTTTTACAAAATTAGTGCAATAAAAGTAATTGAAGCCATATTTGCTGAAAAAAGTCTATAATTTTGAACAATAGACAGGAAATGTCGTGTAGCTAATTAAACCAGCACAGTTTACAAAGATTCTTTGTAAATTTTAAATTTAATCCAGAGCAGTTTGTAATATGAAGTGGGCTGAATTTTTAGTCGAAATTTTAAGTTTGACGAGGGCACAACTGCTAGCAAAGCCACAGCAAAGTTTAGCATAATTTAAAATCGTTCGATAATTTTGCTTTCTTTCATGGTGCCTAGCTATTACGCTAGTTTATTTTGAACGTCTGACGGATGGTATTAACTAATAGTAAAATAGAGCACTGATAAACGAACTGGTAGATGTCAATCGATAATGAATGAAAACTTATTATTCACATACATGACTTAATTGTTAAAAGTAACAATTTTATTTGAAAGTACTCTATTTAATTATTTTATATTGTACAATGCCATTTTCATCTTTTCTCGCACAAACTCTGCTATTTAAGCAATACGTTGTACATGCACAGTACACAAGCTCTATCGCGAGGTATATGCAACAAAAATAGTCTAAATTTTACTCTATTTCTCCCACTTCATCGGTTTAGCGTAAAATATATGAGGTGTTTGTTTGTATTATAACCAAATCTAATCAATATTATAATGCGTTAAAATTAAAAACTTATTAGCTTAAATTTCAAAGCATAAGAAATGAAATAATTTTAATTTGTTGAAGTGAGGGTTGAAGATATCTGAATAAGGAATTTTAAGTAAAAATCTTGCAAAGAAAACCATTCAGCATTTACACTCATACATGAAAGTCGTTAATAAAGAAACGTTTTAAAAGTATAAAGTATCTTCCATAGACATGTATATTTGTTAACATTCTAAAGAGATTACACTAAAAGCTTTTGATTATAAAACTTTATTACTAAAATCATACAATATTGCTTTCTTTCAGAAATGATTAAAAACACTTTCGACAGTTTATTATTATGGTAAATTGTTTGCATATTTGAAGTGCTTCCTAAGCAAAGAAGTAAGTTTTGTTTTTCTGTTTCATTAATTGTATAGCAAAAGTTCACCTTTTTTTACCATCAGCTATGATGATAATCTTTAATGCCGATACACCTGTATACTACTTCCAGATACTAACTTATTTAACAGAAGTCATAACAACTATACTTGTTGAGTAATCAACTAGCTGCTCTCGAATGGTATCACGCAAGTAATCTATGATACACAAATGTGACATTTACACCCATTTGCACTTTTACTCTAATCATATCAGTCATCTCGAAATGTTTCATGAAGTATAAAGATACTTAGTGTATATAAAACATATCTAGTTTCCAAATTGACTGAGATCATTCAACTTGATAATTTATACCGTGCATACACAACTGTTCTCCAAACAACGATATACGTATATACCTTTTGTATAAGATTGACATTCAATTTTATACTAGCTACTTACTTATAATTTGAAAATTCAAATTGTATAACAGTGTGCATCTTGCAGCTCAAGCTCAAATCTTTTTAAAAAAATGAAAAAAATTCCTTTTGATGAAGTTTAATTTGTGATGTTAGTAGTTTGAGTATGATAAAATAAACATTATTGATAAATTTTTCCGAACGTTAATCATAAACGATTTTCTTTCTGGACATATACATTTTTCCTTGTTAAATTTTTGACAAGATAAAACTACGTGGGAATAATCTGTTCGTTGGACTTAGTAATCTGCATGCCTCCCACAAACGTTTTCAATAAATGGGCAAAGTTCATGAGTGATATGAATGACAATGAACATATAAAAAACATTTTCTACCAGTTTCAATTTTATCAATTGACTCGCTTGTAGTAATGTCATTTTTATTTTTTTACCTCGCGTTATCAAACTCTACTTCATGTAGCTATGACTCATAACTTCAAGTTATAAGTCCAAGATTTTGCACTTGACTTTCAAGCAGTACGCCACTTATCACCCATTCATTGTACATGCACAACACACGAGCTATACCGTGACTCAGGAATGCAAAATTTCAAAGCAATTAAAATTATGGTGAGTTTTAAATTCCTCCTATTTTTGACACCATGTGGCATTATTATACGATATAGAAGTATTTGTTTGTCAAATAAGTTTAAGCCATCATATTGGTTATCATCGTTACAATCTCCTGGGTCCGGTTGCACAAAGCCTTGATAGCGTTTTCCAGAGGATAGCAATTTTTTCATTCGTCTAAAACCTCTTTATAGGGAAAAATATATAATGAGCAATCACTGAAATGAAATATTGCTTCGAAGATTGAAATTTTCTTTGTCGTGAAAACGAAAATAAAAACACTTTTTTACAAGTTTAAAAATTTTACTATCCAATGGATGACGCCATCCAAGCTTTGTGCAACCGGCCCCTGAATTTTATCTCAACCTCAATATCAGGTTATTTAACAAGTCGTTATTGAATAGCTGGCTACACTCTAGCCAGACATGACGCGCAGACATTCGTTAATATGTATAATCAACATACTTGCACAGTTGCACTTTTACGAATTTTCCCTTTCATTTACACTCATCAAGAGCACGTAAACCTATTTACTCTTCGTAAACGTACTTAAGTGTCGCCAAAATAATTAAGATTGATCGAAATGGTATTTATACCTGTAAGCAACACTTGTGTATTTGAAATTGAGTATTAAGACCCAGGAAATCTCTCGTCGATATTTTAAATTGTATCAACTCCAACTTACAAGCAACCAACATCATTTGCAAAATGTTATTTATCGAGAGAGAGAGAACAATCTTCCTGAGAGAGACAACTTTCTCAGAAACGTTATTCGTTCAAAAGATAATAATAAGCTAGACTTCAACTCAGGGTGAGGCGTGGAATTTTAGAAAATTATGCTCACACAGAGTAAATGATGGAAATTTGCTTAAAAAATTTATCCGCCTACGAATATCAAAGCTGACGAAATAATCCTAAACTTAACTTGCCAATGGCATCAAAATGTAAAAATGCACATTTAATAAGTTTTCACATTTTTTGGTATATTATCGACAGCTTTATCAAAATTTTACTTGTATAGCTTAAGCGTACTTAGCCAAATCTCGACATGATCATTTAAGATAACAATCTATTAAATTACCTGTGCATCATAAACGAATATTTCAATGCAGTTAATGTTTATTAGGTAATTTTTTTTCTGTGTTTTCGTCATTGCCAGGTTACGCAAGACACCAACAGAGCTCAAAAGAATTTAAAAATCTTCTAGAAGATTTACCGGCAAACGTAAAAGTAACAGTTTACAAATTTACTAGAGTAATTATGATCGGAAACGAAAATTGAAACAAAAATTGGAAAATGTTTTCTTAAAATTTAGTCTTGATAGGGCTGACAAACAATCTCATATTGATTTTGATCTCCCACTGTAAAGAATTCTTTTTCAAATGCTTCATGGGGTCATTTAAATATAAAAACAACTGCATTTTTATTTGCTTCATTACATTTTCACCCTTTTTCACAAGCGAATACAAGTCATACACTGCACACGTTTGATCGGGCAGTAAGAAGATGACTTATTTAATCTGGTCGAAGCTATTACTTATAACTTATCTTTGTCTTTTATGGAACAACTTTGTCAATGGTTAGTTCACAATTACTTTTTTAATTGGTTTATTTCTATTTGATGATATGGATGGAATTGCGTTATTTGTTTGGATTTTTTCCTTAAAATGTCAATCTAGCAAATGAATGATTATAGTTTGCCAATCTTAGTCGATATAGTGCACAAACTAATCATAATATTGATTTATGGTTACATTTGATCTTAAATGAAATCAAAAAACTGTTTGTGAGTCACTTCAAATAAATTATCGACGATCACAACATAAAGCGTATATTGAATATGTAAGGTGCATGACTTCCCTGACAATTTAGTGATATTTCACTTTCCTATCAGATTTTTTTCTAAACTTATTAATCAAAATGAATTATATAGCCAGGTAATATAAGATCTATCACAGAATAATTTCATCGCCAAGAATGTTTAAAAATGTGGAAGAGTTGCTCAATGTTATTTACATAAATAAATTTAGCTAAAATAAAACAAAATATTATAAGAAATATAATGATGATAGTAATAGATACATAAGCACAATAAATCCTGAATCAAATGCCGGGCGATTTGAAAATCATGCTTAATCAGCAGTAGCATTTGAAAAACCATTTCAGGCTTTTTCAGGTCATAGCGACACATTTGCGAACTAATTATGTCGAAAGCAAAATAAGAAAATTTATATTTTCTGTATATTGCGACAGGGTTTATTTTAAAGAAAAATTGGATTATGCACTATATAGTGTGAAACTGACGGGTTTCGTTGACGAGAAAAACTGATTGCAAACTTTGCCCAACCCTATACTATTTTGAAAGACTTTTATTAATTTCAATTTGTAATTTTCAAGATAATGCTGTTTAGATTATGTTCTGTCTTCAAAACAAAATTTGTTAAGAGGAAATTTTTTGTTGGTATTGCAAACGCATCAAATTTTTTTCAAACTTTGTCCGCCAACATATTTGTGAGTGTGTTCAAAAATTGTTCGGGAAAAAATATAGGCAGCTAAGAATTATAGCAAGTGGCTTAAATATTGTTTAGCATATCAAAATTAAGAAAGTTCTGATAGAATCTAACTTAAATGTCTTCGACTATGGAATGATTCGAGGTTTGAAATGAAAATTTGTTTACTCATGCATATTAAGGATTATTTTATATCATTGACTCATGTACGTAGCAAATAAATTTCTACTTAGGAATGACTTTTGAAGTCTTCACATACGTAGCTAGGTAGCTGTTTTACGAGTCAGATGTTGTGTCAAATTGCAAATAATTCGCTCCAATCAGTCATGGACTGTCATCATCAATATGCACAATTATGAAGAGATTTCATTTTTGAGATATTTTATGGTGAAAATAGCGCTTTTGCCGGGACAATAACAAACATGATATTTTATACTGAATGCGTGGCGCAAAGTTACCAGCTAATACTTCGCACAAAGATGCCAGCTAAAATTTGCAGATCATTTTGGCTTATTTATAGTTAAGTCTTGTATCTATAAATATGCCTTTGAAAGACCAATTGCTCAACAAACCAAAAAAAGAAATCATCCGAACTTCGGCATTTACATGGATTTTCACGTAATGATGAAAATTGACAAGTACTATTTGAGTCAGTAAAAAGCAAAGTCAACGATAAATGACATCAAAAAATTTGTGAAATGCAAAAAGACATGTTTAAACTTTAAAATAACTACAAAGATAAATTTGAAGTTTTCCAAAATTTGAAGATTCAAACAACTCTTTCTTATCGATGTTTTTTTCTTTCGCACAGGTCAAGAGTTGGCAGAGGGTTCTCTTATGTTCAGTGAGTATAAATGAAAGCAATTGAACATTTTATACAATCCGTAGAGGCTAACTTAATGCCTTTACTTGGATCAGCAACAGCTTTTCAAAGAACATTTAGCTTGACTGGTCAATATTTTAATAATCCTCGACATAAAGATACCTTTGAATTTTTGTCTGAGTTATCACAAATAAAACAAGAAAAGTAGACACAGTTGCGCCAGAATATTTTTGTGGTGAAACATAGGCAAAAAACCTTCTTTATGACAACAGTGTAAAGGAGCAAACTTTCCCACCTCTTAAAGTTTTCTTGTTACAGTGTCAGAACAACAGCGACCAATATTTTTTCTTCCAGATCGATTAATCCCTCATACAGGACACACCCAGATAATCTATGATAATGAAGAATTAGATACTGGTTTTCCTAATTGCAGACGTCAGCCCTTGCCACGACTTGGTACCGAAATTAAAAGGGTGCAGATTACAAAAGCATATGTAAGAACTTATGAGTAAACTGGAAATCTACGATGAGTAAATAAAAACCATATCTAGTAGTGTTTTTCTTTATTATTTTTTTATTGTGCCCGATTTTAGATCTGTGCAAACGGACTGATGAAATTTGACAATCGGTTTTATGAACCAACACCACGGAATTTCGGCACGTACAGTGATGGCAGGGAACAAACTAGTGGCGGGCAATGCCTTGCCCCTTATTGGTCGGCGGTTGATTTGGAATATTTCAAAAATGGTTTTTCAAAAGTGTTCTACAAGAACTACTTTACTCGCGCAGACGATCCCAGTGTTTTTGAAAGGATTGATGAGGCTGCAAACTTAATTAAAAAGATTACTAACTATCGTTCAAGTTGGTTGTCGGTTGCCACGTGGATTAATCTCAGACCAAAACAACCTCTAAACAATAATTTTCATGCGGTAGGTGGAATTACTCTTCTGTGAACAGTAAAAAAATGACGTTTTCACGTTTTGTAACAATCGAGAGTATTGATTTTGCTGGATGAATAGTTGATGAAATCTTCTTAAAACGGTTGTTTTTGTAAAAAATGTATTTGAAACTCCCTTTTACAAAAATGTCTATGTACAAAATCAGGATAATAAAAACAGACAATGCGTGCCCATAATACGTGCTGTTGTGAAAACATACGCTAAAGGTAAATTTATGAATACTTTTGAATACTATTACATTTATCAATTTTTTCAGTTAAATACATTCCAACTTGTGCTAGCCAGCAACTCTAAACTGGAGGCTGTTGGAGTGTTTTTATATGAAAACATCGATTGGGCGTATGGGGTTGACAGGTACATAATGTTGTAGTGAGATCATTTGTGCTCTTCGTTAGCGCCACTTTCCATTAACCGCACTTACAATTTTTATACCATGTTTTAATGTTAAATATTATACAATTTTCTTTGATCATTTATATGTAAATATACATATAATTTGTTTTATAATTAATTTTGCACGAGCTCATTATGTTAATTATTTTTCTATAATTTATTGTTCTAACCTTTTTAGAGCCCGCTATCAATTTTTTACTCAAACAAGCGACTTGCCAGTCATCGGTTTCAACTCCGGAAGTCGACATCCCGCTGAAATAAACCGATTGTATAATTTTCCAACGTAAGATAACTAATGTTCAGTCAACCATATACACCTGCAAAGGATTCTTGAAGTTGGCAATCACTTGCAAATTTAGTTCAAAATAGACTTCTTGTTCACTCCAAAAAGCGTTACTTGATTTTATGAAATAGTTTTATTTTGGGCACAAATTTGGTTTGTTAATATCGGTGCAATAAAAATTGTTAGAACATAAAGATCAATGTGTGTAAATTTCGTGAAATTTGTTACCATTGTTGATCCAAGGTGGCAAATAAAACAAAAATGTTTCGACAAAATAGGCGTTTCTTATAATTTTCGTTTTTATCGATAGGTCTGGAACAGTAAACGCAGAGGAGGTTGATGATGAAAGAGAACCTAACACGGGAAAAGAAGGAGAAATTGTACTTAATTTAAAAACGGCAGTTCCACCTACAAGTGCAGAGAAATGTCGAGAATGGGTCAATGGGCAAATTGACCTTGGTGTCAGAAGATCCTTTTGTTCGTCATCTTGTGCACCCACTTTGCAACTTGAACTGTTTAGTTTAGGAAGCAATTTTTTTACTTCGATAAGGACTTTTAAATCAGGTCTTTCAAATAATCCCAACTATTGCATACTTAAACGACAATGGTTTAGAACTAGTGCAGATGAGTGCTGCTACACATATTTTGGGGATCGCTTTTCATTTTGGTTGAGCATTTGGTTCAGATCTTTCAATAGCTTTTGGATCGATGAAATTCCTTTGCAAAGATCTGGTCCAGGACACTGGCATCCATATCATCCTTGGTTTAATCCTGTCGAATACCAAGAAGAAGAGAGCCGCTATCAAGAATGCTGTAGAAATTTTGATAGCACTCAGGAATCGTGTTCCCTATTTTACAGTATCCGCCCGATTTGTAACAGTAACTTCTGGTTTTTCCCATCAATTTGGGGTATTCAGCCTCTTGAAATTTATTTGCATGAAACATGTCATACTAAAATAGAGAATTTAAAATCCCCGACCATGAACTGTTGTGATTGAATTATGGTAATATTTTTTAGCTATAAGCATGAAAACCACGTTCTAAATAACAAAACCCATCTGGTTCATTTTAAAAAGCTGCATCAAATCAAAAAGCTTATTGAGTGACACTTTAGTTATCATGGTTTCATATCAAAATTTAAAAACAGACGACAATCTAAATTTCGTTTTAGGCACTCTTTTTGGAGATCCTCATTTTGTGACTTTGGATCGTAAAAACTACACTTTCAATGGCTGTGGTTGGTACACATATTTTACAGGAAACATCTCAGGTAAGAAAATAAATTTTTGTTATATATCTTAATACGCGCATTTAGTAACTTAAGCTTGAATATTACAAGAACAAATGTATAATACTTATATTAGGCAACAACCAAAGCTCGCTTGTGGTTCAAGTTCGAACAACAAGGGTTGGTGACGTCAATGCTACAGGTTTTACAGCTATTGCAATAAAAGAAGGTTACTCAGAGACCATCCAAGTCAATTTGAATGCTTCAGGTAGGCTAAAAGACATAACTGCAATCAACATTAGAAGCAAAAATTCACTCACGTTTTTCATCAATGAAAGCAATAAATTAAAAATGAAACTACAGAAACGTACACTTCGTTGACACAGTAATGAGAACTGAAAAAAACGGTTTTAGTAGGTTCTGGGGATGCTGAAATTTTAAATGTTTCCATGGTATCTCAGTTGCACCTACATTTAAATGGAAAGTATTAAAGCAACTGTCCTTATTTGCAATAAGAACGTCGTATATATAACATCGTATATATTACCTGTATAAGGCTTACCTGCCATATTCACAAAAGAAATTTTAAAAAAACTGAAAAACTAGATGAAATAAGCATACCTCTATACAATAGTAGAAAAAAGTTCTCTGCTTTTATCGATGTTTTACAAGCTTTCGGCTAGCAAACAGTAGGCATCTTCCAACGGTTGCGTGGCTATAATGATTGACGAATCATGAAAAGACATGCATGATGCAGGGAAGCCGGAACGTTGATAGCTTTGAGGGTAAAAATTCATATATCCTTACTCCTGCCTGATTACTTTCTTTCAAAATCAAGTCTCAATTTTACGATTTTGTGACCTTGAAATAGAGAGTGTGCCAAGATTCCAAATTAAACAAGCGCCAGTTGCTATCTGTATGTGTTTTGAATATTGATAAATTACAAAAACCGGATATTTTTTTCTATTAATTATTTCTATACAGCTGGTTGTACTATATCTATTTGAAAATTAAATTACAAGCTCGAAATTTCTATAAGGGGCTTTGCCCTCATCAACTATCGCATCATGGAAATCGAGAGCAAGTAATCTAATTGTTTTAGTAGTTGTTATAGTACTCCTTAATTTTTTGTTTTATGTATTTGTTGTTGTTGATTCGAAAAAGCAAATTACTCTTGCCCAATGCATGTTTAGTTATTTCGATTGAATTTTTGTTTATTTTAGCTTTAAATATTTTAAAATTGTATTTAGTGGCAACTTTAGTCTTTTCTAAAATTGCACTGTAATGTAAATAATCAAGTTTATCGTCAGAAACTTAAGTAAAACGCAATACGGAAGGGTCGACAACCATGCTACTTCTACTCGCTGTTTATTGAAAAATAGATAACAAGTCAAGTATCTAGGCAAATCAAAGCATTGACAATAGAATATTTGTGTGATTCTACTAAATTTCAATAAATGCACTTCTGAATCATTTATATAGCCCAATATGTTGCGTAATAAGCAGGAGCTTTTCTGTGGAAATGGCAAACATTGAGATTGCATAATTCAACAATAAAAATTTATGAAACATGTTTTTTTTGTTATTGAACGTTTATAGCTTTACTTGTAATTGCTACAAGCTGTGTGAGCTATAGAAACTTTTTCTTTCGTACATTAGCCCAAATGCATGCTCATTGTTTGTAGAATTTTCAGTGCTTTTATGTCATTTGCCAAAGTTTTTAAAGATTTCTTTTTCATATATTACTTACCCTAATGGTAGTGATACAGTTGTCTCGATTAAACAAATGATAAAGCTATTTTTACTTCATTACTGTGACTTCTCACTCGCACGTGTAAATTTATGAAACGTCATATAATTTTTCCATCCCCTCAGCCTATCTTTAACCTATGCCAATTACTTAGTTAAATAACAGAAATGAGACGTTAAAGAACAGCAATTTAAATTAACATTTGAAAAACTCCTTTAGCTCTGAGTATAAGATAAAGAAACAATTTTATTCTTTTCTATTGTTTGTCCTTAAAACGTAATAAAGGTTTAATGGCAAATAAGGCATACTTGAAATTCCTCGTGCACAATTTTTCTATTATGTTTAAGGTGCTCTAAGTCTTCGAGTTAACAAGTCTGAAGCCAATCTTCCTTCACAAAATGGAACTTTACTTGATAGTGGCATTTCTTTATCTTTTGAAAACAACACGTTGGAAATTTCAACACCTCTTGGAAGTGGAGTACGAATAAAGGCAGCAGCAAATGGAACATTTTTCACTTTTGTCGTTGCTTTGCTGCAAGAATATAAAAACTCATCACTTGGACTTGCTGGAAAATGGAATGATATTATCGACGACGACTTTACTCTCCCTAATGGGACCGTCTTACCAATAGACTCCAGTGAATCAGAAATTTTCTACAATTTTGGAGAAATGTGTACGTAGATTTTTATAAAATTACTCTGTCTCTGAGATCTTGTATACGACAGTGGAATTATGCTAACTTTCAGATTTTTTCACAGGGAGGGTTCCGCAGAACGAAATAATTTATGAACCTGTTGATGACGACAGTGATGCTTTTAAATGTCCTACAAACTTTGCTCCAATCTTTTTGAATGAGGCATTGGATAATCTTAATGAGTCATTCAGAGCCGAAGCTGATAAAGTCTGTGGTAGTGATGTGAATTGCTTGTTTGATATAGCTGCGACAGGTGACTTGTTAATTGGTCAGTCAACACTTGATGAAAGTACAACTATAAACAACGAACTCGGCCAAATTGGTATGTTCTCAGTGGACAGGAATTTTCTTTCGTCGTTCAACTTGCCTGCAATTCAAACAATTTAGCAAACATAAAGCACGTTCAAATGGATGGGAGGATAAGGCACTAACAAAAATTCAGTTTGTTTTGTACTTACATTAGCGTCAGATCTTTTTAGTCATCAGACACACGCACACACAGTATAATAGGTAGAAAGGTCACCCAAGAGCAAAACAGGTTGTCACTTGCTTCTAAGAGACGTGTAAATTGTGGAATACTTAGACTCAAGATATAACATCATGTAATTTTAGTTTTTGGAAACAAGTGACGACTATTAATCAACATGCTGTAATAATAATGGCCGAAGTCGGCTTGCAATATGCGCAAAGACAAAAGTGACTCTTCAATACAATCTTTATCGTGTGCTCTTGAACAATAACAATTATATTGTAGCGAATGCGGTATTTAAGACACTTTTGTTGTATTAAAAGATCATTTTTTAATATTTTCCAGAAAACGGACTTCCTAGATTCATAAGAAATATATCAACTATCAATGTCACTCTGGGAATGAATTTTACCCTCGTCTTACAAGCTGTAGATCCTGATGATGATGCAATTGACTTTGACGTACCATCACGTCCCAACGGATCTGATTTTTCTAAGAATGCCACACATTTAATATTTACATGGTCTGTTCTGTCTGATGAAGTGGTACGAGCTATCAAAATATAAAGAATTTTATTTGATAGATGAGTCTGTTAATGTATTATTTTATTGCGTTTCGTCTTCTTCAGGTTGATATAACGTTCGTAGTTACTGACACAAAAAATGGAACAGCAACATTGAGTCCATCTATCCAACTTTGCAAATGCGAAAATAACGGCACTTGTTTTGTTCCTGAAGCAACATCGAATGAACTAGCTTCGTCTAGGCCAAAATTTCTTATTATGTCGTGCACATGCCAAGTTGGCTTTATCGGTCAATTTTGTGGAGAGGTTCGAGATTTCTGTATAGGTGAATTTGGACCGACTTGCAATCCTTTGGTCAGGTGTTTTAACTCACCAACTAATTTTACGTGTGGACCTTGCCCAAACGGATACAGTGGAAATGGGCAAAGCTGCTCAGGTAAACAGCAGAAGTAATAAAATTTGTATATTCATTTCTAGTTAACATCGTCAACGCAAACTTACATGGTTGGTTGCATTTTTTTTAATAACGCAAATTTTAGAACATTTTTTCATATTTTTCTTTCCAAAGATGTCGATGAGTGCCAACAAGGTCAATCAGGCTGTAGTCAAACTTGCCGTAACAATGCAGGCTCTTTTGAGTGCAGATGTAGAACTGGCTATGTCTTGAATTCCGATGGAAAAACCTGCGATGGTACAAAAAAATTTAAAATTTTCTATTATTTGAAGTAAAATTTAGTCGATTCTCTTGAATAAATTTGTCAAACAATATCAATTAGCTTTGTTCAGTAAAAAAATTTCATGAATTACAAACAACTTAAAATAATATTCTTAGATAACTTTATAACTATTAGAACCATGTTGAGATGTAATAGAGAGATTTTTTTATCCCACTCCAATAAATAGATATTGACGAATGCTCAAGACCAAATGATTGCAGTCAGCTGTGCAACAACACCATTGGCTCATTTAAATGTGGCTGCAGGGTTGCGTTCGTGGTCGATCCACAAAATGATCAAAACTGTATAGGTAATTTTATCAAATACAATAGTTATTAAATAGTTAAAAACGTACATATGAAAGTATATTTGTCAAATGGGTAAATTTGCATATCATTTTGTAGCTCAAACAGAATGTGGTTCAAACAACTGCAATCAGACATGTTATGTCGATCCAACAGAAGGTGAAAAATGCCAATGTCGAAATGGATATACCCTAGGAATGGATGGAGAATCGTGCAATGGTTTGTTAATTATGTGAATTTATCGTATACGATGTATTTATTGCGAAGCGCACTCAGTTTTTATATAAATATAAACAGCAGAGACAACACAGTTAGTGTGATCTTATTCATTGAACGCAAAACGCTGATTATATCAAAACTGATAAATTTTACAGAAAGCAAACTCTTGAAGTATTCACATAGAAAGAATTCTTTGTGTATATTCAGAACTTGTACCATAATTTAGTTGTTAACATGCTGAATTTAGAAGGCATCTCCTAACATTAAAAATTAACTTTTGTTTTAAATGCATTTGGTCCTTGTAAATGCAACGTATGAAACATGCCTTGGGCAAAAATTCATGGAAAGGCCACAAAGAAATAATTGACCTTTACAACTAAACTATCGAGTTAACAAGAAAATTCTGCTTTCCTGTTTATGCTAACTTTTTTCGATAATAGCACTAAATAACGTTATAAAGCTTTGTGAAAAGAATTGATTTTAAACTTTTGAAATAGATAAATGAACATCATGTGTCATGTATTTTTTTACACCCATTGTGGTGATTTTGTTCTTGTTCTTGTAATTTATTCTTGTGAGTTGTAATTATAGCTTGTTGATAATAAATACAATTAATTAAATTAAATGACATATTGACATCTTTAAAGTTACTTTTGAAAGTATGTTTTTTGCTCTTTTCCAGACATTGATGAATGCGCAAATCCTCAAAGTAACTTGTGCTCGCAAAGGTGCCAAAATACAGCAGGGAGTTACAATTGTACATGTTTACCTGGATATACTTTGACTGACTTAACGAATTGCGAAGGTTTTTATATTAAACTTCAATTATATAAGTGTATACTAATTATATATACAGTGTATTAAAAAACTGAACAGTTGGAAAATAGTTCTAAAGTGATGAACGCACAAGGTCAACAAAATCCTTTGGTGGAATAGGTAGTTGGACTTCCAATGGCTCATCTGACAGTAAAATGTTGGCAGATATCATCTATTTTCATAGTGAGAATAGTACTACCGAAAAGTACTTTTGAAACAGCTTGCGCACGAAAATGACGCAGATAAAAAGCAATTGGAACACGTACGGTTAAATTATGACACATGTTGCTAAAGTTTAAAACGTTTTTTGGAAATTTGGCTTATGTTTACGCATACGCTTACATTTTAACTGTGAATAATTTTGGATTTTTCGTTTTCAATTGCCATTTTGTTGTAATACTCATCAATTATGCTTCAATGTACGCCTAAAATACTGCAAATATGAATGATTGAAAAAAACCCAGCAACTAAAAAAAGAAAATCGCAAAATAATCCGTGACATAGAAGCTAAACGTTCTGGTAGGGTTATGCAAAATTTCCTGAAACTTTGTCAGCTTGAAAAAAATCTGCAATTTTTTAAACTTCTGCGTTCTAAATCCCCTTTTCCTTTGTCATTTTTTGGCGCAAGCTATTTCAAAAGTGCTTCTCGGTAACACTGTTCACTCAGAAAATGGTTAGTATTTGGAAAAATTTTGCAGTCACATTAGAGCTAGTGGATTTTCATGTACATACTCCACCAAAGGTTTTTTGCAGGAAGTTGCGCACTGATATCTTTGGGACTTATCTGTTCACTTCTTTTTGATACACCCTGTTTACATATTCAAAAAACATTAGCTTGAGTAAAAGGTTTGCCGTTTAATTGAAATATCTTTCATCTTATCATTAATATTTCAAAGGTCACTAATATCAATTTCTATCTGATGAAAATCATTCGTCGTCAAAACTGCTTAGTATTACAAGTTGTGACAATACTAGGCTTTAAAATATGTCGTAAATATTGAACAGAATGAATCACCAAAACGAATAATTAATACGTGATTTTCTTTTCTTTTGTAGATATTAATGAATGCCTAACTACCCAGAATCTATGCCCTAACATGGGACAAGAATGCGAAAATCTCCCTGGTGGCTTTAGATGTAGGTGCTCAAGAAGATTAAATTTGGTTCTTGTGAAAGGCATATGCGTATGTAAGTATTTCTAACATGACAAACATAGCGTCAAAAGGCATTTTTGTGCATGTTGGCTGAGCTACCATCCACCATATTATTCCTTTGGAATGATTTGGTATACTAATGGTAGAAACATTTTCCACAATCTTCAACGTTAAAAACAACCTTAGCCTTAAAAAATCGCTGCGTAAATTAGCTTCTATACCAAAAATATGTTCTTAAGAATTGGTATTGCCATTGTTTTACAGTTCAAAACGGACGTGTTGTAGTTGATGGTGCTCCAGCACCACCAAACGCAACTAATGAACAAATAAACAATGCTGTGGAAATAATAATCATCAACTTCCAGACTTCAAATGTAAGAATTTCTTAAAATTCCAAAATCAACTAATAATTGTTAAATCTCCTTGCTTCATCATCTAAAAATATTACATCAATTTTCTTTCTTCAGTACACAGAAGAGATAAATGACAAATTTAAAGAAGAGGTGGCCAAATTACTTAATGCCTTTTGCAATGAGAATGAACTACGTCCTCAAGATTGTGGTGTACAACAGTAAGTTTTTCAGTTTCATGGTGTATAGGCATCAGTGGAAAATGATCATTATAATAGGAATGAAAAATGACCAACTTATGATGATATTGCAGAGAATATTGGTTTACAAATTAATGCAACCTTTGAAAGATTCTGAGTTGTTGCAGTCTTTGTATGCAACTTTACCTTCTTTGACACTTTAAACCATGAGAATTTGACTGAAGGAAAAAAAAAGATAGTTATTATAAATATTCATAAAAGTAGTTATTATAAATATTCATATATAAATTATAGTAGTTATTATAAATATTATAAATATTCATAAAAATAGTTATTATAAATATTCATAAGAGAATAATTATATTCAAAAAGGAACAATACATAAACAAAGCTGTCTGTACATTTGTGAAACAATCTGTAATAATTTATCATCTTTTCATACTTCTAGAAACTCTTTGATGTTCAATTTACTTAACGTGGAAAGACTTCCTGGTTATCCAAATAACACTGGAAACAACGTCACTTTAAGATTTTATGTTGATTACCCAGCAAGTATTCGAAATGGTACAATGGAGCGGTCAACGTTAGGTTCAATTCTGTTCACCGAATTGCAAAAACTGGAAACCGCTCTTAGCCTGTCATTGGTTGTCAATACTCCGCTTCTCGATGATGTGAGACCTCCACCGGCAGCACAACTCAGTAATACCGTTTTGCTTACCATTTCAAATTTCACAACAACTCTGGTAAACACGGCATTTTTTTTGACAATCGTAAGACATGCATTCATGTGTTTAATCTTACTTGTATATTTAGTGGACAACCTTATACGACAGAATTTTCAGGAGAGCAGTGGCAGTCAGTATCAATAGGCACTGTCAGACAGACAACTATACTCGCTCTCGAGTTTGTCTTCTACCAGTGTAAGTTAAATCATTTAGTTATAAAAATATTTATCTACGTTATCATTGCTGCACACGTCGATGAGAAACGTTATGTAAGGCTACTCAACAACTGTAAATTGTATTCAAGTAACTCTTATAAGTAATGTTCACTTTTCATGAACTGAAATTTGTCTTTCTTTTATTTCTTAAGTTTCTCACCATTTTTTTCAGCTCCGGAAGTTTTCAGGAAGGACAAATTAGCCGTATACCAGGTTTTCCACGTCCAAATGGACAAGGTGTTGACATCGAATTTTATGTCAATAGAACAAACTCTCTGCAGCCTCTTCCTCGTCTTACACTTGCTTCAATACTAGCAATAGTTGAAGCACCTCTAGAGAGAGTCTTATCACGAAACGTTGAAGTCCGAACTTCGTTTACACCTCTTGATCCACCACTTGCTAGTTCCGAACAAACAGCGAACAGTATAGTCATAAGAATTATGTATAATACCAAGGTGATTAGTCATAGTGCAATCAAGTTGCTGATGACAAATATATTTGAGATGTACTCACTGGCGTTATTACAAAAATTTTTTCTTTCCTTTTTAGTGGAACGATCCAATCGATCGCCGCCTGAGAGCAGATTCACTTGCTCCACGGATATCAGTATATTGTGCTTTAAATAGAGAGCAATGTAATATACCAACAGGGTAAATAGATATAATTTAAAATCAATATGATCATAAATTTGATACATAATATTGTATGCAATAATTTATTTATTCTTGTAGCACATCAACATCATTTACCGTCAATGATGTCCAGCGTACTTTGAACACAACACCTACCATAGTCAATGACAATCAGATTGATTATAGTTTCTATGTAAACTATCCTGGACAAAACATTTCTATTGCGCAGCAAATCCTTGCGTCCGTTGTAAAGATTGAGTTGGATGCAATACAATCGTTATCAGATCTCTTTTTTTCCATTCAAACACCGTTTGTTCTACCCACATCAAGTAATATCACTATGCTTCAGTCTAATAACACTGTTCAAATAAGGATTCTCAATCAACAGGCAGATCAGGTAAAAAATTTGAATAGTATATGTTTTATCTATTTAATATCAATTAAAAGATATATTGATTTTTGAGATCTATTTACGTGAATAAAGTTCTAATTTTTAATATAAGCCGCACACACAAAACCAGCGTCGGCATAAATTACGTGGAAACAAATGATGTGCAATATACTTTTAGTAACATTTGTTTTGTCTCCTAGCTTTTGAAGCGTTTCTATTATTATTATTTCGAGGAAGCATGAATTTAGAAAAGCCTTTACTTTTATATCGGATCAACCCTGAAGAGGCTATTCTTGTTTTAGTGGCACGTTATCCAAGATAACCAGTTTAGAGCTGCAATTGCTTCTCAGATCACAAGCTATTGCTTAAATAATCTTATTATTTGTGGACTTAAAAGGTACGTGCACTTTACACGTCTTTATAATATTCATTGAAAATACAGGATAAGCCTTTTATGATCATTTTGAAAAAGGCAATTTAGCAATTTAGGCCTATTTCAAACGCCGAATTTTGCATGTGTGAAATACTATTAGCAATTATATTCGACCGAAATGCAAAATTTGACTGTGCATTTCAAACGTCGAATTTCGCATGCGTCGAATGAAATTATTACACGACGTCCTCGTTCCAGACTTTGTTGTGAGTAAAACGCAAGAGCCAAATTGTATTCGACACATGCGAAATTCAGCATTTGAAGCGACGTTGCACTTTCGTCGCATAATGCGACCAAACCGGTCGAATTTAAAGTTAAGGTCGACCTCAATTGACGCAGTCGTATTTAATTGTTTCATACGTCGAATTTCGCATGCACTTAATTCATACTATTTTCAAACATGCAATACGACGTTTCAAACATGCAAAATTTACTTCTTGTTTTTGCCCATCCAAACTATTCATTGACATTAAAAATCAATGCCGCACATAAATTTTTATAAATGACATCAATTGCATTTGTTATGGAATTGTTCAATGAATCAGCTTTTATACTTGTAGGAAAAAGTTTTTCATTTCTATAGCTACTTCTTTATCCACATGCATACTTAATCTATAACTACGTGCCTAATCTCCATCTCCATCTCCATATACCTGTCTACACTATCATTAATAATATATTTCAAAAGATAATACATGATTAAATTTGACCAGCTTATTCTATTAATCAAACCAGTGAGTCAGACAAGTGTTTCATCTGTCTCTCAAAAACTCCTAAATAAGCTGCGAACATAGATTACGCATAGAATTAGAACTATAGTGTAAAATCATATTGACTAGGTTTAAGGTTGAACCAAGAGTAGTATTGACTAGGTTCAAGTACAAGAAAAATTGTACTTAATTTCATCATTTCACTTCTGATTATCTTCAGCAATCAGTCATTCCAGTCTTCACAAGTTATTCGAACTCATGCTTCTCCTACACAAAATGGCGTGAATTCCACGTATACGTTCTTTGTCATCTATCGTGATAATAGTCCAGTACAACGTAATCTACTTGCTGGAATCTTGAATATCCAACTTAATCGCACAGAACGAACCACAAAACTGGATCTAATGGTGATCACATCGACATTAGCTGCACCAGCCACTGCTGCTACAAATAACAACACAGTTATTGTTTCTGTCATTGGACAAAACGCCGATCAGGTATTCTCATCAAAATGATAGAAAGGGGGAAGCCTTGCTAACATTGCAGCACTCGATTAATCCTTTCTAAAGATATTGCAATCCTTTTAAAACTGCATAGAGTAAACGGGGACAAAAACTATGATACATGAATGATTAACAGTCTATTTTAGCTAAATAATAATAAAAAGTGATGAAAACTTATTTTTATGGTTGAAAATTACAATGCATAGTCATTTAGTACATATTACAGTATTGCATGAGATCTTGCACTTCAGACATAAAGATTTTCGTGTCTTAGTGTTTTCTGAAAAATTTCAGTGTTTTTTAAGAGCCGTCGTTGTCAGTATCACATTGGTGGCAACCTGATGTGATAGTCTTCACAGTCTTGCATGACGATGAACATGAAGCATCTAAATACCTCACTTATGATTTATTCCTATAAAAATGCAACTTATCATGAAAAATAAATATTTTATTAGTGGTCAGCGATACAAGATAATTCATTCCGAGGCTATGTGGCAGCAGCAATTTCTGAATTTTGTGCAAATGATAGTCAATGTAAAGATACTGGGTAAGAATGAAGCCTAGATATTTTGAAATGAGTTTTTGAATGAAGTACTTTGTAAACACAATTCAGGACAAGGACAATACAAGTTCTGCTTGAACACTTAGTGAACACACAAAAGAACAAAATGCCTTTATTTCAACTTAAAAAATGTGAAATCTACGTGATTTAAATTTTTTTAAAGGAGTCAAGTAAACAAGACCCACGTACAGATTGTTCAAGGCTCCCCGAGACAAAATAATGCAAATGCTAATACAGAGTTCTTTGTGAGATATCCTGATGGTCAAATTCTAGAAAGAGAACTTCTTGTGGCGATTTTAAATCAGAGTCTTGCGTCAATCGAATCAAGCACTGGACTCAAGCTAGTTATTTTAATTGAAGAACCTTCATTAACACATATATCTATATTTACACCAACTCGTACATCTATACCTTTATCTTCATCTACATCTTCATCGTTGTCTTTATCTTCATCTTCATCTCCATCTGAATCTCAATCTACATCTCCATCTTCATTGACACCAAACTCTATACTTATATTCCCACCTTTATCTTCATCCTCATCTACATCTCTATCTGTATCTTTATCTCCACCTACATCTCTATCTCTATCTGTATCTTTATCTTCATCTTCATCTCCATCTCCATCTGTATCTCTATCTGAATCTCCAATCCCATCTCCATCTCTATCTCCATCTTTATCTTCATCTACGTCTTTATCTTCATCTGTATCCGTATCTGTATCTTTATCCTCATCATTGTCTTTATCTTCATCTCCATTCCCATCTCAATCTGTATCTCCATCTGAATCTCCATCTCCATCTTCATCTATATCTATATCTCCATCTCTACCTACGTCTTCATCTCTATCTCCATCTCAATCTACACCTAAATCCATACTAACATTCTCACCTACATCTATACTTATATCCACACCCACATCAACACCTACACCCACATCTAGATCTACCCCTACACCTGATCGTGAAATTGTGGACAATACTGTCACAGTCAAACTTATAAACTTTAATGCAAGCAAGGTTTGTTTATATCTATTATTTTCCCATACTCCATAATACATAAAGTCAGCTTTGTAGAAACCTCTTCATCGTAAAACAATCAACTAAAGCAATCATCATGGCTTCATTTTTTCTCTTAAGCCAACTACTCACAAGTAAGGCCTGCAATATATCATAGAGTTAGACAGACCAAGCAGAAGTGAAAAACTGTATGAACAAGCTGCAGTAATTCCCCTGTAAACTCCGATAATTAACTAAAAATGGTGGAAAATTTTAAAATACCATCTCTCTCCCAAAATCTCTTAGATGCAGAAATATATTTGGATTTTACCTCCTCTCACACAATCGTTACTTAATTCCAAGAGTTCTGTTGAATCATAAATTGCACTCCATATATCTCCCATTATTATATGAGGCAAATAGATCTAAGTGTATCTTTAAATATGGTCAATTGTTCATTTCTATCTTCTCTAGTGGAATGAAATGCTTTTCCAAGCAAACATGGCCGAACAAATCAACGTTTTCTGTTTTGAGGAGGATATTTGCAATGCTTCATTGTAAGTAAAGTTGTTAATCGCATAAAGTAGTATAACTTGTCTGGCTAGAGCAACCATTAAAATCAGCTGCAAGCTCCTCATGCAATTTTTTAACGATAGATGTTATGTTCTTCATTTTTTATAAGTGTTTTTTAAAAAATTGCAACTCACACATATTAAGAAAGATAGAATCACTTTTTCCACGTAACTTCAACAAAATTTAGGCAAAAACAACTACCATTATTAAGATTATTCGGAAAAACCTTATTCATGTATAAGTTTCAAAATGTAACAACAGAGGCTTAACATATTTGGTATTTTCTATGTACGTGAAATGACTGTTTATCTCCATTTTGATTTTATATGGTAAACTTTCATTTTGAATCATTATGTGAAAATTATCTTGCTTACTAGCCCGACTGATTCTTACTCCTTCTAAAAAATATTTTTTTATTCACAGACTGTAAAAACGATTTATTTCTAAGCAAATTACTGATGGTAGTAAGTTAAATTTGAGATGATTGAAATAAATTATCAATTTCTACGTGAAATCAATGTATTTATGCATGTGTTAATATGTAAATGCATATTAATACAAATTTTAAATACAACCTTGCTCTAAAAAACCATTGTAAAATCTTTTCAAAAGAAAATGCACATTTTTCAGGCCTAAAGGAACCAACCTTACAGCTGAAAATATTAAAGTGCTGCCTGGCTCGCCGATGGAAATAAATGCTACTTGTGCAAATCTATCTTTTTACGCTGATATTCCTGACAGAAATAAATTATTACCTAAAAATCTTCTGTCGACAATATTCTACGAAAAACGAAAAGAGATACTGGCTGAATTGCCTGGTGTAGAGGTTGAAACTCCCCCTGTAGAACTCCCTCTTGAAAACCTTACAGAAGCGCAAAGAAATAACACAGTTATAGTGGTACTTGTAGTACTGGATAGTGACAGAAATCAGGTGACAACGCAATAATTATACCAATAAATAGAAACTAACATCGTATATTAGGCAAATGGGACTAAAATCGATTTGAACAAATTGAATCGTTTAGATTTAAGCTTGCCATGCAAAATTTTATTCATGCTATAGTAATATTTAAACTGTGAGCTGAAAATTTCATCCATTTCATTCTCTTACACAAGTCATTTTTACCATTAATAATCGTTTCGTCAATCACAGCAAAATGAATAAATTCAAATCAAAATTTATTGAAAGAATTGATTCAATAAGCTGTATTATTCTTACATTTAAGATAAATTTACTCGTCATTTTTGAAATAAGAAGAGCCATGGTAGAAAGAATGAACACAATTTGTTTCGGTTCTGAAGGAGATGTTTGCCAACTTCAAAGCAATCGGTAAGTTGACAGTCTTCAGTATATGTTTACAAAAGATGCTTAAATTTAACATGTGTAAATTCATAAATTTCACTCTAAAATTTAAGAATCAATAGCGGTCGTCTTGGAAGCTTGACTGAACCTATGTATGGGTTCTGTCATACAGTCCTGTGTGAAAAAAAACTTTGAAAAAAAAACTATAACTTATATACTGCATAATTTACATTTTTTAGTCGAAGGAGGAAGAGAGCAACTAAGTAAGTTATTATGGCATTTATGTTTCAACGTTGTTAATTGTAGAATTTTAAGATTTTACAAGTTTAATGGATAAGATTAAACTCAAAGTTGTTGTGATTTGGATGTGATTATTTGAATTTTTTACTCTTTTCAAAACAAAACAGATCATAAATATTTTCTTTTTATCTACAGTAGCCGAAATTTTACTCTAGCGGATATTACTATCAACTCTGCGAGTGGTAATGGAAGGGCAGCGCTAGACATAGGCGTCAATAAGCCAGGTACAAAAGATCCAGTCAATAAAACTGTTGTCCAAAATGCCTTAAGGGAGCCCTTACAAATCAGAAATTTTAACCTGACCTTGGCACCATCATCATCGACTCTTACCTCTGCACCATCATCATCGACTCTTACCTCTGCACCATCATCATCGACTCTTACCTCTGCACCATCATCATCGACTCTTACCTCTGCACCATCATCATCGACTCCTACCTTGGCACCATCATCCTCATCACCTCTTAGTTTGGCACCATTATCATCTCTCACCTCAATACCATCATCACCATTACTTCCCACCTCAGCACCACCAGACGATGATGACGTGGATTTGCCATTAATACTGGGATTGTCTATTGGTGGCGTATTGCTGTTGATCTTCTGTTTTGTTGCCTTAGTATAGTAAGTAAAAACAGCGTTTCGTTTGCAAATAAAAGTGAACTTTTTTGGACAAACGCCAACAACAGAATCAGCCAGGTCTCTTTTAGAGATGCTCATGATTATTTTTCATTAATCTCAAACAACGTCTACAATCACTAAAAGTCTACAATCAGATCAAAACCTACAAATGCAACGCAAATATGATTAAAGACAGAAGGATAAAGATATGTTAAGTCATTTAACGAAAGATTTAGGAGTTGCATACATTTACTTTGAAACTATGGAGGACATTGTCTTTTTGGGTGTCTTGCATTGACTGCTCATTTTACATGCAAAAACTATGACAACTGGGTTGTTATAAAAACGCATGAAACGCTCCTAAATTACAAGTTCAACAAGGTCAAAGAATTATTGAGTCAAAATGTTAAACTTGCATTCAAAATGTATCAAGTAGATCAAACTTCTAAAAACCTTACCGGATGCAAGGACAGTTTAGTCTAGTCATTTGCCAAAAATTAAATATTAAATTGATCTTACCTTACAGTTGCAAGGCTAAGAAAGATTCAAGGTTTAAAGTCCCCAGAGTGAGCCCAGGATCTTACGGTCACAGCAGCTGGGAATTTGAAAGAGATACACCGTATGGGGGTACAGCATTTGAAGGTATCAGAGCTACATCTAGATATGATGAAGATGGTTTACCTGTCGATGAGGACCCACGTCAATAAGATGACATGCAGCCATGCAATTGCATAGTTTAATGATTAGTTAGTAATATATATATATTGTTTGCCACTTTTCAAATTCAGTACAAATCCTTTGCAATCTTCCGGGAGCAATTTTAGTGGGTGGAATGAAGACTGAAAAGATATGAAAGCAACAACACCCGACGAATTTATAATAATCCTTTGATCTAAATAAACACACTCTCTGCATGGTATTGAGCCCAACTATTTATATTAAACTTTTCTTTATGCCAATTACATGCATATACATGTAAATAAATATTTGTATGACACTAAGCAATTGTTCGTACTCTATTTTTAAGTCTAATAAAGTCTACTTTTAAATCACGCTCGCAATCTTTGTATGTGCTTTATTAACTTTACATTACAATGCAGCAGAATCTGATTGAAACACAGAGAAACATGTAACAGTCATGAGTGATATTCGAAATTGTTTATCTGTAAGTCAAATAAAGTAGAAGAACAGTTTTGTATGACCATTATTCAGCATATATCTAGTGGGCTTAGCTGCTAATGTGATATTTTACATGCAATGTAATATCTATTCAAGCTATGGTAAACATGTATGTTTTTATTGTATGACAAAAAATACTCTGACTGCTTATTGCATGATTCTGTTCCTGAGTTATTGGTTGCCTTGTACATTCTCAATCATAAATCGCTGCACTGTAAGCATGCTTAAATACTCAAGCTTTTAGGCTCATTTTGCAATTTTACTTATCCACAGTGACGCCAGAAAGGCGTCAAAATAATGAGAGAGAGTTAGGGGGTGCAATCTCTACCCTGTTTCCACACCAATACGATTTTCAAACTGTTTTTCTTATTTGTACAGGAAAAAATAAATCAGTGCAGTATGTAAGAAAATTTCAGAGCATTTTGATTTTTCGTAGCACACTAATGAAGAACTTATTATTGATATGTGCAAACAGAGCTTTTACAGGAGATAGTATAATATTGCCAAAATACTAAACAATCATTGTCTCAACAAAACTCCATCAGAAGTTTATTTAACAAGTAGTCATAAACTATTAAACAATAAACGTTCCACAAACACTGCATGTATGAGCATATGTATATTGCTATTTTTTCCCAACATAAAAAAAACTACAGCATATGGTTGCCTCTTTAAGTCGAAATGAAACGGACTTTTGAAAATTGGAAACATTATCATTTGGGGTCTTTTTGCAAATAAAAACTTAAGCAATAGAGTTGTTTAAATTTACTAACTCAATTGAATATAGTGGCATATAATTATTTCATTCTAATAATTAATAGAGTTGAGAGTTTAAAAGGATTCAATCATAGCTCTAAGCAACTCAAAGTAAGAGCCGAGGAAGAGTCATAAATAAGTGGGTCGATATTCTAATATACAAGCTCTACATTTTAATTTTTTTAAGTCAATTGTGATTATGGATTGAAATATATGTGTGAGCATATGAATATACCAACACCCCCCCAAAAAATGTCAATTTTTCACGCCCCTTGCAAAGTCACTATTACAAAGTAGCCATTATAATCTCATGCCGAGTTTATTCTGCGTAACTTGCAATAATCTCACAACCTGGTGTAGTGCCAAACAAGGCTCATTGTTACGTTGGTGCGCCATCTTGGATTTTTCTTATATGGCCCACCACCTTGTGAAATGCACTTTCCTTCTATATGACAATATATATGGGTTTTGCAAAGAAAATAATTTCTGAAGAAATAAATAATGGCAATATTTCAATATCTGCATACTCGGACTTGGTCTAACGACTGGCCACGCTACTACACTGACGATAAAAAGTCGCCAGCATAATTTTCTTACGAGCGGAAAACTCAAAAAACGAAGAAGAGTCTACAGCTAATTCATGGCGCTTCTGTTCACTCATGCATCCATTAATCATTTAAAATTTATGTTAACTTTAATTATCTACCATATCATGTGCACTGTGTAGCTTTTTGCAGTTACCTTTAGACAGTTTATCTCCTTTGGACATTTGTTGTCGTGGAAGCATCTGTTTGTTCTTTCTTGATAATATCTAAATTGCCTTTCCGTCGTCTTTTACAATTTAAAATGTTTTACGCTATTTTATCCTCTTTGAACAGTTCATATATATGACAATTCTTTTCAGCAGTGCTGTTCATAAATACTCAAAGTACAGCATCTAAACGGCATTTGTTTCAGTTTGCACCGACTTAAACTCGTCTCAAAATAATCACCTGAGACTCGTTTAACATTCATTTATTAAAATCAACTTCATATGTCATTTTAGAGCGTCCCCAAAATACATCTAATTATTCCTCTGCTAAGTATGATCTTAATCATTGTGTATTGTGAATTTTACAGCTCTTTTAACTAGTTTTGTTTAAATTTGTATTGTTCTTCAAGCTTTTGAACAGCTCTGAACAATTGTACAATGCAAATGCACAAAGCACGTGCTCTGGCGTAAAGGTTGGTGATGTTGAGAACTCAAGATAACAAACAGAACTTTCACTGTGTTATGCATTTATAGTTATATAAAACGGCTGAAATTTATCTATGATTGTAATGCATTTGCCAGGTTTGCTTAGATTGTAGAGTTTGTCTTGTTATAACTCATGTCAAATAATAGTCTTCATTGTATTTCTTTACATTATTGTATTTTTATTCCAAAAGTAATATCATAACTGGAATACAGATCGTTTATATTCTTGCATCTGCATGACGGGACAATAAAACGACAAAATTAAATGAAATTGGCATATAATTTGGAAAATAATACTTGATAAGTATAGACGACTTCACTTGTTAAAGTTTTGTTTAGTCTATACCAGGGTCAAAGAAATACACTTTACCGAGAAAATACGGCAGAACAAATCAACATGTTCTGTATTGAGGTCGATATTTGTAATCCTCCACTGTAAGTAAGGTTGTTCATTGCTGGAAATCGAATTACTTGTCTGGCTAGAATCTAGAGCAATCATAAAATGAATTCGTTATCTTCACAATCAAATTTTTAAACTTCAGAATTACGGGTTTTGTTACGTATCTGGGTGTTATACATCTCACAAAAATTGTTAAAATTTTTAAAAAAAAATTGAAATTCTACACAAAATAATACTTCCAAACACAGAAGTTTGTATGATTTTTCAGTCTGTTATCAATCACGTGCTCTCTGTAGGACTAAGTCATATACACATAGCACTATCTGTACTGGCGGATATGATAAAAAATTTTCATTTATATCACAGCTTTGTCTTGAGATTTTTTAATGGTTGGAGAGAGACTTTATAAAGACAGACATGCCAAAAAAATGCTAATGTTTTCAACACAACTTACCATAACTATCAAAATGCTACGGAAAAAGCATGTTTGTAACTAATTTATTGTATTTTTATATTCTTGCAACGCAGTATTATTAATACATATATATATATATGAAAAGACAGGAAAGTTTTGCGAAATTTATTTATGAAAGCCAGCGTGTAAGTATATTTTGTGTGAATTTTCCCCATTTATCCCAAATGTACAAAACTACTAAGGAAACTTTAAGAGTTTTCGCAACTTAAAGTTTTGCTGAAACTAAATTTTGCGCCCAAAAGGGGCTATAAACGCCCTCAAAATAAAGAGGAAAACCATATGTAAAGCTTTCAAATAACTCTAAAATGATTTGGGCATTGTTCCTTGTAACAAAGGTAGTAAACAGTTGATTCTTACGGGGGTTGGAAGCTTATGCAGTTGTTGCTGGTTTTCCAGCGGTGTGAAACTTGCCCAAGGGACGAAAATTACACCCTTTGGCCGGATGCTGTGAACCACATTTAAAACAAGTATGTTTGTAGGAGCAACCTGAGCATTTATATCCTCGGTGAAAGACTCGACAAAAAGCCAATGGAACGACGATGCCCGATGGAGAAGGCTGAGATTGTCCGGGGCGTGATCAATTTATGATATTACGATTAAAACTTTGCGCTCTGATCCACAACAATATGAGTGGTCCCCATGGCATATCGTGCAACTGAGCTTGACGCATATAACGAAATTGTGTGTCATAAAATTAACAGTTTGCACCATGCGCGGCTAATTCGCGAACAACCTCAGAATACTTCATCAATGCAGGGGCATTCTGGGGAAACTTACTGGTGTATATCCCAACAAAAATCTGAAAGGCAGAAGTCCACATATCATTGTTAGTTATAAACATAACCTTTGTAATAGGTTCCAAAGTGTAGGAATGAAGTCATCATTTTGAGTTACTGAGAGATGATATCGACTATCACATCCCCTTGAAGTAAGAAGAGAACTAAAGTCAACAAACTCGTTTGCTTAGATCTTAGCTTTAATTTTTGAGCTTACTTGAGCATCAATGGGGATCAAAATTGAATTAAAATCTTTGCATGAAGAATGTGGACTTTCAGACTAAGTCGCTGCTCACCTGCCAAATTTTTATAAGGCAGATGCCACTGGCACCTGCTCTTGGGCATCAACCTCAGAACTATTAATAGGTACTTCCTAACGTCTCGTTTACTGTCGCACAGGTCTGCAAACTTTCTTTCACAGCTTGAGCCACCATTGTGGCGATTTTTGATATGTTTGCATCGTTGTAGCTGTTCCCAGATGAAAATGGCATTGAGGACTTGAGCAACGCTGACGACTCATCTTCTGCTGACGTAGGCGTAGAACCAGTACGAGCTCGATGACCCCGAGACCGTGGGGACGATACCTGTGCTCGGCGATGAATCCTGGTGCTAGGTCTAGTAGCAGGCTTCATTACACTGATATACTAAAAGGAAACTAAAGGAGAAGGTACAAGCATCAAGGAACAATAAAATGCAATTGCAAACAATGATAAAGAGTAATTACAGAACCTAGGACAACAAAGTTTTTAATATATGGCATACAACAAAGGTAGCCGATATAAATGGTCAAAAGTACAAAAACGGGGACTAGCCCTCTGTTTATTAACACCAGACGAAGCATCTTAAGCATTCCATGAAAACTATACTCTGTACTGACAAAACAAAACAGAGACAAATGAAAGACAACATAAACAAAATAAAGAACAATATAAGAAACAAGCTATAAGTCTTGAAGGGTTGCGTGGAATTGAAAGAGAATTGCTGATTTCTTAACAGGGGATACGCTTGCCATAACCGTGTGTGAAGTCCAAAGACAAATAATCCCGTGGAGTCTCGGGATGGAAAAAATATCAAACTCGGAAAATAAACAAGTTGGTAAAAACAAATTATATACTCCAAACAACAAATAAATCCCGTGGAGTCTCGTGATGTAAAAAATTTTGCAACTCTGAAAATAATCGAGTTGGTAAAAACAAATTATGTACTCCAAACAACAAATAAATACCGTACAATGTGCATTATGTAATGTTAGTATGGAAAAGAAGGGGTTTCGCCAGCACATGCAACAATCAAGAGTTTAAAGAAGAGAGTGCTTTCAAGATTGCTTCTCGATAACGTTTAAATAAAACAAACTGTCCTTGCGGATTATAATGAACACCATCACAGGACAATAAAGTATGGCCAACTTTATTAAATGCACGATGCCCCCAAAGAAACATGCCAGGTATTTTATACAGAACAACAGACAAATACTAACGTAAAACTGCCGCTTTCTTGTAAAATTCAAAATCAAGAGTTTGCGAGTGACTGATGTACCTGTCAATAACCTGACACAAAACTACTGTCCTCACATTAAGGTCATCCTTAAAAAGCAAAACTAATTTCTCCAAACGAGAGCCTGCCGCCTTGGGAGACAAGTCTGACAAGTCATTTGTCCCTAATTCCAAAATAACTATGTCTGGAAATTGGTTTTTAATAAATGGTAAGTCATATTGAAAAACTTTATCTATACGTGCATCTTTTGAATTATATTTCATGATAAATTAATGATTTAGATTTTAGATGAGCGATTGCATTATGATTAATTTTGCATTTTAGGCTTTAAATTTGGACGTACAATTTTCGATAGCAAAACGACTGAATGATCATTGCGTGAAACAACCTGCATCACATGTTTGCTCATGTAAAAGGTAGGTTGATGCACACATGGTATAATATCGCAAAAGAAGTAAATGTCTCTCAATACTTGTTAGTTTGCTTTTCCTCTTCAACTGAAAAAGAGACTATGGTATATAGCATACACATCACGTCGTTTTATTCAATAAATGCTTATATTTGCCTTAATAAAGGAACTTCACAGTTGGTGATATAATTACTCTGATTGATCTATAAAACGTGATCCGTTTCGTCGTTTTAAATCCCACCACAACCAATCCAAGATAATCTAATGACGTACAGAAGGCAACAAATGGAAACTTTACTTCAGATATTTTAAAAATTCGACTTTCAATCACAACCTTTCCCACTGAAGCACCTACCACCTCAGGACCATCACCAGACGACGATGAAATGAATTGGGCATTAAGACTGGGATTATCCATTGGTGGTGTAGTGTTCTTGATCTTCTGTATTGTTGCATTGCAAGTGAAGGCAAACGTCAAGGACTATTTTCTTGACGTATATGATCATCTTCCATGTTATTCCAACAACGTCTAAAATCACCAGAAAGTCTATAAGATACATGCGCATGACATCGAATTTGCGACATAAGCACAAGTCTGGTGCAGAGAACGAAAATTTGTCAAGACCAAAACCGGCTCGAAAGGGCAATATAAACCTGCATGAATGACATCAATAGAAGAAGCAAAAAAGTTTTCTTGTAATTTTTATTTAAAAAAAATATTGTCGCTTTCATATATTGCTTTGAATACAGTGAAAACTATGAAGACGGGGCTGTTTGGTTGAAAACCGACACGAATTGTGTACGAGGCTTGAATGCAATTAAATTTACGAAATAAGTGAAAAATAATTTACATTGTTTCTGTCATAATGTTTTTTCATTTCATCTTCACGATAAAAATGAATCAAACTCTTTAAAACCATACCAAAAGTGACTGTTTAATATTGTATTTTTCTTAACGCTTACAGTTGGAAGTCGAAAAGGAACTCAAAAGTTCAAGGTCGTGTCATAATGCAGACATGGAAATGCATGATATTAATACGGGTATTTATGGTAGTGCGGGTATTCACAATAGTAGCTATGAGTTAGAGTAGAAGATAATTCGTAACAGAGGCATCGTATAGAGGATCAATTCATCTCAATGAGATAACTGATCACATACCAATGTTCGTTTGATATCATTGTTTACAATTCTTTAAATATTGAAAGTCATTTGTAATATTCCCGTTATGCACTTACCTAAATAAATATATCTTTCCATCATGCGATTTTCCATACCAAACCGTTTTCAGTCAGTGTCTTATGAGAAAAAAACACCAGAGTTTTACAACGTATTCAATATTTAGTGTGCATTGCGAACTCTACAAAAAGAACAGCAGAGCTGATTGAAACACATGCAAAAATTTATTGTATCCAAACAGTAAAACCGTGTTGCAAAAAGGACATAAAAAAGGTTGCATACTTAATTTTTCATGCGCTGTATTGAAAAGTCGTGCATGAGACAGACAAGGGTACATTAAATATGTTCTCACAAGTTACGGTTTTTAGTAAAACAGCTAACACAAATTTGTTTGTGAAAATTGTTCTTTTTGCTTTTGGTTCTCGTAATTGTGATTGATTATAAATGACGCATTTTTTGCTTTTATAACCGTGTTTCTGGCTGAGCGTGCAAGCTTTTGAAAAGTTTGCTTTCTGAATTTAATATATTTCAGCTAGTCACAAAAGGCATTTCTTCCTCTTATACCGCTTTCATTATAAAACGCTTCTTTGAAGAATCAAATGAATAAAAATGCAGTGGACAGCCTCCTAACTTCTCTTGTTACTTATAAAGCTACATTTCAACATAAAATATTTTGCATACTTATCACAAACCTATATCGAGCGTAACAAATGTTAATGTAAATTTCAATCTTGTGCTTCTGATTATAACGTTAAAGTGGCAACGCAGCAGATCGGTAACAATCACCAACCACAACGAAAACCAACTTTTGAAAAATTTCGCCACACAAACTTCTGGAATGCAACACAGAGTTGTGAGCGCAAAGTTACTGTTTTGGTCATGCATTTTACACGATATTGCAGCATGGCTTGTGAATGCAGCTATCAGATTAAAAGCTTTGTCAGTATAGTTCGTTATTTCCTCATTCTACATCAGCATGACGCCACCCTGCAGTCGCCCAGATTCTTAAAACCAAGTTCTCAGTACTAACTAAGAATGAATATTTTTCAATTTGTAAGAAAATTATTAAAATTGCAACGAAGACGTCTTCAAAGGAAAAGATGTTGCATATAAATCCTTTCAACCGAGATTCATGGCAAAGGAAATCGCTCAAAAGCATGTTTATCGTAACGAATTTTCGATGTCCGAATTTTTATCCATGCGAACTGTGTGATTAAGTCTTTATAAAATTTAATAAGTGAGCCTTTGAGCACAACTACACATTTTGATATACTTGATTTGAACGAATTTTATATAGAGTCATCGGTTTGTCTTTATCAGCTGCGCATTAAGGTCTCATTAAGAAAATTCCTCAGCAAATACATTGAGCTTTTGTACTGAGTCTTAAGGATTGCAAAACATTCGAACCCCATTATTCCCTGCTGTTGGCTTTATTCAAAATCATTGGGCTAGACAAAGAGATCTTTTGGACCAGTCGCAATTGTATTTATTTCGAATAAAGTGCCTTTGAGCAACGCAACCTTCTCATACGCCTAACTTAAAGGCAATCCTCATCGAAGTACTGGGAAGATGAATTCAGCAATACGGTTTAAGCTGTTTTGTCTATTTGTTCATTTTCTTGTGTTTAGCGTTATTGTAAAAGGTAAGTCAAAACTGATTTTATGGTCTACAAGTTCCGTTCGCTTATTGCATTCACAAGAAAAGCTTGCTGCTTTATGACGCTCCATATAATCATTGCTTTGATTGGCAAAAAATTTGTTTAAGTATTTTTTAGTAAATTAACACAGCAAAATCTCAGTGCGTGTGGGTTAAAATTATAGAGAGTTAATTCGTAAATCATTTTCAAATTTTCTTGCAAAACGACCTTGCGTCAATATTTATCGCTTACCAACTTCCTTTTTGTAAAGTTATTGGCATAGAAATTGCGAATTTTACTTCCACCCATAGCATAGCGCTTTCATTGTGAAAATATGCGCATCGCCATGGTCATATAGAAACAGAGTAAATAACGATAAATTTAAAGTCATCCAATGTTCAGTATCAAGAATATTTCTTTCTTATTTATAAATGACTGTGAATTATGCATTACTCGTCATAACTGTCCATTAACCAATCACTTTCTAAATCATATAAAACAATCAAGTAAACTAAGAAAAATGCTATCAGCGCACTTTTTAATATTATAATGTATTTGATATAACAGGCTCATAAATAAGTCTAATAAAGAACTTCACGAAAAATAATTTGTATTTTAACCGCCATTTGAAAAAGTTTATAGATAGCAAACACAACACGAACTTTCAAAAACCTAAAAAGTTCGCTGCTTAATAGATATTATGACGCTAAATTTAGACTGCAAAATCTCAGTGAATGTGCCTTTAAATAAAAACAGTTACTTCGTTATTCATTTTCAATTTCTTTGCGAAACGACAATGCGTGTTTATCTTTCGACAACTTCCTTTTTGTTAGCGTTAATGGCATAGAATTTACAAGTTTTATATCCGAAAAAAATTTGGCGCCCTAGATGTGAAAATGTGCTTATCGTCATACTTTGCATGAACACATCACCATTTTCATTAAAATACTATTAATAACAATAAAGTTATCCAGTGTATAGTATACGCTTAAGAATGTTTCTTTCTTATTTATGATGACTGTGACTGTGAATTAAACGTCTTTTTTCGAAATCAGTCTAAAATAATCAAATGAACTAAAAAATACCATCACAACACACTTTCATATAAAATAAGACGCACGAATACTTCAAAAAAATTAATCTATATAGTGATCGTCCAAACAAACACTACATGCATTTTCAAAAAGCACCTTGTTTCAAATTTGAGAAGTCATATAATTTAGTCTATAAGTGTTGTAATTATCATTTAAATGGAGCTAAAATTAAGAACATTTAAGCAACTAGTTGAGAATGTCTGGAATGAGTGACCATTTTTCTTCAGTGCTTTTCAATAAGAGAGAGCTCAATACGTCATATCATATATGTATCATATTCACACATAGATTTTAGATAATAATTTTCGAATGATACCAACAACAATCACATGTTACTGTTTAAGATATTTCTAATGACTTTAATAATAATAAGTTGACCATGAATAGTTTTCTAGGCTTTAAACGTCAACTTTCACGGAGACACATGTACACCTAACTTTCCTTAATATTAAAGAATAAAGTTTTATGGCTACATACTCTCATAAATTTTTCAAAGTTTGATTTTCTGCTGGCAGTATGCCTATCTAGATAATAGACTGTGAATTTCCGCATTCCAAAAGATAATTTTGACGTGCCATTGAACCACAAAATACTCTTTTCGTGCGTGCGTTATTCGTAAAATGAAATGATTTGAAAATTTTAGATTCTTTTCATCGAATTTTTCTGCTTATGATGATATACCCAGACACATCACTATATAGCCGAGATTGAAATATATTCACTTTAATATTTTCACTTTCCCAACACTGTATTTGAGGCTTATATGCAGTCATGAGGCGAATCAACTTTAGCCAAACGGACTATAAACGATATCGAACTAATGATCGAGTGCAAAGAGATTACAATAATTTGTATTTTATATTTGTGTGATAGAAAATTTTTGCATGACGGATCCACTTTAGCGTAGGTCGTGATTTATATACAAGGGCATTTTGGCAAGTGCAGATGGAACTGTAAGCATGCAGCTCTCTAGTCGTTTAGATTATAAATTTATAAAAACACGCATTCGTAAAACATAGCGACTGGTGAAAGACATTACCAAACTAAATTTACTCAGAAAGAAATATTTATCGTGTTTTCGTTAATAAAGGTCAAGTGGGTAGTGGTTTGTATGAAGGTTCTATAGAGGAAGGACTTGGTGATGGTAAGTAAGCTTCAGTCTTTGATTTGAGGATCATTTAATAAGTTTGTGTTGAATATCGTCGTTTTCATGTCGTTGTCTTAGTTGAGCACTGTATGCGCCCTTGAATGAGTCTTAAGTAACAATGGAAGGACACATTTAGAAAAGATCCTTTCACCAATGTTTCAACAATAATTGGCCACTTTTTATATTTACTATGACATGTATCTATATAACAGCAAAACATTTCCAATGTTCTCGTACATTAATCATGCAGTGTTGTAAAATAATAGCTCACGAATGATTGTGAGTGTTGTGTGTGTGTTTTTTAGGTCGACTAGTTAATTTCAGTATGGATGCACCGTTACAATTCCAAATTGACGTTAATCTAACCCGCGCGGAATGTGCTTCAGTGAACTTGCCACAGCTTGGTTTCAATTTTAAAGGCAAAGACTTTACGAGAGCTTATGTACGAATCAAATTAAACAGATGCAATGAGTTTACCACCACAAGTGATTTAATACTTCTTAACTACTTTTTTTATGATTCTCATTCGTCTTTTATTTTTATTTCAGGTTTGTGCTAATGGATTAGTTAAGTTCAACAACCCATCTTATGCAGTGAATCCTCGAAATTTTGGGACATATAGTGGTCAAAACCAAGGCTCAGAATCACTTGCGCCCTATTGGTCGCTTGTTGATTTAAAATTTTTTCAAACGGGATTTTCAAAAGTTTATTACAGGTCATATGAAAACCGTATGAACAATTTTCAAGTGTTTGAGAGGATTGAGAGCGCAGCAAAGGAAATATTAAACACTACAGAGTATACGGCAAGTTGGGTGGCTGTTGTGACTTGGGAGAACCTTAAACCAAAACAACCTTTAAATAACACCTATGGCGGAGTAAGTTGACTTTTTTTCTGAAAACAAATGAATGCATGATTAGATCACCATAGGTTTATGTAATAGGCATCAATAGTTACATGAAAAAATACTAGTAATGGTCTTATTGCTTGAATACGTCGACCAGTAAAAAACTGCAAATCGGAGAACTATGATATATAGCAATAAGCATATCATATATTTTCTACAACTGTGCTCTCAGCTTATGAAAAAACATTTTTACTTGACGAACATGATTAAGTTTTGATAAATTGCTTTAAAAATTTGATAAACTACTCTAAATTTTATATAACTAATGTTTAACTATACATTAAAAGCAAATCAATTGGTAAAATTTTATTCATCGCAAATTCGTAATTAAATCAATGGCATGGCTTAAGCCCCATAATTCGGAGCAGGCACATATTGTCAACACGCATGTTTTTTTTCCGTATTAAAACATGCATATATGAATATGTATCCTTAGTCCAGTAAACAAGTTTATTACGCCACTGAGTCATATGTGGTTACTAAATATCTGGCCTGCCAGCTGCCTTATATAAATATAAATTACTTTGCTGTTTCAGTAAGAGGCAAAACACTAATATAAGTAATTAATAAGTCGTAGGGCATTGGTCATTAGAATTGTGGGCATCCATTGATGATTTTTCAGTGGGGAGGGAGTAGCTACACTCTCTTCTTCCGCTTGAAATTTCAAATACAGTTAATATCAATAGTAATATTACATAAAATGGCAAAAATTTATGATATTTTGAATGCTTAAGTGAATATATGTGTGTCATCAAGCAATTGGATTTGATAAATCAACAACATTATTCGAAATGTTTTTCTTCCAGGAAAATGCTTTCCAACTCTTGTTGGCCAACACTGCCGATAGCAAAGCCGTTACATTGTATATTTATAAAGATATCGACTGGTCAATTGGGGTTTTTAGGTAAAGTGATTAGCATAACATTTCAGGTGTCAACTCTATTTTACACAATATCGTTTCCAGTATTATTTTGGTATAGTTTCTACGAGATAGTTGACTTGTCTGAGTATTTGAACTACACTTGGCCACTAATCCATTCAAATCGTAAATTTTTTCACATCCCACATTATGTGTTTACTATTTAGAATGGATTATGCTAATTTCATTGGAGCAAGTGACTTACCTGTGATTGGTTATAATTCAGATAACGAAAATTTTGAGAATTTTCGAACGTAAGTAAAAGTAGACATAAATAAACTCTCTCTTTATCTAGCACTGGCTTTTAAAATACTGCTTAAATAAAACGACGATTTGGATCGTTAAGACACGTTTATAGTTAAAAAACACATGATTTTTATTTACATGCAGCTCTGGAACAGTTAATGCGGAAACAGTTGATGATTACATGAATCCCACAACAGGAAAACGAGGAGAAATTGCGTTTGATTTGAGTTTGAAGATAACTGAAGCTCCTCTTACAAGTGCAGAAACGTGTAGGCGATGGGTTAATGAACAGGTTGCAGAAAACATCAGACGGGGGAATTGCTCAACACCTTGTGCTCCAAATCTACAGCTGGCTTTTCTTAGTTTAGGAAGTAAATTTATTACAAACTACCGTAGATTTAAGGCAGGGCTTTCAACTGAGCTTGAAAACTTCTGCATATTTAGCGATCAAATATCAACAGGAAACAGTGCGGATGAGTGTTGCTATAGATTTCTTGGTAACAAATCTTCATACGAACAGTCTTTTATCACCAATCAATATCAGTCATTTTTCCTAAGCACGAGTTCTCTAATAAATGCTGGTCCAGGGCACTGGCATCAGTTTCATCCAAGACATGATTTTATGAAATTTCAAGAAGAAGAGAATCGCTACCAAGAATGCTGCACCAACATTAGTAGCACCCAAGAATCATGTTCGTTGTTTTATAGCGTCCGCCCAATATGTAATGACTCCCTCTGGACGTTTCCAACAACGTGGGGTACACAACTATTATGCATTTTTAACTTTAACTGTAGCACGAACAAACATATGCTATATTCATTGTTTATTTGTGCTTCTCAACAGCTACTTTCATTTGAAAAACTAATCTCTATTGAAAGAGCTATAATAAATGATTATATAATAAGCTAATATGGTTGGTTTTTAGTGATTTTTTTACAAAAAGTGAAAATTAGAAGTTAGTACATAAAAGCAAAGCAATAATAGAAATTGTATTTGAACATGATTTGAAAATTTAACGACTTTATTGAAAAAGCTTACCCATATGCACTCTTTTTTAAAAATCTCCTCATAACTAACCCAAGAAAGTATATTTACTCCACTTTTTGTTTGTACACGAACAAACATTAAGCGGAAATTATTCAAACGTTACAACTGTTGCAATATGTTTCAGGTTCTCTGTATGGTGATCCTCATTTTGTCACACTTGATCGTAAAAACTACACTTTCAATGGCTGTGGTTGGTACACATATTTTAAAGGAAATATCCCAGGTAAGAAAATAAAATTTTATTTTATCCTTTGCATAAGTGAGGCACAAAAGTACATCATGAAAACCAACATAATTTTTCAGGCAACAATAAAAGCTCCCTTGTGGTTCAAGTTCGAACGTCAAGAGTGAATTTTGTACTGAACGCTACAGGTTTTACTGCTATCGCAATAAAAGAAGGTGAAACAGAGACAATTCAGGTTAATCTGAATGTATCAGGTGTGTAAGTCATAGTATATGAAAGATACAATAAAATCTTGTGGAATGATAGAAAAAACGTTTGGATAATAACAGTGAATATTGAACGTGTAAGGATTAGTCAGGTTTTCATAAGCCTCCACCAACAAATAAAAAGACTCACAATTTCACTTTAAAATAAGGATTTATAATGGCAATCCTTATTAGTTGATTCATATAATATGGATGTGAGAGTCAATGTTCAAAATTCCATTCTTTAGTAAACTGCATGTATTCAATTAGTGTACGATGAAGGACATTGTCACTTGTAAGATGACTTTCGCAATTGTTCAATTATTGTTCTACTTTCCTCCATGATTTGTTCTGACAGTTGCTTTTTGAAAGAACACTGGGTTGTACGTATATCTTAAAATTGTTATCATGGTCTTGAGTTCTGAGCATTTGTCCTTTGCTTTCCAAATCATTGAATCATTAATCTAGTGCTTCGATTGCTTGTACGATTGTCGTGTTTCTAGTTTCTCTATTGACCACTTATTAATTTGTACGATCACAGATTCTGTTTTTGGAAACATTGGAAGGTTTTTAGAGTTTCTGTGATAATATTAGTTTTGCCTTGCTGGTTCTCTTCTTTTATCATTATTTCTTGATCGATAATCTTTGATTGCAGTTGACCTCGGGTAGTTGGTGTTTGTGAACACAGACCTCGCTTGATCATGACTTTGCTGATAGTCATGTGATGAATGTAATAATAAACGTAATTTTGACAATATTTGTATGTTTATTTATAGCCACAAACCCAGTCACAATAATATTTATAATCATAGTTATGATGATCGTATTTATAATGCAGATTACTATAAATAATATGATTGAGATTGTGAAACATTTTCTACTTCAAGCTTTAATGATACTTCGAGTTATTTTAAGAATCATTAGCCCTCAGCAAAATACTATGAAAACATGTGCTTCAGTATACTGATATTTTGTCTCCTTAAAAGAACTGAAGCATTTTCATAAGCATGAAAAATGCCAATGTTTTCCAATTTGTCGAAAGCTTAGCTTCAAATTTCAAAAAACGTATAATTGAAAGTCTGATGATCTATTTTTCTTCTGTTATGATAAAATACTTTCTACTTGGAAAACCTGACAAAAATTCCTTTTAATTATAAAGGTGGGCTTAATCTTCAAGTAAACAAGGCTGAAGTCAATCTTCCTCCACAAAATGGATCCTTACTTGATAGTGGCATTTCTTTATCTTATCTTAACAATACGTTCGAAATTTCAACACCTCTTGGGAATGGAGTACGAATAAATGTAGCAGCAAATGGTACATTTTTTACTTTTGTCGTTGCTTTGCTGCAAGAATATAAAAACTCATCGCTAGGACTCGCTGGGAAATGGAATGATGATATTGAAGACGAATTTACTCTTCCCAATGGAACAGTTTTACCAATTGAAGCTAGTGATTCACAAATTTTCTATAACTTTGGAGAATTGTGTAAGTGCGTTTTGCACAAAAGGAAATTTTTTCTTTGACATTTTTTGTATCAGAGTGGTCTTTGACAAGTTTTGTATCATGATGCAATCTTGCACAATCTTAAAATTTACAGGGAGAGTTCCAAACAACGAAGTAATTTACCAATCTGAAAATGATGAGGCTTTCAGGTGTCCTCCAAACTTTGTACCTGTGTTTATTAATGAAGCATTGAATAGTCTTAATGCCGATACCACGTTAAAAGAAGAGGCTAATAAAGTTTGCGGTGAGGATGTTACTTGCCTCTTTGATATTGGTGCAACACTTAACGTGGAGATTGGGAAGTCAACAATCGATGAAATTACCACAATAAACAATGAAATTGAAGAAGCAGGTTGGTATTGAAATAAAATTTACGAACTGGATCCTTTTCTGAAAGTTATGAAATACATTCAAACAAAGAAATGATCCGCTATAGAACTTGTCCTTTCAAATTCATGTTAATTAATTGAGGACGATTGTATGAAGACAGCTCAACGTATGAATCTATATTTTTACAAAAAAGATATCTCTTTCCATGTTTATAATCTTTTACACTACATTTAGAAAACCGGCTACCTTTTTTCATTGGAAATGTATCGACTATCAACGTAACTCTCGGAGAAACATTTAACTTGGTGTTAGAAGCAGAAGATCCTGATGGTGATGCTTTGTCTTTTGCAATTTCTTCTCTTCCCAATGGGTCTTACTTTACCCAAACTGCAAAGCATTTAAATTTTACTTGGAATGTTCAATCTGACGAAGTGGTATTATATTTTAAATTTATTTTAAATTACAGGTCGATACAATAAAAACAAACTGTTTTGGTGTCAGTCATTCTAATTTCTTTAAAAATGAAATTCATCAGAGTTTACTTTTTTAGGTTGGTCTTACATTCATTGTCACTGATTCAAAGAATGGATCGGCAACACTGAATCCAGCTATCCAACTTTGTAAATGTCAAAATGGTGCTTGTTTTGTACCTGCAGCAACATCCGACGAAGTAGCTGCATCTAAATCTTCATTTCTTATAATGTCTTGCGCATGTCAAATGGGCTACACTGGTCGATTTTGTGAATCAATCCAAGATTTCTGTGAAGGTGGTTTGTCACCACCCTGTCATCCCTTGGTTACTTGCACCAACAAACCAACTGGTCCAGAATGTGGCGGTTGTCCCAGTGGATATGAAGGAAACGGATTATTTTGCCTTGGTAAGAAGCTTAATTGATTAGTTGTCGAGACTCGAGTGCTTCTAGTTATCAAAAATGAACAACTATCAAAATCTTTAAAAATAGCTGTGCATTTTATATGTCTGGTGTTAAATTTGAAAGATTTTGAAAGAAAATTGCAATGGCAAAATGATGGAAAAGTAAAAGTTGAAGCCTTAAATTAGCAGCTTTTAAAATGCATTGAGTCTGCTTATTATATTCTGCATTTTCATTATTTTTAATGAAACATAATTTTGACGTTTTTCTCAATGTATGATACTAAAATTATGTGCTTAGATCTCACTGAAGCCTAAACTAAAAAGCAATCTCCTTTTCAAAGATTCGGGTTCAGATTTTCTTCGTCCGTCCATTTTTTCTCTGGCTACCAAAAACAAGCTGGAGTTTGAAATTGAATATTACGTACTTTGCAAGGCAAGATTACATAAATTTCGTGAGTAACCCGAAGCCCTTACAACTATAAAATTTTCTTGGCTTGTTTCAAGCGTGAGTGTCACAAATGACAAGGATAATGAAACATGATTTACTAATACATAATATATTGCCACATGTGAGATTGCACTTACGTGATTTTCGTTGTTATATTATTTAAATATATTATTTAAATACATACATGCATGTGTTCAGCATGGGCGTGCTTATCATGGATAAAATCACAACAAGTTCCGTGAAAGTAAAATGTATCCATACACTGTAGTCAGTTTACGTGTGGACCCTGAAACTATTGTAACAAGAATCTGATCTTCAACAAAAGTATTTCTGATTAAAAAATATCCGAGTAGTGTGAAAACGGTCAAAATATAATTAAAAAGACGTCTTTAATGCGTTCACCTAAGCCACTCGAGCTGGACTGGTGAAATTCACCCCAAAACCATTTCCCATGTGGTAATTTACATTTTTTGATTTCCTGCAATTTGATTGGCTGCAGCAGTGGGCAGCTTTACCATATCTTGACCGTAGTCCAAAAGTCATATTATTTTCATATTATGTATTTGTTTACAAAGTGAAATTTAAATTTTTAAAATTGATTTAAAAGCGATGTTAATTGTTCAACGAGAAAGAAAAAAGTATTTAGTTGTTAGTTATCATAGCGATCGTAAATTTTATTATCCAAACGAAGTGAAATTTGTAGTCAATTTTAGTCTCAACATCAAAACGCATCGGCCATTTCACAACGTGAACTTTTTCCATCATAAAAATGAAAAAAAAATAATTACATTGTTTAAAGTTTAGGTCGGTCCGAAAAATATTTTCGTTCTGTCAAGCCGGTTAATAACTTATTATGTTAATCAGAGTGCGTTACGTCAAACAATCCAAGATATAGTTTGATTGGTGCGCTATCTCGTGACTTGATGGAAAAATTCAAAGGCATTTTGAAATAGAGAGTAGAATGACGAATGGGATTGGAAATTTAAGAGTATCTCAACCCGCTATGTGAAAATGTAGTTTTTGTTTTCCATCTTGTGTTTTCGTTTAGATGTGGATGAGTGCACAGAAGGTGTGAGTGGGTGCAATCAACGTTGCACAAATAACGCAGGCTCCTTTAAATGTTCTTGTATGAATGGGTTTACTTTAGACTCGGATGAAAGAACTTGCAATGGTGAATATAAAATTTCTTCATGACTTAAATTCTCAATAAAATGCTCATTAATGTACAGCTGTGACAGTTTATCTAGAAACCAAAGGTAAAGACAAATTGTAAAAAAACTTGATCACATCTTTCTTTTAATCTAGACATTAATGAATGCAGAAGACCAAATGATTGTGCTCAGATTTGTAGAAATAACATTGGCTCATTCAGTTGTGGTTGTCGTTTTGGATTCGTGGTTGATCCAAATAATTTGCAAAACTGTATAGGTAATTAAAAAAACCTTCGTGCGCCACTGTTCATATTCTGATATTTTAATTATCATTTCGAATTCAAACAGGCAACGGTTAAAAATTTTTTCGTTGTTCAAGAATCCACATCTTTATCATTTTTAGCTCAAACAAAGTGCAGCGAAAACCACAATTGTTCGCAAGAATGTTTTTTTGATAGTTCAAAAGGAGAAACATGTATGTGCCGTTCTGGATACTTACTTCAATCTGACGAGAAAACGTGTGAAGGTGTGTTAAACAATTTATAATTATGGTTGTAGTCAGACACAAGCAAGCTCCTCAGTTTTTTAAATACTTCACCTAGTGGATTTGTTGGTTAACATTTATGTGTTCATATCGAGTAAAATATGTGATGCAATATCTGAAATAGATATTTGATTTGTGTTAAGGGATCAAGAGAGGCGTATTCCTTGAAAAAGTAGCTAATATAATTTTTTTCTTACCAAAAATGCAAGTGCAAAATGATTGCTTTGTCATTGTGTAAACACTAGATAGATAGTTAGATAACTTTATTCTTCCACGCTGGTATCGTCACTCGTCAGAAAAAGCTGGTTTCTACGATATGCGTGTAAAATATAAACAGAATTTAAAGTGTAACCATAATTGCAACACGTAACTGAAATACATAAGATGATGTATATACTAAATAGTACTATAAAAGATTGACATGAAAATCTAGAAGATGAGGTACTTAAAAACATAATACGCTATTTACAACCAATGAGTAGCGATTTTTTCAAAGAGACACTCTCTCAAGTCAGTTGGCAAAGAGTTCCATAGGACAGCTACCTCAAACATAGAACTTTTTTCATGTTATTAGTAAGTGGTAAAGGCAAATGACCTAAGCTGTGGCTTATTAAACGAATGTGGCTAAATGAACTAAGCTGCGGATGTAGTCATAAATTAATAAATATAAGAACATTTAGCCAACAGCTAAAACTCTATTGACAGAGGCCCCTCGTTATGCGCTGAAAGGATTAAGGATCATAGCAAAAATATATTTCGATAAAATTGTTTCGTTAAGCAATTTACTACTTTAAATTTTTTGTTTCTAGAGTTCTTTGATTATTTCTTTTTGAATAATATTAACACAAAAAATTTATGCTTTATATGTGACTATATGCTTTGTTACTATATTTTTTTAGACATTAATGAATGTACAAATCCACGAAGTAACCTCTGCTCCCAAAGGTGCCAAAATACAATAGGAAGTTACAATTGCATATGTTTACCTGGATACACTTTGACAGGAATAACGAATTGCGAAGGTTGGTGAATTTATTAAAATTACTCTAAATTTGTAGATGGGACATAGTTATTAACACTTACAGTTTCATTTATTAAATTAGCACTAACTTCCATACAAACGTTTAGCAACGCGATACATAAAACTGATACAAGACCCTTTTGTAAACTACGATTGTCAAATTAAGTAGAATACTTCTCTATAGCATTATTTTTCACTCAAATTAATAGCATCCAACGAGTCTTACTGCAGAGTCTAAAACAATTTGATGCAAAAATAACTATACGGGGTTAAATCTGTATTTCATTACAATCTTCCCAACTTTGACAATAAGTCAAGGACAACACACGTAGTAATAGAAAAATATTGCAGCAGAATTGGAATGGACTAAAAAAGGTAAAAATTGAATTTTTCAATTTTTCCTTTCGAAAGAATTTCAAAAAGTCCATATTCAAGAAACTCAAAAAATCCAAATGGGCAACCCTTCGGTATGGGTTATTGTTAAGTTGTCCTGTAAATTAGATATGTCAGATGTATGGATTCAAACCATTTTAGTCTTCAAGGTCGCAATATTTCCAAGATTTTTGATGGCATATTTTCTTCAATGAATTATTTTCTTTGACATAAGTGAGTTGTGTTTACAATTTGCAACAGCAAAGACTTGAAAGTGCAAAAAGTGTCATATAGACCAAGGGAAAATACGTTTGAACGTATTTTCCTTTATACAAATTGGTGGTTGTTTCCATTTTTTTGAAGACATTAATGAGTGCTTAATGGGCAGTTTTCGTGCAATGGAACCGGAGAAGTGTGTGAAAATCTCCTGGTGGCTTCAGATGTAGATGCTCAAGAGGATTAAACTTAGTCCTGGAAAATGGTAGATGCGTATGTAAGTAGCTACTTCTTATTAAAAGACACTTTTTTATTATATGAACACCATCACAAATAGCTACCATCACAAATACCATCTTACCAGAACTTGATATAGGTGAAATTTTATTCTTTGAAAATTTAAAATCAGTGATTTTGTACATAAATATAAAATTGGGCACCTAAATACAAAGTGTATGAAAAACAAAAAAAATTATAAAGTCTAGAAATCCATCATTTTATCAAAATTTCTGGTAAACGTGTTCACGTCTTAGTATTTTGGCATCGTCTGGTTTATCGAAAAGTAAAAACAATCTGCGAAATGAATCTGAAAAGCGCGGATTCCGTTTGTAAAGTTTCATCGTCAACCGCCTGGGCAAAGAAAAACGAGAGGTTCAAAATATAATTGAATTCAACGAAGTAAATGTTTGAACTCTCTTGTGCACTGCACCAAAATTTAGACAATATGAAAACACAAAGTCTGCCACATAATATGTTCAAATTGCGCGTTTTAGCAAGCTACCATTTGTCCCTTTTTACAAAACTTCTACTCTATTGAAATTTAAGTTTTTAATGTAAGCTACGTCAAATCAAGCTACAATGCACAACAGGGTTTCACCTCTTCAAATCATATTAGATTTTGAATATCTTTGCATAATCAAACGCTCAAAATTGAGGCATTAAGAATCTGCTTTCCTACTCTTCAAGAGTAATTTTCTGATGCCAAAATACTTTAATGCATTTTGATAAAGTTTGAGAAAATGATAGCTCTCTGGATCCACTAATGTACTTATGAAAAACAGTCGAAAACGTGAGCTCAAGAAAATCGAATGATAAATTAAGTTTTATCCAGAAATAAACTTTAAAAATTAACCATCTGACTGTTTTATAGTTCAAGACGGAAATGTTGTGGTTGATGGTGCTCCACCACCACCTAAGGCAAACAACGAACAAATAAATAATGCTGTGGAAATAACAATCGTCAACTTCCAGACCTCAAATGTAAGAAGTTTTACAAAATCTCCAAAATAATATAAACGTGAAATCTGCCGTAGTTAAAAATATTGCATTAAATTTCTTTCTTCAGTACACAGAAGAGATAAACGACAAATTCAAACAAGAGGTGGCCGATTTACTTAATGCCTTTTGCAACGAGAATGAACTACGTCCTCAAGATTGTGGCGTGTCGCAGTGAGTATCTCTTTCGTGTAGTGGTAATTAGACATGTGATTGAATGAGTGGTTTATGAGTAATGACTAATAAAAATTCGTAATACAACGATGGTGACACTGATATGATTTTTCTTTCTAACTTTAAAACGAGATTGCAGACATGCGAAATTCCAAAAACAATTAAGAGAATAGTCTTAAAAGTCCATTTAAAAAAAATAGCCCTTCAAAGGCGGAACGAAAATCTTAGGAGGCATATTTTTTCACACTTATAGAAACTCTTTGCAGCTTAGTGTACTTAACGTGGAAAGACTTCCTGGTTATCCAAATAACACTGGAAACAACGTCACTCTAAGATTTTATGTTGATTATCCAGAAGATATTCGAAATGGTACAATGAACAGAGCAACATTAGGATCAATTGTTTTCACCGAATTGCAAAAATTGCAAACCGCTCTAAGCCTGACATTAATTGTTAACACACCACTACTTGGAGATGTGACACCACCATCTGCAGCACAACTCAATAACACCGTCTTGCTAACCATTTCCAATTTTGCAGCGAACCAGGTATTAAACGTGGTTGTAGAAAATAGTGTTATGTTGCATTTTTGATCACAAGTTTATGTTACGTGCATTATAGCCATTGATATGTATATTACATGGTCGTGGTTAGTGCAAAATTTGAAGCCGGAAGTAGACTGCTATAATTAGATGCGCCGCCATATTGAACAGTCCCACTCATAATACCAATCTTTAGTAAAGAACCACGATGAATTTTGGAGCGTATTGTACTAATACACCCTAAAAAATCTTTCAACTTGAACCTAGAAGCATTCTATCGCGATAGTATCTCTCAAATGGTGTCACGAAAATATTGGAATAAATCCTTTCTTAATAGTACAACTGCTTACTACACCTTGTTAAAGCTAATACGTAACAGTTTTGTCAATGCTCCATAAGAGACGCTTCTCGCAGCAGAAATTGATATAATTTGTATGTCACCCTCGTGAAGTGGGACTGTTCAATACGGCCGCCTTCCGACATGAAATTTAATTAGTGATGCGTGTCATGTAATATACATATCAATGGTATAGCACGGTAGTTGGGATTGGTTTGTCGCACTGGAACAATGTAATCATGTTATGAATAAATAACTATTTAAAAAGTATACGGTTACGCATTTTAAAGAGTACTTGTTGCCCTTTCAAGCAATAATCATCGTATTTAATATATAACTTGCATATTTAGTGGACAACATTATACGACAGAATTTTCAGAAGAGCAGTGGCTGTCACTATTAATAAATATTGTGAAAGGGACAACTACACTCGTTCTCAAGATTGCCTTCTACTAGGGTGAGTCAACTCATTCAAAACTAATTATTTACCGGTGTTTTTTTTTATCATTGCCACACGCGATGGTATCATTCACTAAAGTCACCCTTACAAATTCAAGGATACCGCATACATAGTAAAGCATAATAGTTAATTTAAACTAAAATATCATTTAGTTCTTACTTAATATTTATCTAGTATCATTTAGTATCATTTAATGGTCAATATAGAGAACGAAGTATAAAAAACGAGGCATATTGAATAAGTGGATAGTGAGAGACGGGTATTCTATAATCTAGCCACGTTTTGTGAGACTACTTGACAATTGTAAATTCACTAAATTGTATTCAATTATTTCGTACTGACATTTGAAGTAAATTATTTTAAAAATTAAATCTTTCTGTCTTTTACATCTCAAGTTTCTCACTACTTCTTTTTCAGCTCCGACAGTTTCCAGGAAGGACAAGTTAGTCGGACACCAGGCTATCCACGTGCGAATGGGCAAGGTGTTGATATCCAATTTTATGTCAATCAAAAAAACTCACAAAAGCCTCTTCCTCGTCTTACACTTGCATCAATACTAGCTGAAACACCTCTAGAGGATGCCCTGTCACGAAAAGTTGAAATACGATCTTCATTTAAGCCCCTGGACCCACCACTTGCTAGCTCTGAACAAATGTCTAACAGTGTTGTCATAAGAATCGAGTTTAGTTTGAACCAGGTCAGTTAGAAACTGCATCCATTTAAATTATGAAATTTAAAGTATATTTTCAAATTTACATGAAATGTGCACCGGATTTAAAAAAAATCTTTTCTTCTTTAGTGGAACTACTTGATCGACCGTCGATTGAGAGCAACTGCTATTGCCCCACGTATTACCGAGTATTGTAGTTCAAATAACATAGATTGCCAAGTACAGAATGGGTATGAAGAGCGTTGTTTAACAATTTGACATATTTTGAATACAGCCTAAAATTATGTAGATGCATGTGTTTAGTTTTTATGATCCTATTAAACTAGCCAAATTGTCCAGAAAAAAGATTCCCTAAATTTGCAAAACATCGCGAAATTAATTCACCAACAACTATTTTTCAATTTCAAACAATTTCAATTGTGAAAGTATTTGTTTACTTAGTGCAATTATTCCTATACAGTGCAATTACATGAATGTACAATACAATAACACATTTCTGCAGAACAATTACGTATTTTTACAGTGTAGCTACACATTGCAATTACACGTTTTGCTGGGCAATTACAGCAAAAAACTGTACTGCAATCAACTAATCATAGCGGAAAATACTTCAAAGTAAATATTATTAACAGCGCAGTTAGTGGACATTTGTACTGTGTAATTACAAATTTTTGTAGGCCAAGTACAAAATTTCTCAGTACATTAACCGATAAAACGAAATGACATTCGACAAATATCTCAAAGTATTTTATAAAGCTAATACTGAATAAATTCCTTAATCACTTAACCACCGGCGTCAAGAACAGTTCTCCAACTCTTGACTACTCCACTTAATCCACACATGACCATATCTGACCTATACTTTTTAACCATGTTAACCGGAGCAGATCAATTCATGTAACTAACCCAAAATTGTTCGGTTTTTTATACGATTTGTAGACAATAGCTATGTTAATAATGTTTTCGCGGCAGCAGGTTAACACGTTGTATTATTTTGTTTTTTATTTAGCAGTCCAAAGCGATATTTTTTATTTATAGCAATTTGATTGGCTGCTTGAGCGGCCAGCTTTTTACGATATTTACCTACAGGGCTTAAAACTGTTATTTTTTTCACAATGTATTTGTTTACGAAGTGAAATGCAAACTTTTAAAATTGGGCCTCGGGCCGCTTTTGACAACGAGTGAAAATATTTTTCCGTACGGACCTCCCAACCGGTATAGAACATATATATGTATATTATTACCTGTCAGTGTCTTGTGTACACGCAGTTTCTTCTACTTTCAACGATGAAGTTATACCATGAAAAAATTAAATTTTGAGCTTTAACTACGAATCTGTTTTTTGTACTGAAAAATACAAACAGAGTTAAAACGTGAGCAAGTTGAAATTGTGAGCTAGCTGAATGGATAAACTTCTATTTATATTACAATAATAAATTATGAGACTCGGCAATGCATCAATTCACTTTTACCTATAACTTAATTGTAATAAGCATGGTTAACATGGTGAAGACCGACGTCAATCCTATCACAAAGTATCATGGGCACATGGTCAATAAGCAATCCAAGTTTATTTAGGCTTACTAAAGATGTGACTAGTCGCTCTATATTGCCTCTCATTGCTCGTGATCTTGCATAACCATTGTCCCTTTGTAAAGGCTTTATTTGTTCTTGTAGCACATCGACGTCGTTTACCGTTGCTGATATCCAGCGTAATTCAAGCACAACACCCACTCAATTCAATGCCAATGAGATTGATTATAGTTTCTACGTTAACTATCCTGAACAAAACAATTCTATCACACGGGAGATCCTTGCGTCTATTGTAAAGGTTGAGTTGGGTGCAATGCAATCGTTATCAAGGCTCTTATTTTCACTTCAAACATCGTTTGCACCTTCCACTCCTCCTGAACCAACCAAACTTCAGTCCAGAAACACAGTTCAAATCAAGATCAAAAGCACAAAAGCTAATCAGGTACAACAAATAACTGATGGTGCTAAAAATTTAAAAAACACAAATAATTTAAAGTCGAAGTGGCTTCTGTTGATTGGTGTGCAAGTATCATGTAGCAATAAAATGCATGCACAAAACCTTTCTATTCAATGAACTTTCTATTTTATGAAATTAAAAATAAACTATTCAAACGTCATGAGACAGATCACTTTCTACCAGATGCAAGCCTTTGCCTTTATTTTCTATATTCAAACTTTATGTTACCCAGATCTTCGAAACTTCTCGGTTTACTTCCGCTTGCCTTGAACCAAAGCCGTAGCTAAAACGTTAATTTTGGGTGCGGTTAGTTCATGTATTCAGTTGCACCCGAAATCAGCGAGGCACAAAGGAATAAACAAATTCACCTCACCACAATTAACGTCCCAGCCATGGTCTTCCTTGAAGGCCTTGTTTACTCTTTCTAAACAAACCTTTGTTTGATTTGTAGTGGAGCGCAATTCAAGACAACAAGTTCCGAAAAGCTATTGCCTCCCAAATAACGAAATATTTCTCTGATAATTTTGCTATATGTGTATTTGAAAGGTAACTTGAATTTTCAATGTTTGTTTTTAATTATATAAGATGAAGGATTTGATAAAACTTAACAATGTTAAGACGATAATGATAATTGATTATTATTGCGAAATTCCTTAGTGCAAGATTGACAATAAAAGTCTTTTCCTAAATTAAATTCATTGATTGATATACTCTATACTATCATATTTGCCGATTTATTCATCAAATACAGTAAGTACTTATATGCAATGAATTTTAACTTTAAGCTTTAAGTTTAAACTTTTAGCATGGCTATTTTTATGTGAGAATTGACATATATAATCTTTAAAAACAATCTTAGTTTTGTGATGTCCTATTTGAAGAAATAATCGTTAAATGCACTCTTTGATTGATTCAAAAGTGCATAGAAAAATTAAACTCGAGAGAGTGATGACCTATCAAGCCAAGACCACGAATTTTAATCCTAAGGTTTTCAAAAACAAAAAAGGCCACACATATGCAATAGAATTACATTCTATATAGCTTATATATATATTGACTAATCAGAGAAAGTCGGTTTGATTCATACCCTTTTTGCCGTTTTCCTAGTAATTATACATTCTTTCACTACATGACATGATTTTTGTATTATTACCTTTAACAGTCAGTCAACATTTTACTCTTCACAAGTGATTCGTCTTAAAGATTCTCCAGTACAAGATGGCGCCGATGCTACATATACGTTCTTTGTTAACTACCTTCCACCACGGAATAGTCCCATACAACGCAATTTTCTTGCTGGGATCTTGATGAGCAAAATTAAAGAACTTCAAACGGAAACGAAATTTGATCTAATGGTGAACACATCCACATTAGCCGCACCAGCTACTGCTGCTGCAAATAATAATACTGTTATCGTTGCTGTTCTTAATTTCACAGCAGATCAAGTGAGGATATTTTCTTAAATTTAAAACGGTCTTACATATTAATGAATAAATAGCTATAAGCCGTCGCTACGTAAATTACCCCATTGGTAATCAAATTGTAGTGTTTTTGTTTAATTTCAAAAGGAAAAGCATGCATTTTTGTCATTTAATCCCCCACATAAAGTTATAAAACTCAAACAGTCTATTCTTGTAAGTAAACAGGTCAAAACCTGATTTTTATACTAGCAATATAAGCAAAGGACAAGCAAAGACAAAACAAAATACAGAAGAGTGCAGTGAAGCGTTTGAAACAAGCATCGACATAAGAATAAGCACAATCATTGCAACTTGACATAATCGAAAGATAAAACAAAGACAAATTAAAAAGAATATCTTTTTTGTTTTGTTTCCTTCAACCTTAGAAGAATATGCTTTGCTTTGTTTTCTTTGTGTTCATGTTGCTTGTGAAAACTAGGCTTAAGCAACACAGTTCATATTTACCAAGCAAAATTGACAGACAATTGATATCATATATAAATTAATGGTTACATTTCGTGAGAGCGTGTACCTTTGATCCACCTCTGATTTCTGTGTTTAACACACAACAATCTAAAATGCCGGAAGATGCATTCATCAAATTTATTACATTCTCAGGGTGTTGGTAACTCTTTTATTTTCTCTAATGCTATAACCGGCTGATAAATATATCATTCTTCAATTAGCAAAAAATTTGGAAATCAAATGATAGAGATTGAGCATATGTTATACCAACACATTATATCTATAAATGACTGTTTTCACAAAAGTAGTATGGAAAATGAAGCCGCGTGCATGTGCTACTGATATTGAAATTCATTCTTATTATCTCGCGGGTCAACAAAAATAGCTGCAATTCATGTGTGTCTGAAAAATTTTAAACCATTGGCTCTCAGTCACGACAGTGACTTTCATGAATTTCACACTTGTATAGGCAGCACTTACTGCCTATTAGGTATTTTAGTATCATTGTAAAACGAGAAGACGTGAATCAGCAAAATCCTTTAATTAAATTACAAGAAGCCTCATGTGACATTAAAACCTTGGAGAAATTAAAATTTTAATTCTTTTTTTAATTGTAATTTTAGAGACACGAAATGCAGTTTCAGTTGCAAGTCTTGTATTTTTATTTTGCCATTATCATTTTACTAATGACTTTTAATCATGCAAACATCTAATGTTTAGTGATCTCAATTTTAATCAAATGTTTTCCTCGGAATTGACCCTTCTCCTGTTTGGTATATAGGACGTTATAGATATTCGCGAGAGCATTTGTGTAAAACGCTCCACCTTAGCAAATGAAACTAGTCTGCGAGATAAAAGATAAAATTGTCTTTTAACAACATCAAGTTATATATTTATGTAAGACATTCCACAAAAGGATTACTTTATTTCCGTATTTGATTAATTTGCACTTTTCCTTTATACATAATTTATATTAGTTTACATATTTTGATATAAAAATTCTTACCTTTTAGTGGTCGGCAGTACAAGAAAATTTATTTCAATGTTACATGGCAGCAACAATTGCAGAATTCTGTACGGAAGGTCGTGAATGTAGAGCTACTAGGTAAGATGGAAATCTATGTAATAAGAGCACGATAAAGATAAATAAGATAAATCTTGTGTTGTGTAAACACTTTTATAGGAATCAAGTTTCGAAGTCCAACGTACATATTGTTCAAGGTTCTCCTAGACAAAATGCTTCAAATGTAAATATAGAGTTCTTTGTAAGCTATCCTAGTGGTGGTAACTTAGCAAAAGAACTGCTTGTGGTGATTCTTAACCGAAATCTCACGTCAATTGAATCAAACATTGGGCTTAGAATCGTTCTTCTTACAACAATCGTTGTTCCACCCCCACCAACAGCTAATGAAGATAATGAGGCCAATGCTATAAGCATCATAATAAAAAATTATCAAGCGAGCCAGGTTTGTTCGTGTCTTTTGTTTTCGTGTATATTATTTGTAGCATAGTCAGTTTTGCACAAATCTTTTCCGCACATAAACCTAACTATCCTTCTCTGTTAGGTTCCAAGAAGCGCATTTTATCAAAATATTTGAGCATGTATTGCAATATGTCTTATTTCTAAGGAAATATCTTGAATGTTGTTGAAAGCGCGTGAATATGCATCTTACAATATGCATGGTCAATCTTTCTTCTTTTGTTTGGTCTAGTGGAATCAAAGAGATACGCTTTTCCGAGAAAATATGGCGGAAGAAATCAACATTTTCTGTGCTGAGGTTGATATTTGCAATCCTCCATTGTAAGTAACATTATTCATTGTTTGAAATAGAATTAATTACTACATAATGAATTCCCAAGCTCCACTTTTACATTTTGTCAACTCTACATCTTAAGATCTTTATTGTTGCAACAATTGTTTTTCTTTACAAAAAAAATTACATTCTGCAAAAAAACCAGTGCAAAGCTGTAATTGAAGGCTTGCCAACAAAACCATGTACACAAAAACCATGTATGTAGGCAGATCTAAAGATATGACTATTCATTTATACCACGGTTTTTTTTTCATCTATTTTGATCGGTAAGTAAAAAGGTAGAAAAATATTTGATACTGGCAACGTTATTTGTAAACTGAAAAATAAAGTTGCAGGTTTATGTGCATGTAAATTCAAAGAAAACTTTGCACTAAAAACTATCGTCAAATTTTTAAACGAAAATGTGCGTTTTACAGGGATAAAGGAAACAATCTCACCGCAGAAAATATTCAACGGTTGCCTGACTTTCCAATCCAAGTTGGTAACAATGCAAATCTATCTTTTTACGCCGAGCTTCCTCACAGAAATGAGTCGTTACCTAAAGACCTTCTCGCAACAATATTCATCGAAAAACAAGATGCTATATTGTCTGGTCTGGAAATTGAAGTTCCACCTGTAGACCTCCCTCGTGCAAATCTTTCACAAGAGGAAAAGAATAACACAGTGACTCTTGCAATACTCGGTCGCAATGTCGATAAGGTAAAAATGGAATAAGTAGAAACATCTTAATTGAGCGAATAAATTGAATCATTTAGTTTTAAATTCGACATATTAATATATGTAGCTAAGAGCATCTAATTTCAGCAAATTTGAGGTTGTTTTTTGTATCAATTTCAAAAGGTAAATCTGTTTGTCATTTTTGAAATAAGAAGAGTAATGGCAGAAAGAATGAACGAATTCTGTTCTAGTACTGACATAGATATTTGCCGACTTCAGAGAAATAGGTAAGTTGACTTTTGACAGTATTGATGGAAGTATGATTTCAGCTGGTTTAGTACTAAAAATGTGTAAATTTTTATATTTCGTCCTGTATTCTAAGAATCAATTACAAACTTCGTAGAAGCAAGACCATAAACCTATTGATCCATTCTTAATAGTTTTAGTGGTTGGCACTAGATACTATAAGAGTAACTTTGACATCAGTATCTAATATGTTTCATAATTTGTTTTTAGTCGAAGAAAGAAAAGAGCAATTATGTAAGTTGTGACACTTAAGTGGTAATTATGTTGATTTTAGTCAAGTGTAAGATTTAACACACCGTTTTTGTGATTGAACTTGGATGAAAGAAGAATTGAAATCAAATGGTCATTACAAGCACATGCCATGTAACTGATTTCTAACTGACTAGAAGAGCTCATAAAAATTTACTTCTCTCAACAGTGGCCAAACATTTAATGAAAGTGACATTACCATCGACACAGATGCTCTTACTAGTGTTGGAGGGCGTGCAGTGTTAGAAATAAGCGTCAACAAGCCTGGTACAACAGATCCAGTGGAAAAAACTCTTGTTGAAGAAGCCTTAAGTCAACCTTTACGAGGCAACAATCTTCAACTGACTCTTTCTGAACCAATAAGAAACATAGCAAGTCATCCTAATGCAATAACTCTTAGGTTGAGAAATTTTAATCGATTACAGGTGAGTAAATGAAGACATTCGTTTGTTACTTAAACGTTCGTTAACTTAAGCAAAGTGTAATTGATAATAACTGTATGTTTGATGAAAGCCCTATAATTATATTTAAAACATTTAACAAACATCTGGAAACTTATTTATCCCAAAATTAAAACGCAAGGCATGAGATTAATGTTATTATGAAGCTGGCGTCAACATTTAACCGAATTTGCCAGTGTGTGTATAATGTAAATACTGACTAACGTCATTTGTTAATCTAAGTTTTCCAAGACTATAGTCTTTATTTGTAGAAAATAAAAATATATGCAAGAGAAAATGGCTGCGCTAATGTAAATAGTATGAACATCAGCTCCACTTATAATGCCTGTATCAATTACAATATCAATATCTGCAGCATTTTGTTTACAACTTTCTACCATGTTTAATGTTTCCCTTTACCCTTTCTACCATAGTTTAATGACACAAAACCTTTCTACAATGGTTTGATGACACAAATACTCAATGACATATCGCTTTGATTTTATTAAATTTTGTTGAAATTACTTTCCATTTTAGTGGACACCATCCCTAGAAGTATCATTTCGTTACAACGTGTCAAAGGCTGTCATTGGGTTTTGCAATTTGAGATTGAATTTGTGTAACTTCACCAGGTAGGAATTAATTAATTAATTTATTAATTAATTAATGTAATTAATTAAATGAAGAAGATTTTAATTAAATTTTATTTTCTGGTTTGACTTAAATAGTATTTCGTTATGATAAATAAGATCTGTGCTTTGAGAGATAAAGAAGCAAGAACAAGAAAAAAACTAATTTTCAATGATCATTTCTACCATAGAAATGAAGTGAATAACATCAACTTCAGAAACGTAGAAATATTAACAGGCTCTCCTTTGCAAAATGGAGTGGATTCGCTGTTGTCCTTCTTTATTCTACAACCTGAGGGATCAACATTGTCTCCAGTGGTCCTTGCAACTATTGTGGAGTTAGTAAGAGTATTACCTAACTCCTACTCCGTGGAAACACCAGCAGTAAATGTCAACTTGTCACAACTGCAAGAGTCAAATCTTGTAAATCTCTTAATACTTGATAACAGAACCATCAACGATGAGGTGATTATAGCCATTCGTGAAACTTAATTTGCCTTGCTATCTTTATATTATTAACATCTGTTGTTTCATTTCAATTGAAATATTCCTGTACGAGTGTCTTTGAAATCATTCACGATAAAACGAATAACATGTTTAGTGGTGTTGTTATCATTGTATTCTTGACTTTAGGCACTGAAACTGGACATAGAAATTTCGATAGCGAAGAGATTAAATACGTATTGCTTCAATAGAAATGCTTCTGAAGTTTGCTCGTCTGACAAGTATGTTAATGTATTCAAAATATAAACATAACCTATTAACAAAAAGGGCTCTATCAATTGGCGTGCTTGTGAAGTTTTTCGGAAAATGCCATAAACTAAAATACAAGTTGTTAGCAGAGTATTGAAAAAATAATTTACAAGCCAATGAATCTTAACTTGCTATTATATAGGAATTTTACCCTCAACGAAATAATAACTCAAATTGATACATCAAATGTGATCCGTTTTGTCGTTTTAAATCCTGTCACAACCAATCCAATATCATCAAAAAACGTTCAGGAGGCAATAAATGGAAGTTTTACGTCAGATATTTTCAAATTACGACTTTCTATCACCATCCCTCCACTACCTGATCCAGACGCGGCCAATGCTGTCAGCATCTTACTAAAGGATTTTACTGCAAGCGAGGTTTGTTTGTGTCAGTTATTTACACCTATTCTAATATAAAATGAACAAAGTCGGCTACAAAGAAAATTTTCCCGCATTAAAACAGCAAAGAGCAAATCTGAATCCAACAGTTTCACTGTAAAAGTACATCTTGCAATTGATAATCGTCTATTATCTTGTAGCGAATATCAAAACGTGCATTTTTTATTACAGTCTTCTGCTCATTTTTTATCTTTTCTACTTTTAGTGGAGCACAAGAGATTTGGTTTTCCGGCAGAAAATGGCTGAACAAATAAACGTTTTCTGTGATGAAGTCAATATTTGCAATTCTCCTTTGTAAGTAAAGTTTTCTTTGTTTGAAATAGATTTGCTTGTCTTGCTAGAGCAACCATGAAAGGAATTCACAATGAACAAATACTTACTTAATGTGTACTTTTAAAAACCTTAAATCTTTCTGAGTTGTTTTAAGTAACTTATCCTATATGTATGACTAAAACATATAAAATCTCGGTTCCTATTTATTTATGCATGCCTGTGTGCATGTTTTGTGTGGATATCCCCCATTCGTCACAATTGTACATAATTTCAAAGGAAAATTTGAACTAGAAATTATTGTAAAATGTTTTCACAAGAAAATGAACAATTTTCAGGTCCAAAGAAATCAACCTCACAGCAGAAAATATTCAAAGGCTGCCGGATTCACCATTCCAAGATGGCAAAGATGCAAATCTATCCTTTTACGTAAAAGTTCCTCACAGAAATGGATCATTTCCTAAAAATCTTCTGGCGACAATCTTTACGGAAAACAAGATGTGGTATTGCCTGGCATAGAGGTTTCAACTCCACCTGTAGACCTCCCTCGTGAAACACTTTCATCTGAGCAGAAGAATAACACAGTGACTCTTGCTATACATGGTCGCGATGTCAATAAGGTAAAAATGCAATTAGTAAGAACATCTTATTTTGAACAAATAGGACGAAAAGGTTGATAAAAATTAAATAATTTAGGTTTGAATATGTTATACTGATACGTATAACTGAGAACATTAATTTTAGCATGTTTATTATTTGAAAGCTTGTTTTTTGTATCGCCTTCATTATCAGAGCAAAATGCACAGATTAATTGAAATGGGAATGAAAAAAAATCAATAAAATGATTTCTATTAATTTTTACATTTAAGGTCAATCTGTTTGTATTTTTTGAAATACGAAGAGCAATGGCAGAAAGAATGAACGAGTTTTGTTCGAGTACTGACGTAGATATTTGCCGACTTGAAAGAAATGGGTAAGTTGACAGTCTTTCATATATATTCATGTTTTCAATTGATACCAAACGAAAAAATATGCTTCATTTTATACTTCATGAGAATGTCAGTTCGCAATGAAATTTAGTTTAGTCAACTTAATTCTCACTCGTCAAATTTTAAATTTCATCCTGTGAAATCAATTGCAGTCTTTTAAGAATCTGGACCATGAATCCACAGATTCAGATTTGATGCAAAGAGTAACTTTGTCATTCTTATCTTATATGTTTCATAATTTACGTTTTCAGTCAAAGAAAGAAAAGAGCAATTACGTAAGTGGTGACATTTAAGTTGTAATTATGTTGATTTTAGTCAAGTATAACAATAAACCGAAATCTTTGACATTGGGTTTGGATGAAAGAAGATTTGAAATCAACCAGCCAGTAAAAGCGTATGCCATAACCGATTTAAAACGGTTGCTTCATCAATTTCACTCTTTTAAAAAAAGAGATCATAAATATTTTACTTCTCTACAGTGGCCAAAGATTTAATGGAAATGATATTACGATCGACACGGATTCCATTACCAGTGTTGGAGGACGTGCAGAGTTAGGAATCGGTGTCAACAAGCCCGGTGCAAGAGATCCAGTCGAAAAAGTAATCGTTGAAGAAGCCTTAAGTCAACCCTTACAAGGCAACAATCTTCAACTGACTGTCGCTGAACCAATGATAAATACAACAAATCATCCAAACGCAGTAACTCTTACGCTGAGGAATTTCAATCGTTCACAGGTGAGTGAATAAAGACATTCATCTTGCAACTCAAACGTTCACGCAAAGTGCAACGAGGGTAACTACGTTGCATTGATGCCTTTTCAATGTTACTAACATTTAACTAACGCCTGGAAACTAAGTCATCCCGAAACATGAAAAGTAGGTATATGTATATGCTGTCAAATCATAAGGCATGAGATTAATGTTCAGGCGTCAAAATTCAAACGATTATCCCAGTGTCTGTATGATATCAGAGTGTAGGAAATATACAGTAGGGCCACTTCAATGTGCAACTGGCTGCTGTATATTTAAAAATATTAAAGCCATTTCATTATTCTTATTGGTCAGAAATTGTAATTTACTGGCTGCCACTATGGTAATCACATGCGCAATGAGATATGCGTGGCACAAAAAATTCAATGGAGTGGCTCTGTATGTTCTTTTATACTGTGATGATATCATAGGAATGCCAAGTTAAACGACTAATATGTTACTTACATTAGAATATTGCGCCTTTTATCAAAGGACAAAAATATCTTTATTACTTATCAAAGTTGCCACTAAAAAATATAATTTGAAAAATAAACGAAGATATTTTAAATTATACCCATATCTACAAAGTCATTAGAGCCTGCGGCGTTTTAATATTTAAATTTTAGACTACTACCATAGTTGATTTTTTTAGAAATTCATTGCTTTTGCAGTGAGTGAACACTGATAAGTGACATTGCAGGACTAAATAAGCAGTCTACACCAGTGATTAGAACTCGTAAATGGTAACTCTTTAATTTAAGAGCTCTACATTTTTCTTAGCAGTCATAAGCGCAGCGAGGGGGAAAGCAATTCTTTTTCTCTCTAATGATCATATGTAAAAGTAAACACATTGCCTGTGTCAGTGTAAATGGTGTAAATAGTATAAACATCAGCTCTACTTATGATGCCTAATTTATTTTAAAAATATCAATATTTTCAGCATGTTGTTTAAAATTTCACACTATGGTTTGCATGGCACAAATACTCAAAAACATATTATTTTGACTTCATTAAATTTTGTTAAAATTACTTTTCATTCAAGTGGACACCATCCCTTGAAATATCGTTTCGTTACAACGTGTCGCAGGCTGTCATTGGGTTTTGCAGTTTGAGATTGAATTTGTGTAACTTTACCAGGTAGGAATTGCTAGGATTTTAATTATTCATATAAAGGCTGGATTTGAATTAATTTTCATTTTCTGGATTTGCAATAAAAAGTATTTCATTTGAATGAACAAACTCTGTGCTTGTAGAGTATATAAGACGCAAGAACAAGAAAAATAATTGTCATTCATCAATCATTTCTACCTTAGAAATCAAGTGAATAACATCGATTTCCAAAACGTCGAAATATTAACAGGCTCTCCATCACAAAATGGAGTAGATTTACTGTTATCCTTCTTTATTCAAAAACCCGAGGGATCGACATTGTCTCCAGTGGTCCTTGCAACTATTGTGGAGTTAGTAAGAATATTACCTAACTCCTACTCTGTGGAAACATCAGCAGTAGATGTCAACCTGTCACAACAGCAGCGGTCAAATCTTGTAAATCTCACAATATTCGAGAGCAGAATTATCAACGATGAGGTGAACATCCTTAATGATATCAATACACTCTTGTGATGAAAGCCATTTATGTAACTTTGAACTGCAATATCTATATTATTAACATCTGTTATTTCTTTTTAATTGAAATATTCCTAGTATGTGTATCTTTGAAATCATTCACGATAAAACGATTGGCATAGTTTAGTGGTGTTATTATCTTTGCCCTTTCACTTTAGGCGCTGAAATTGACATTGAAATTTCGATAGCAAAGAGACTAAACATGTATTGTTCCAACAGAAATGCTTCAGAAGTTTGTCAGTCTAACAAGTAGGTTGATGTACTCAAAATATGGACGTGACCTATTAATAAAAAATTCCACAGCACATATGGCGTACTTGTAAAGTTTTTTAGCTCAATATAAAACGGAGGTTTTCTGTTGTTAATAAAAGTTATTAGCATTGGGTTTGAAAAAATACTTACAAGCCAATGAATGATCAATTGCTTTTATATAGGAATTTCACCTTCAGCGATATCATTACTCGAGTTGATACGCCAAATCTGATCCGTTTCGTCGTTTTAAATCCCGCCACAACCAATCCAATATCATCTAATGATGTCCAGGAGACCATAAGTGGAAATTTCACGTCAAACATTTTTAAAATACGACTTTCTATCGCAGCCTCTCCCACCACAGCCCCTCCAACCTCAGGTTCATCTTCCACCCCACAGCCACCACAACCCGATCCAAACTTGGCCAATGCTATCAGCATCATACTGAAGAATTTTACTGCGAGAGAGGTTTGCTTGTGTCAATTATTTCACGTATTCGACTAAAAAAAGACAAAGTTAGCTACTTAAGTTCTTCTGCTTTCAAAAAATGGGCTGCATTTTATTACAGACTCACTATTAGAGCATATCTTGCAATTTATTTAAGTCCCATAATTGTGTGGTGAGTTTACAAATGTGCATCTTTCAACATGATCAATTGTTTCATTTTATCATTTCTACTTTTAGTGGGGCACAATAGATTTGGTTTTCCGACAAAAAATGGCTGAACAAATCAACGTTTTCTGTGTTGAGGAGACTATTTGTCATCCAACGTTGTAAGTAAAGTTTTCTTTGCATGAAAAAATAATTTTAAAAATGAGACTTTTAGACAATACATACGTGAAAGTCACGGAGATCAAGTGCATGACAATCAATGCACATAGTGTTGCTAGATTGTGAAGAAAGTTCACAGATTTGTAAACTTTTGCTCTCTTCATGAACATTAAAAGTTTGTGAACTTTTTGTGAACTTTCCAAAATTATATGAATTTTTGTATTTTCATCTTTTTAATAAAGAAAGTACAGTAAATCATAGGTCAATGGAAGTGCATTCTTCATAGCTCGACAATTGTTTCAAAACAACGACGATTTTCAAGATAATGATTGATTTCTAGTAATTTCCGTAATTCCGAGAGTTGTCGACACTACTGTAAAATCTTTTCACATAAAATGTACATTTTCAGGCCCAAAGGAATCAACATCACAGCAAAAAATATTGAAAGGCTGCCCAACTCGCCATTCCAAGTTGGTAATAATGCAAATCTATCCTTTTACGTGAAGATTCCTCCCACAAATGAATCATTGCCTAAAGATCTTCTGACAACAATCTTTACGGAAAAACAAGATGAGATATTGGCTGTTTTGCCAGGTGTACTGATTGAATCTCCTCCAGTAGACCTCCCTCGTCAAATACTTTCACCTGAGCAGAAGAATAACACAGTGAGACTTACGATATTCGATCGTGATGTCAGTAAGGTGACTATGCAATATGTAAAAAAACATTGTATATTAGTCGAATAAATTTAATCACTCAGGTTTAAAATAAGGGTTAAAAACTCTATTTATGTGATGGTAATATTTACACTGCGAGCAGAAAATTTTAGCCTTTTATAAAAGTTATGAATTTCGTGAAAATCGTTTTGTCAATTAGAGCAAAATGAGTAATTTAAAATAGTAATTCATAGAAAAATTTAATGCAGCAAGTTATATTATTTTTTACATTTAAGATAACTCTTCTCGTCATTGTTGAAATAAGAACAGCGATGGTACAAAGAATGAACATGTTTTGTTTCGGTACTGATGGGGACGTTTGTCAACTTCAAAGCAATCTGTAAGTTGACTGTCTTTTATAGTGATGTGTGCAAAAGATAGTTACTCTTAAAACGACCGAATTCTTAAATTTCATCGTGACCTCGCCAATTAAAAATCCATTGCATCTTTCTTAGAAGATAGACTAAATCTATGGGTCTATAGACACATTTAGCCCTGATTCAAAGAGTACCTTTGACATCCATATACTTTATGTGTTACATAATTTACATTTTTAGTCGAAGAAAGAAAAGAGAAGCTACGTAAGTCTTAAAGATATTTATGTTGCAACATTGTTCATTTTTCTCAACGCACTATATACAACCCGCAGTTGTTGGGATTGAATTAAATGATAGAAGATCTAAAGTTAACTAGTCATTAAAAGAGCATGGTTTCGTTTATTTAGAACGATGCGATCATTTAGTTAATGTTTTACTTTTTTCAAAACAAAACAGATCAATAAAAATTTTGCTTTTCTCTACAGTGGCCAAAGATTTAATGAAAGTGACATTACTTTCGACACAGACTCCATTGCCAGTGATGAAGGAAGTACTGGGCTAGGAATAGGCGTAAATAAGCCTGGTACAACTGAGCCAGTCAAAAAAACTGTTCTTCAAGATGCTTTAAGCACACCCTTACAAACCAAAAATCTGCGACTGGCCGTTCTTGAAGCAGTGAGGAATTTAACAAGTCATCAAAATACAATGGCGATGACGATGATGACGACGATAACGATAATGACAACAACGACGACGATGAAAACGCCGACGATTACAAAGCCGACGATGACAACGCCGACGATGGCAACGCCGACGATGAAAACGCCGACGATGGCAACGCCGACGATGACAACGCCGATGGCGACAGATGACGATGTCGATTTGCCGTTAATATTGGGTTTGTCTATTGGTGGTCTGTTGCTGTTTGTTTTTGTAATCGTTTCAATTATATAGTAAGTAAATATTTCCATTAATCGATCACAATCGTTTTGGAGATTTGGACTGCAAATGAAATTTCTTCTTAATTTTGGACTTTTATAATATTTCATGAGATTTCATTCTATGCTTGCTTTCATCTTCTGAATTTAAAAATGGCGAGTTTTGAAGATCATGACGCTATAAAAAAATCAACTAGAAAAGATTAACAACAATAAAAAAGAACATAAAAGTCACTATGCAGCAACTCTTCACTAACCATGAAGAATTACGAAGTACATAAATTAGAAGTAATAGCAACAAAGAATCTGTAATTTGATTTTCACATCTTGTAATATAAGATCCAACTCGATGGCAAGTAGAAAGAAAATTGTCTCTCATATTTACATAATCTTTGTCTCTAATGTCGCTCTTTGTTCTTGATGTCGTTCTTTGACCTTGATATCGCTCTTTGTCCCTGATGTCGCTCTTTATCCTTAGTATCGCTCTTTGTCCCTGATGTCCTTCTTTGTCCGTGATATCGCTCTTTGTCCCTTATTTCGCTCTTTGTCCTTGATGTCACTCTTTATCCTTGGTATCGCTCTTTCATGGTATTAAAATTTGTCGCGCAACATTTTTAAATACTCGGTTTTGTTTTTCATTGCTATGAGCCCGAAATATGCAATTAGAACAATAATAAAGTGTAGGTAATAAAACTTTGTTGTTACGAGGTAATATCAGTTTTATTGCTGTATTGATGAAGTCACAAGTGTACCTGGTTGCTTTTGTTTTGAGTTCATTTGAATCACTTGTGATAAATTATTACCTTATCCATATTAAGTTAATCGGTCAACATTTGACGAATGATACCGAAAATAAGGACTCTTGGTTCATTGAGTTGATTATTCCACTCAAAATTTCATCGTGTCCTGTAAATTTTGAATCATATTATTCAAATAACAATGGCAAGAAAGTTCAAAAAAACACAATTCAAGAATTCATTCATGCTTACTTCGATAATATGAGCTAGTTGCGATAGTAAACGAAGTAACTTATTTTGACCAAATACCACATAAAAATTTTTATGTATTTTAGTTACAAGACAAAGGTCCGAGTTCATGGAAATTTAACTTTCCAAGGCGTAAAGGAGTGACTCTCAATACCACAGGTAATAGTGAGGACGTCCAAGCAGATTTACAAGATTTGATCCTTATCTAATCGTGTCGATACGATACATGGAATTAACGTAGATGGCTCGCAATCAAATCTTCCATAAGCAACTTAGAACTACACAAATCTAAAGAAAATGATATAACAGGAGCTCAATTTAGATTAAATTTAAACTAATTTCAAATAAGTATATATATATATCATGTAAATAAATCACAAATGGTTCACGTCAAAACAACAAATAAAAGTCTCATGTATTGTATTGCCAACACAAAAAAACCTTTGTGGGCTGAAATGCTTTTACCTCAAACATTCTTTTTGCTATTTGCGCATTAAGGTAAAGTTTATAGTTGTAACAATTACGCGTTAATATTGAAGTCTAAGATGTTCCAGACTTAATTTACCTATCGAAGTTATTGGATAAGGACAGTGTCTTCACAAGCGACTTAATAAAATATTGTTGTAGCTACTGTTGTGGTGAGAACAACATAATACTAAAGTATAATGTTATGAATTGGTGGACAAAGGTTTTGTGTTAGGCTCCTCAATGAAGAAATGATTCTTTTAAAAGACGATCGCAGAATTTATATTGATACAATGGATGACGTCAATGTTCTCCATGAAATCCATGAAAAGGTTGGACATAAATCAAACGAAGTCAATAAAATGGATATTGAAAAATTCTCATATTTTGACAATACAATAATTGTATATTATGTTTCAGCATTTATGCTAAGTCCAAAATCAGGAGGAATTTTGTTGCTTGCTATATATGTTATTATAACTATGTAGCCATATGCGTGGGATCTTACAACGTCACAGTTAATATAGTGTAGACGTAAATAGACTGACAACATAGCAAAAGACATGGTTCAAATTCCTTTCAATATTATTGACATGTGTGCATAGTATTTATAATTTCTGAAAAAAATAAGACGATGACGAATGAAGATAAGTGGAGAAACAAATTTTCGTATTTGTTTTTACTTAAACAACAGGAAAAGGTTATAATGTTCTGTGAGATTAAGCAACTTATGAAATAATCATAAATGCACTTTTACCAAAAGAATAAACAACATTCTATCGTCAGCATGTCATTTAAAGAAAGAGCTCGTATTTGGCGCGTTGTCAACGCTCCTCAAAACAACCTAAATAAAGAAAAAGGAATTTACTCCGCTCAAATTAAAAAAATTTACTTAAGAGTTTACTAGAATAAAATGTAATTGCCGGCATTTTGATGCGCTGCGAATTTCGAATAAGTTCTGAAATTTTGAGTGTCAAATTAAAGAACTGTAAAGATGATTTTCTGCATGATATTGTTCGAGTTACTGTCATTTAAAAATTTTGAATTAAATGAACGAAATCAAAGAAAACAATTAATAATGAGATTGCAGCCAGTTGAAATTCACAAGAAAATTAGTCACTCTTTTACAAGGCACGTACATTGATGAAATTAAGAAATATATTTTATTTTTCCTTACTTTACATCATTTTTAGTAAAATAAATTCGGTCTCGTGTCATCTCCTTTAACACCCTTCTCGTAACGTTGCCAAACAACTTGGAATTTTCAAATTACAATAATGGAGGGTCGGACTGAATAACATATATTTTTGCAAATCGTTAGCGGTGATTACGACAGATAATTTGACATAAATTGAAAATATTGAACGGTTATCGAATGGAATGTAATTAATTTTGTAAAACTGCTATGACGTGACAAAATTTTTTCTATAGATAACTATGGAAGTCTGAAACAAACATGTGGGAAGCATGTTTTAGCATTGAAAAAGTTCACATGTAATGCACGTGTTATATAAATGAGTATCTTCCGTTCACGCAGATCAATTGGGATAATTTTCTTTGTGCTAAAGCAGGAACCCATAAAATATCGTTTTAAATCGTCTAAAGCAATTTCAAATATTCATTTCATCTTACCGTTCATTGGAAAGAACCGACATTCGCTCACGGGCGCTATTCTGAAAGGATCACGAAAAACTTAGCTACAGTGCAAGAGGTGGAGCAAAATCTACACAACATGGGAACACTAAGATTGATGAAAAAATCATTAACATCCGCTTTTCTATGTCTCGTTTTCACAAACTTCATGATCGGTAAGTTTTTGTTTTCAGTTTGACATTAAAAGTTGGTGAATCAGTAACCGGTCAAGCTATTGCAGTCATGCAACAAGTCATATACACAAAAATACTATGTGATTTTGCACAAGTTTTCCCAGGTTCGAGTACCATTTAATGAGACTTGACATGTTATGTCAAAAAGTAAATTATATCATGAAAGAGCTTTTACAACAGATTATTTGCTTTTTTCCTTGGAATGTCCGTTCTGTTGACAAAAAATATCAGATGTTTAAAAATAAAACATCGTGAATGAAGCAGGCTGTAGTGAGAGCTAGAATGGCCAGCATTTAAGCACATACAGCTATATCATCGTCTATATCATGTTGTTCACTATTTTACTGTATAACCTTCAAATAAGTATTTACATCTATTCTTTCGGTACAGAAGTGTTTAGACCGTCAATAAATTAGTCCATGAAATAGGCAGGCTCTGAAGCCATTGGCTAACCCGACAGATATATTTTTGTAGGTGCGTGTAAATGAAAAATGTTTGTTTTAATTTGCAAGATGATTAATAGTATTGGCAGTAATTGCAAAAATATATGCATGCGCATTGATCATAATATATTATAGAATTACACTCTAAATAAATTTTACTTTCAATTAATACAAGCTTTTTAACAACTTGAACTTTAAAGTTAACAATTAGAGAAGTCTTTTCGATAAAATGAGCCTTTTCACATATAACATGTTAGGTTTAAAGAGATACACTTATTTTAACGTTTACAAAGGTGTTGTTTAAATAATTGGCATAAA